TAACTACTTTATAATCAATCATATATCTTAATTAAATTCACTATATCACAAATAACCTTTAGAACTGCGCTTAAAACCTTTTAGAACCATTAAGTTGGCGCAAGATAAACTTTAACCTATTCTTGTTTATACAGACTAGAAGGGCCAATAACAATAAATGTATCCCTTATAAAATAGGCGTTTCAGATTTTAATTACTGAACATCAGAATTCGTGTTCAGCTATAAATCGGTCAATTTTGTCTTTAGGTTTCCCCTCTCGTAAAGAAAGGTGATATGTTTGTTTCGGAGTAGCAATGTTGAAGGAATAAAATATTCGAGAACTTTAACCTCTATAGCTTTGAATTAACTTGAGCATCGAAAGAGCTAAACTTTTTTTTCTTTTTTCTTTTTTTTTTTAAAAAAGAGAGAGCACTTAGATATAGGGCTTTGCCTCAAACACTCAATTTGTGTGCGAATACTTTTCTGCTGCCAGACCTGTTAGAGATCATGGAGATGTGCAAGGAAGAAATAAAAAAAAAATCAAAAAATGCCGAGGGCGTATAATTGTGTTAAATAAGGGGGTGTTTGGTTATCCCATTAATTAACCAGTTGATTACAAAGATAAGAACCCAGCTCCACGTGTATATTTCGGGTCATGAAAGACAATGTTTATAAAAAGCATTATAAAATGGTAAATTTAATTGGTTAACTGTCTGATCACATTGGAACTATTAACCTCTCCCATTTAACAAGTTTCTCAATTTATCAAAATATTACCACCTCGTAATAGAAGTGTTGGCACTGTGAGAGAGCGCTTTCAGTACAAACATATGTATCGTGTATTTGAGTGCACAAAATGTTCTCATGCCAGAGTACAAATGTTAAAATATGTCTCCACGACTCGGATCATTGAATAGTACAGTAAAGAGGCTCGCGTTCTGTCCTTTTCACACAAGGAGTTGATTTTAAACCTGTTTGTGTACTCTGCTCTAACTTCAAAAGGGTCAATTAAGTGTGTATTGAAGTCAATCAATTGATCTATCAATCAATGTTCAGATATGACATTAGATCAATTGTTGTTAAACAAAGTGTATTTCAGTAACATCGGAGTTGCTTTATATGGTTATTTTTAATGATAAATTTTCTTGATATAAAATTTCAGTACAAATTTGATCTGATATCTTATTTAATGTCGTGCTTTATCGTGTCATTTAGATTTCAGCATCATCAATTGCATATTCGCTTTAAAATTAATTTTACGTCACTAAAGTACTATGGTGTGGCTTTCTACCATTTGAGCATCCGACCGACTAAACCCTTACTTCATCTGTTTGAAGCAATTGTGCAATTTATAACATATCGAGGATAATAAAAATATCGAATCAATTGTGCAAATTGCCTAACATTGCCATGTTTCTCTATTATGTCTTCTTTTTATTGTGAAAATTATAAAGCCATCAACAGTCGAGATTGTGCGACAGAAGTGGAGGTTGTCCCGGTGCAGTGCTTGTGTAAGATTAGAGGCAGGTAACAGGGTACACAAACACAGCTTTAACAAGACTGTCCGAAACGGCACCTGTGCTATCAGAAGACTTTTATATAAACCCAAAGGTCAACCCAGACTACTGCTCGCATTTTACTTTTGAGTGTACATAAGGGCCGGTATATTACTGAAAGTTTACCAAGAGCAGGTAACGGGGTCACAACCCACAAAAGTGAAGTGTACACCATCGTACGGGTCTAACAAACCCCTGACCAGGTTTTATGGTCTACGATTAATGTCCAAAATTTCAAAGGAGAAATGTCGTGACTGAATATTTGCAGAAGAAAGATTGAGGGAAAAAAATATGAAGCGAACATGATCTAGCTTGAATGACATCAGGAAAATGTGATATACTAGTATAGATAAAATTTCCACACCCTGCAGTTTTAAAACATTTCCCTTTATTCATATATTTTTCCATATATGTATATAACGCAACATTGCACATGAATATGTTTTCTTTAAACCATTTCGTCATTTGAAAAAAAAAATAATTTTTTTTCCTCGAAAGATACTAAATACTGCCAACTTCTACGAATTCAGGATTCTATATCTCATAAAAGAGGCACCACCACTAGAATTCATACTTTAAAAATGTTACACTTTAAACATTTCTTACATACCATTACAGATCTCTATAGCAAAGGAATTTCTATTTTTAATTACGGAGAAAATCTAAAAAGTTGGTCAACAAACAAATAAACCCCCACAATACATGTTGTCAATATGCGTAAGAGCAGCAAATTTAGAAAGTCCTAATGTATAAAAGCTCTCCATATAATCAATCAAGCCAAAAATAGAAGCAATAGCTCACAATATTATTGTGGGAGGATGCCTCCCTTAATTAATCAATAATTAATTACTCCTTGCCCAAATATATTAACTCATATATGTGTGCCTTGTATCGCGTAAAAAAAAACGAGTATAAAAATCATTGACGTTTTTCAATATACGTATGAAGTCCTAAATACAACTGATTTTAAATTTTCAAACGCACCTAGAGTTAAAAAAGAAAAGCTGGTCAATAATTGTACGCGATACGAATCGTAGAATGGAATAGCTTCCACGGGTCTTTGCGTCTTTCACAGTTTCAACACAGTAAAAGGTGTCACCTTCGTACATTTGATCTTCACTAGCCGGCTTAGTTTATGTTGATAATTTACCATATTTTAAGTATTTTGTCACTTACTCTTAAATCTGAAACTAAGTAGATCGACAAGCGTTTATCTTCTTCTTTAATCTGTTTAATATTTATACATGTATAATCATTCCAAAGAAGAACCGGACTCAAGACTTTGAGGGTCAAATGATACATTAATTAAATACGTCGCTACCGATATTTAGCCGACAAATGCAGTCTTGACATTTTAAATAATTACTGTCAGTCTAGTTCGGAACTGGTTCTAGATAGCAAATATAAAATGTGTTCTTTTCCACTGACGATGAAAGAAGCTATATCTTAGCACTTAATGAATAAAATCTATAACTATACATTAGGGAATAAGTGTAGGTATATACAAAAGTAAAAATTTCTGATAATCTTCATTAAGATTTCTGTATGTTGTAAAAATCCTCTTTCAATGAATTGTGCTGTAACATCCCACTCTCCCCTCGTTTTCGTGGTATGACTTAAATAACACCTCGGTGTGCGAGATTGTAAATATGTATTGATGAATGCATGCACATCCTACATGTTACGGTATGGAGGTAGTTATTTAAAGGAGTTTACCATGAAAGCAAACACAAAATGCCATTTAAAGGTCATTTCCAGGCCTTAAAAAGTTTCTTTATGCTTCTGACCGCAAATAAGATTTAAAATGATTATTCAAAATAGAATAACAAGGATACCCCCTTCTACAAGTCGGCACATTCTTAGAAGTCATTATTGGGCCAAGTGTTAGCTAGGAACAAATTCTTTCAAGTTTGCAGTTTTGGATTTGAATAACATTGATTTGTTAATTGATATGAAACATAGAAAACATTAATCCTGAACGACCCCAAGTGTTATTTTTCAGCAAATATAATTCCAAGTATTTAAGTGAACATTCTTGCGTAAAATGAGGAAACATCCTTCTTAGAAACCTAATAAAATTTGACACAGTGGTGTGAAAAAAAAATGCAAGAGAGAGAGAGAGAGAGAGAGAGAGAGAGATAGGGGTTAAGGTTGAGTGAGAAGTATATCAGTTTCGACAGTCATTTGATTTTTAATGCACAGTGTCAGACTATTATATATGAATAATAAGATGCCTTCGAGTACCATTAAATGTACTTTTGTTGTTCAGAAAATATATAAGCACCCTCAAGAATGTTAAAAAAAAACCAAAAGACCTTGATATTCAAGGTTATCACACACAGAGAACCTTTCATTTTCAACCCCGAGCCAATCCCCGGTTTTAATCAATTAACTACACAAACATATACTCCAAATAATATGGCATTGGCTCTGAATATCGTAAACAAGGTGTGTAACGAAATGTACTTCAACATTTTTAATATTTTGAAGACTTGTTTGTCACAAAAAACTTTTGACGTGTTCTTATGGACAGATTCAGGCGCCTAAAAATCCTGTATCTGGGTTGCTAAAACGGCCAAAGATTAAATGCCTTGACATTAGACATTTGATTTTTTCCCTGCTATTCTTCTCATTAAAAATTTTCTTTTTTGAAGGCATGTATTCATAGTTATTACAAGAAAAAAAATATTTTTGTGAAATATTTAAGCTGAAGGCACTCCGTACTGCGTGAAAAAATAAAACAGCATCGTCTCACGTACTAGTATTTATTGTCAAAGAAAGATAACTCGTACATATTTATTTGTACAATATACGTTTACTCATTAAATGTTAGTTAAACCATGTTTTCTATTTATTAGGTTTCAGTTCATATAAATTAATAGTAAAAAGCATTTATCAAATTTATTTAATATGTGACATTTTTCTATTATTTCTTTTATGCTGTAAAATGAATTAACATTCTACCATAAGAAGAAAACACTAATTATAATTTTAGTTTATCATGATGAAATTAAAGCACAACCATTGCACAAAAAATATTTAACTATTTTACCAAGAAAATTTAGAAATATCTTTTCAAAATTCAGGACAAGTAACCATCGTCTTCCGATAGAGATGGGTAGATGGAATAATGTTGAAAGAAATGAAAGAAAGTGCAATCTATGTAATAATAACCAGATAGGAGTGAATTCCATTATTTACTGGAATGTAATTTTTATATAAGCTATAAAAGATTTTTTGTTGCAGAAATACTATGTTCACCCAAATACAATAAAATTCTGTAATTTGATGACAAGTACAGATCCAGCATTTTTACGAAAATTGTGTATATTTATTACAAAGATTTTTGACACTGTCTGTCCTCCTGTAATCTCTGCTCGTCCATAATTATTGTAAATATGTATATATGTACCTCTTGTACCATTGTATGGTTTTTTGAGAGAATAAATGAAAAAAAAATTGCATTAAATTTAAGAGACACTAACCTAAAAAGCTAACAAAAGAAAACAAGGCATTTAGATAAGGAATCACAGTCACACTCAACTATACAATGACACTGTGGAAACAGCTTCTTAATTATTATATTGGAAAATGTAATACCATTCATTTAATGCTAACAAAATGGATTTCATTGTAGTTGAAACTTTCTCAATCACAGGTATCTATAATGGTGTGTTCCCATTTCGCCTTAAATTTTAAAGTTAAGGCAAAATGGGAACAAACCTCTATAACTGTTACCCTGTAATAATTAGAACAAACTTATCTTTAATGGAAGACAAAACAAAACAAAAAATAAAAAAAGAGAGAGAGAAATAAATTGAAAATTAATAGCTAAATTGTGTTTGTGATTTAATTTGCCTTGTAAATTTAATTGACAGTACTGTGACACAATGACTGATTTCAACATTTATATTTTCAAAGAATTAAGTAGTGCACTGTTTATTTCTGTAACTCTATTGAATGCACATACAAACATGATTGTGATGTAGGCCTATTCACATTTAACCTTTAAAGTTCAGATGAGATTGTAATGCTAAAAAGTATCATGACCAAAGAAAAAATTCAGAACTATGCTACACAACCAATCACAGTGTCACTATTTTTATACTGCCTGGTTATTGAAAGAAAAAAAATGAAGAAATTGCATAAATAAATCAATCTGTTCAATATACACCTCTTTTTGTAGACAGAAAAGTCTTTCAGCACTGATAACACTTGCACCATACCTCTGAAATATCACTAGTTCTTCGTTTTCTTGCCTTCACTAGATGTCATACCTCCTGAACATCACTAGCTACTTCTTCTTCTTCTTCTTTTTCTTCCCGTCCCCCGGTGATGACTGCTGAGGTTGTGCTGGCTGCTTCCCCGATTCTTTCTTTCTTCTTTCTTTCTCTGCCTTTATTTCTCCTTTATCAATATTTTTATTTACTTCCTCAAAAAGTTCTTTCTTAAAGTCTTTTTCAGTTGAAGTCCATCTGAAACATCAAACATTTCATAAATAATGTACTTCACAAAAATATGTAAGAAATGATACATTTTTTATTTATCTGTATAAAATGTATAGAAATACATCTGGCTGCAGAAACTCTCATAGAAACAGTAGCAGTGGATTTTTAACTCAAGTGTTTATACTTTTTAATTCAGTTACAAATCTAGAAACTGAAGCACAAGAAGGACAGTGAAAACAGTAATATATTGCAATAAATGTATAAATAACCTTGGGCTGTATTTCTTATTCATATACAGTCGAACCTCATTATCTCAGACTAAGAATGAGTGGGACTTCCAAATCACTTCAACAAATCCATGGCAGTCAAGATATCACTGTTCAAGATTCTGAAGTTCAGCTGTATTATATGTTAATATTTACATTTCCAAAGTCTTTGTCTGAGATAAAATTACAAATATTTAATGTAGTTTCTTTCCTCATCAATGTACTGGTTCATCAATAGGTGTGGATAAAAACAAGAGGCCCATGGGCCACATCGCTCACCTGAGAAGTTTTGACCATTCTGTATTTTACCAGATTTCCCCCTTGTAATACATAATGCATCCCCACCCTACCCCACTGATCATAATTTAGACATTTTGAAATCTACACTACCCCAGGATCCTTCCATGTGCACATAAGTTTCAGCTTTTCCGGCCCAGTGGTTCTTGAGAAGAAGATTTTCAAAGATTTTTCTTATATATTTTGATGTAAAACTTTGATTCCCCATTGTGGCCCCGCCCTTCCCCCGGGGGTCATGATTTGAACAATTTAGAATCTACACTACCCCAGGATGCTTCCACATAAGTTTCAGCTTTTCTGGCCCAGTGGTTCTTGAGAAGAAGATTTTCAAAGATTTTTCCTATATATTTCTATGTAAAAATTTGATTCCCCATTGTGGCCCCGCACTTCCCCGGGGGGTCATGATTTGAACAATTTAGAATCTTCACTATACCAGGATGCTTCTACATAAGTTTCAGCTTTTCTTGCCCAGTGGTTGTTGAGAAGAAGAATTTTCAAAGATTTTTCTTATATATTTCGATGTAAAACTTTGATTCCCCATTGTGGCCCCGCCCTTCCCCCGGGGGTCATGTTCTAAACAATTTAGAATCTACACTACCCCAGGATGCTTCCACATAAGTTTCAGCTTTTCTGGCCCAGTGGTTCTTGAGAAGAAGATTTTCAAAGATTTTTCCTATATATTTCTATGTAAAACTTTGATTCCCCATCGTGGCCCTGCCCTTCCCCGGGGGGTCATGATTTGAACAATTTAGAATATACACTACCCTAGGATGCTTCCACATAAGTTTCAGCTTTTCTGACCCAGTGGTTCTTGAGAAGAAGATTTTTTAATGACCCCACCCTAGTTTTGTCTTTTCTTGATTATCTTCCCTTGTGAGAAGACTTGGCCCTTTATTCTAAGAATTTAAATTTCCCTTTACCCAAGGATGCTTTGTACCAAGTTTGGTCAAAATTGGCCCAGTGGTTCTGGAGAAGAAGTCGAAAATTTGAAAAGTTTACAGACGGACAGACAGACGGACAGCTAGACGGACAGACAGATGGACGGACGACGGACAAAATGTGATCAGAAAAGCTCACTTGAGCCTTCAGCTCAGGTGAGCTAAAAATCATGTGCAGGGCAGACAAATAGAGACAATTTAAGAAGCAGAGATTGTAGCACGTGGATTGGCGGAATCAAGAGCATGTAAATACATGTATAAGGAATAACTGTCAGATTTTTCAGCTTCATGACAATGATTAATCGATTAGCTTGTGTGATAATTTGCATGTTTATGCAAATTATCACACAAGCCAATATCGATTGATCACATCATGAAATAAAAAAATAAGACAATTATTCCTTAAATAATTTAATTTTAGTTGAAACACGTCATTTGATTGGATAAAAGATTTAGTTTATATCGTAAAACATCAGTTGCCTACGTCACAATGAGTTGTACGTCAAAAATACATTAGGCCTAAAAATAAAAATTAACTTGGTTTTCAGGCACGCCTACATCTCATTCAACAATGCGCATTACCCATTTTTATCCTAAATTGAATAAAATAAAATTTCTCTCATGTGCTCTTGCAGTGCTGAAAAAAAAAAATTGGAATTCCCGACTGTATCTTGACTGCATGCGCATTTTAGAACCAGTAAAACGTTTTATAATTATTAGATGATCCAGACTATTGGCCTAGGTAAAAATCGCAAATATGGCCGTCGAGTTAATATGTTAGGGCATCAAGCTTTAGTTTGGTCATGATAGCATTAATTTCAGTGCAAATTCAACAGGGAATGACTGTGACACTTTGATGGCACATAGTGGGGGTTTCTGAAAGTTGTTCCATGCTAGAATTTAATAATGCTATCAAAGATGGCTCCTTCAACCTCAGAACTTGGACATCAGCAAGATTCACAGATTTCATTTTGCCAAAGACTGACAAATTTTTAGTTTTGAAATTTAAAAAAAAATCCCACGTCAATTTTTTTTTATATAAAAAGGAAAAAAACCCTCCCTCCCTCATTTATTTTGGAAAACACTGGTCTGTTTTTGCCTTACTCCACTTGACGTCACTTTTAAATTATGCTCAATTTGAAGCCATTTTTGAGAAAAAAATGGTCTTATGTCTACACTGAAATTAAATCATAAGGAATGAAGCTTATTTTAACCTATGTTATATGCTATAACATAACTGGGGGCAGTTGACACTTTTAAAAAAGCAGTTTATATAAAGCATAAACTGCCCCAAATTATTTTACATTGTATAACATAGATTAAAATCAGCTTCATTCCCTAAATAACTTGACTACATTTTTGATTTTTTCAGAGTATATAAAATTCTGAGTGTGCATCTAAACGTGTTTACACTATAATTTCTGATTATTTTTATAACATATAACAGTGATAACTTGCCTTGACATTATATTGTATGCCTTTAATGACTCAAGGCACTTCTCCAACAGCTGACGCCCTGGGTCTAGATTCCCCCATTCCTTGTGGTCAAATCCAGATGGAAGTTCAGTTAAATTTCCAAGGCCTTTAACTTTGATAAATTTCAAGGCAACCTACAGTTCAAAGGCTAAGCAATAAAACTATCATAGATCTTCAAATTAAAACAACTCCCAGAATGTAACCTATTCATCAGATTTTAAATACCCATGGAATACTATGTTTTGAAAAGAATGGTAATAAAATATAAATCTTTGCTCTAAATCCCTGAGACAACATTCTAACTTTTACAGTTCCAAACATTAATTCATAAATTTTTTGACATTTTTTTTTCTATATGAATCAAATACATGTAGGTAATTTTGACATTAGGAGCAGCTTTTTAATGGACTACAGATCACTAAATTTTTGGCAACACCTTATTTTTGCGACATAGTCATTACCACTTTAATAGCTAGACAAAATTTCCATAAATTGTGGTTATTGCTCTGTATAATCTTACGGAATACTATTACAGTGTATATACCATTTAAAATGTATAGTACATGAGGACAATGAAAAATATTTCAATACAGCATATAAATTCAGGTCAGAGGTACAAGTATATGATATACATAATCAGAAAATGAAATGGGAGAGAAAGAAAAAAGAACAAGAGGCCCATGGGCCACATCGCTCACCTGAGAATCTTTTGTCATATTGTTCTTTACCAGATTTCTCCCTTGTAATACATATTGTGGCCCCGCCCTACAGCCGGAGGTCATGATTTGAACAATTTAGAATCTACACTACCCCAGGGTGCTTCCACATCAGTTTCAGCTTTTCTGGCCCAGTGGTTCTTGAGAAGAAGATTTTCAAAGATTTTTCCTAAATATTTCTATGTAAAACTTTGATTCCCCATTGTGGCCCCGCCCAACCCCCAGGGGTCATGATTTGAACAATTTAAAATCTACACTACCCCACAATGCTTCCACATCAGTTTCAGCTTTTCTGGCCCAGTGGTTCTTGAGAAGAAGATTTTCAAAGATTTTTCCTATATATATCTATGTAAACCATTGATGCTCCATTGTGGCCCCGCCCTATCCCCGGGGGTCATGATTTGAACAATTTAGAATCTACAGTACCCCAGGATGCTTCCACATCAGTTTCAGCTTTTCTGGACCAGTGGTTCTTGAGAAGAAGATTTTCAAAGATTTTTCCTACGTATTTCTGTGTAAAACTTTTATTCCCCATTGTGGCCCCGCCCTTCCCTCGGGGGTCATGATTTGAACAATTTAGAATCTACAGTACCCCAGGGTGCTTCCACATAAGCTTCAGCTTTTCTGGTCCAGTGGTTCTTGAGAAGAAGATTTTCAAAGATTTTTCCTAAATATATCTATGTAAACCATTGATGCCCCATTGTGGCCCCGCCCTACCCCCCGGGGTCATGATATGAACAATATAAAATCTACACTACCCCAGGGTGCTTCCACAGTTTCAACTTTTCTGGCCCAGTGGTTCTTGAGAAGAAGATTTTCAAAGATTTTTCCTATATATTTCTATGTAAAACTTTGATTCCCCATTATGGCCCCGCCCAACCCCCGTGGGTCATGATTTGAACAATTTAAAATCTACACTACCCCACAATGCTTCCAAATGAGTTTCAGCTTTTCTGGCCCAGTGGTTCTTGAGAAGAAGATTTTCAAAGATTATTCCTATATATTTCTATGTAAAACTTTGATTCCCCATTGTGGCCCCGCCCTACCCCCGGGGGTCATGATTTGAACAATTTAGAATCTACACTACCCCAGGGTGCTTCCATACCAGTTTCAGCTTTTCTGGCCCAGTGGTTCTTGAGAAGAAGATTTTTAAAGATTTTTCCTATATATTTCTATGTAAAAATTTGATTCCCCATTGTGGCCCCGCCCAACCCCCGGGGGTCATGATTTGAACAATTTAGAATATACACTATCCCAGGGTGCCTCCACATAAGTTTCAGCCTTATTGGCCCAGTGGTTCTTGAGAAGAAGATTTTTTAATGACCCCACCCTATTTTTGTCTTTTCTTGATTATCGATTATCTCCCCTTGTGAGGGGACTTGGCCCTTCATTTTAATAATTTAAATTCCCCTTCACCTAAGGTTACTTTGTACCAAGTCTGGTTAAAATTGGCCCAGTGGTTCTTGAGAAGAAGTCAAAAATGTGAAAAGTTTACAGACGGACGGACAGACAGACAGACGGACGGACAACGGACAAAATGTGATCAGAAAAGCTCACTTGAGCCTTCGGCTCAGGTGAGCTAAAAACACATATGATACATGTAATATAATGGAATAAATGAGGGGAAAAAAATCATGGAGGACAGACTAAATCAAATATTTTTAATATAAAATACAGAGTTTTTCTCAATGTCTAAATATGTCGGTATTAGTAGTTTACCTCATTATCATACACATCTGTGCCATCCAAGATAATACTATATTGGTCAAACAATGCCTTTGATGCATCTGCTATATTGTGAAAAACCTGAAATATAGTTGGTACAAATTTCAAATAAAGATATTTGCCAAAAATCATCCGAAAATTTATATTCAAGAACTGCTGAGCTTTATTTCATTAACAGGAACTAAAGTTATCAGAGGAATTAAAGAAATACTTGTATTATTGCTACACTTACCTTAGCTGCAATAATGTAGCCCTCTCCGATTTTTTTTTATCTGTTATATTCTGGAGAGGGCTACAATTCCACAGCATCTCCGTAATGGTGCAAAAATATTTTGTAAATACTGGCGACTGCAGGCAGAATAAATTGTTTTCACAATCAACTTACTTCTAATAAGACGAAATTTTTATTCACTGTCGACATCAAAGCTCATTAAACGCGAAAACCATGTAAAATAAATCTGTGCATTTACTTCAGCAGCCATGACAGTTCACGCGTGACGTAGTGAGACTTGCGCTTGAAATTTAGAACAACTCAATAAAGCAAATGTCGATGTTTATAAATAATTGTGATGAATAGTAACACTAAACATCGATAAATAAAATCATTCCGTGCTTCATTTTTTTGTAAACACCGATATTTAAAGACCCAATTTTTTTACCGTACGGTTACCTGAGGAGAGGGAGTGGTCAAAGTAACAGTGGTGATATTTACCTGGAGACCCCCAATACCCAAGATGTCAAAAATCTGTGTATACGTAGCATTACACAGGAAGTCTGTGTTTGGTAATTGGGGTCAACATTACGTGTTTTGTGTCTGGTTTTGAGTGAAACTACGTAAAATAATTATTTTAATATGGAATTTTAAAATTTGTAAACTAAACGCATTCATCATAATCATGGTAATGTTTTGAAGGAAAAAAAATAATAAGATACATGTATATCGTTTTAGAAAATGCTTTCCTTACATAAAAGAAAAATTCACGAGTAAAAACTACAAATCAATAATATTCATCTTTTGTAATCTTCAATAAAAGAAATCACTTGATTAAAAAAGTCTGACTATTGAAATAAAAAATTATTGATCCACCTTTTCGTCGTGCATGTGAACATGCATTTACCGCGATCGGAATGGGTTTTTTTTTTTATGGCCAACAATGTTGTCCAAAATATTCTATATTTTTTGATTCTTCGTGTTTTAACAAAATTTTATTGTTAGAAAGATTTCTTTTCAGAGTCGATCACTATTTATTATCTTCACAGTTTCATTACGTATATATACAGACGCTAGAGGAAATCCGAGTATTAATTCTGACATCAATATCAGTACAACATCGTGCGGATTGTATCCATATAGGCCACAAAATAAAACATCTTTTAAAAACTATGCTATGCCATTTATTAGTGCTGAATATTTTTCTTATATCCCATTTCTTAAAAAATAATTTAATTCGTCGGACTTCTAATTACGGAAAATAGAGCCAGTTTCTGTGGACGCGTTTTTTTTTCTACAGATAAACGTGGACGATATAACACAAGTAACAAACAGCAGTGAAGATAGAAATAAAATATTTTATAATGTCAATGTTTTAATAATCTTCTTTCAATTATTTTTCAAAGAAAATTCAAACATATTGGAGTTTTCTAATCTGCGTGTATACTATGCGAGTACATGAAAGCGTTTGACGCGTGACCAGGTAATTGTTTTCAAAACATGCAAACTCAGATTATCAGGAAGCACAGGTAGCTGATCTGTCAATTAAATCAGAAGCTATTGTTTTTTTAATGATTGACAGGCGGTAAATTATTGATCTTGAATCAGGTAGATTTTGGGGGCGTTAACATAAAATTGGGTGTTTAAGCTTAAAATAAGGTAATTGCAAAGAAATCCACTCCCTATTGATCCTTAATCTCATTGGCTGTCCCGAAATAAAATCTGTCAAGGTCAGTAAACATGGCGGATAAATTTAAGTTGTGATGTTGACATACACGAAAAATACTGATATATGAATTGTTCTGTATATTTTTGGATCGATTTATGGCTGGGATAACTACATTTTGGAAGTCCTGGTAAGACATATAAATAAAATAGCCGTTTACTAACAATTTAAGCCTAAATCCGTGCGGGAGCGAATCGCTCCCGCTCTGCACCATTACGGAGATCCTAAGGAGTTGTAGCCCTCTCCCCAAAAAAAAAAAAAAAGGAGAGGGCTACATTATTGCAGCTACACTTACCTTAGTCTGAGGACATTTAGTGTTCAAGAAATCTCTGAATTCTCCATCTTTCAGTAGCTCCTCAGTAAAGTTAAAAGCCCCTGACTTAGTGACACAAGATACAGATTCTATTTTCTCTCCATCCATGTGGCAGTACACAAACACAGGTCCTTGAAACTTCAGATTTTCCATTTGAATATTACATTCAAATTTGTCATCAACCACCTGGAAATCTACAATTACAGTATTCAAAAAGAAATAAATGGCAAATCATACAGTGATCTAATAGTACGTGTGACATCACAAAAAAAAAAATCATGCAGTAAATAGTCTGATGGACAGTATATTTGATTTAAAAACTTCATTTACAATAGGATACAAAACACAAGGACAAATTGTAAAGTAAAAGCTCTTCTCACAGCATACTGGTTATTTCAATCCAATCATATACTTTTTAACATATTGAATAACAGTGATTGTAACACAATCAATACCTATTGCTTCTTTTTACCTATTTTCCCTTTTTTTCCAGCTAGAATCTTTGTATCACACATTAGAACAAGAGGCCCATGGGACACATTAGCTAGGAAAAAGCACAAATTAGTTCAGTATTTAAAAGATTATAGGGGGCCAGGGGGGGAGAATTTTAAACCACCCAAGGATGCTTCCTTATAACAAATGGCATTGCTGTTCTTGAGCAGAAAATGTGTAGATTTTTTCCCCTACATGTTTGTAAAAAGAAAAACATAGGTAATCAAAGATTACGAAGCTCACCTCGATGAATGTTATCAGTGTAAGTAATGCAAATCTCACATCATATTTTCTTAATAGTTAGTATTTATCCCAACAACAATATTCTTGCAAGTTCTGTTTAACCCTTACATGGTGTATACACATTTCTACACGTCTAGCATGAAAAACATATATAGTGTAATCAAATATTCATAACTTTGTTAATACTGCATATCTAGGACTATGAAGTTCATTGGGATTGATCTGTTCCAAAAACTTTGACCTGGTCTCTTGTTTGGAAAAAAATAGTTCAGATCCAGCATCCGAAGCAAGTCTGGTAGTGTTCATCCCTAGATGCATCATCCATGCAAGTTTGGTTCAGGTAGGGCTTATAGTTACTTGGGAATGAAAATGTAGGTCAGATTCAGCATCCAAAGCAAGTCTGGTAGTGTCCATCCCTAAAAGCATCATCCATGCAATTTTGGTTCAGGTAGGGCTTCTAGTTATTTCGGAATGAAAATGTAGGTCAGATCCAGCATCCGAAGCAAGTCTGGTAGTGTCCATCCCTATTAAAAAGCATCATCCATGCAACTTTGTTCAGGTAGGTCTTATAGTTACTCGGAATGAAAATGTAGGTCAGATCCAGCATCCGAAACAAATCTGGTAGTGTTCATCCCTAGATGCATCATCCATGCAAGCTTGGTCCTGGTAGGGCTTATAGTTCCTTGGGAATGGACCTGCTCCAAAAACGTTAACCTGGTCAATCATCTGGATAATGTAGGTCAGATCCAGCATCCGAAGCAAGTCTGGTAGTGTCCATCCCTAGATGCATCATCCATGCAAGTTTGGTCCAGGTAGGGCTTATAGTTACTTTGGAATGAACCTGTTCCAAAAACTTTAACCTGGTCACTCATCTGGAAAATGTAGATCATATCCAGCATCCGAAGCATGTCTAGAAGTGTCCATCCCTAGATGCATCATCCATGCAAGTTTAGTCCTGGTAGGGCTTATATTTCCTTGGGAATGGACTGTTCCAAAAACTTAAACCTGGTCACTCAACTGGAAATGTAGGTCAGATCCAGCATCCGAAGCAAGTCTGGTAGTGTCCATCCCTAGATGCATCATCCATGTGAGTTTGGTTCAGGTAGGGCTTATAGTTACTTGGGAATGGATTTGCTCCTAAAACTTTAACCTGGGACGCCAACGCCAACGCCGGGGGTATAGCATAAGCTCATCTCGACTTCGTCAAGGTGAGCTAAAAAGATCCCCCATTGTGGCCCCTCCCTACCCTAGTGGTCATGATTTAAACAAACTTAAATTGACACAAGCTGAGAATGCTTCCATAACAATAAGACTAAAGATGGCTTTATTAGTCCCCTACTGGTGAAACTGGAGGGGACTATAGGTTTCCTCCGAGTCTGTCTGTCTAGTTGTCCATCTGTCCCTCTGTCTATCAGCCTGTCCCACTTGGTTTTCTGCACCTTTTTTCTAAACGCTTGAAGATATTGAGCCGATATTTGGTATGCGAGTGTATCTTGATGAGTTACAGATCAAGTTTGCATTTCTTACCGCGTCATTGATTTTTGACAGAATTGTGGTATTCTTAATTTTTTATAATTGGGATTACGATCGGGTTCGTGATGCACTAAATTAATTTATCCTGCTTCTGACAAATTTGTAGATTGCTGATTGGATAAAAGCTGATCACATGACGCCCTGAAATTTTCCGTATTACGTCGCCGTTAAGGAGTAATATGAAAATCGCGCACGCAATTCTGTTCGAAGCGTTGTTATCGTAAATAAAAATGGCAGCCAAGAAACGTTTTGCTAAGGTAGTTTAACTACTAAAATTTCTTGTTACGATATTTTATGTTGATTGATATTGGATTAAAACTTGATATTTTCATGATTTCTTATAGATTTTTTTTTAATATTTAAGAAGGTCTTCAGCTGGATAAATTCGTAACACAGTCAGTTAGTGACCTAATACGAAGTCACACAGGGTCATACAGGGTCATACAGGATGGATTAAAACTTGATATTTTCATGATATGCACATAGATTTTTTCAATATTTAAGGTCTTCAGCGGGATAAATTCGTAACACAGTCAGTTAGTGACCTAATACGAAGTCACACAGGGTCATACAGGGTGTGAAATGGAAATCCGTATTGGGACTCGGCTTTGCCTCGCCCAATACGGATTTCCATTTCAAACCCTGTATGACTCCGTATTAGGTCACTAACTGACTGTGTAACTAATAGTACCAAACGTCCATGTATCCTTAAGAGAAAGGGTAACCCAGTAGGGGATATGTATTGCTTATGCAATACTCTCAGAATGCTTGTTGTTCTTGAGAAGAAGACTTTTTTTTTTAACTATTCCTATGTAGAGTTTTGAACCCCAATTGTGACCGCTACCTACCCCTGTGGCTCATAATTTGAACAAACCTGAATCTTCACTACCTAAGAATGCTTACATATCAATATGACTAAAAAAGACTTTGCTGTTCTTGAGATGGAGATTTTTTCAAGTTTTTTCCTTTATACATGTACAGTCAAACTTCGATATCTCAAACCTGATGGGACTGAGAAAAAACTTTGAGGTATCCAAGGATTCAAGATATCAAAGGTAAAATACTTAAATAATATGTAGTTGGGTATTCCAAATCACTTCGACATACCCAGGGTATTCGAAATATCGGAGTTTGAGATACCGAAGTTCAACTGTATTCTTTTATAAAACCTTGATCCCCCACTGCAGCCCCTCCCTGGTGGTAATAATTTACACAAACTTTAAATGACACAAGCTGAGGTTGCTTCCTTAACAATAGCTTTATCAAGGCTTTATTGTTCCTGTCAGTGAGAAGAAAAAGATTTTTAAATATATTTATATACAGGTAATTGATTTTGGTAAATCATATGTGTTATTTGTCTTCAACAAAACACTACCAGGTTTGTTACTGACTGTTCACAGAAATATGTTCAAGTTTGCCTTGCCTTCTATGGACTTGAACAACCCATCATTTCCATGGACAGTTTGTAGTGACAAACATAACAAGCAATGATGGATGCACTCAATGTGGTTCAAAAACTTTATATCCTTCTTTGTGTTCAGTAGCTATGTTTGTGAGCCTTGTTCAGTAGATTGTAATTATTTACCTTGTGGTTCATCAGAAGATTCATCCACTACATCACCACTCTGTTCTGTGGTCTCTTCTGTGATATCTTTGTCCCAATCATCAGGTACAGCATCTAAAAGTGGAAAGTGAGAATTTGTGTACCCCCAAAGGGACATCAATTCTAACTTCAATAGACCTAGATTAATAGCTCCAGTTTAGAGACAATTGATCCATGTACATTTATATACTTCAATGAATTCATAATTATAAAAGATTGCATGTACTCAAATTTTACTATAATTTCAGACAAATTTGTTGAATATTTGTGTACTTTTTTATGTGGATTTCTTCTCTTATTTAATTTCATTAAAAGTTATACATTTGTTGGTAAGGGGAACACTTGAAAAAAGAACCCATTTTACAGTTTTGATTTTAAGTCAGATATGATGTAGCAAAACAATGAGGATGGCCAAAATCTTTTCTTTACTATAAAACATGGCTTTTTCCAAGGTTTGAAAGCTTAACAATTTAGATATATGAGGATAGGAAATTTAAACATCCTACTAATTCAAAGTACATGTATTTAAAATTGCTTTTTAACAAGAATGAGAGTTCATAAATGGAAGTTTGAAGGTACATGTATTAGTTAATTCAATTGTCAACTTTGTTTTCAAGTTTACAAATTATATTTGACTGTTCATTATATCTGATCACTATTTCATCGGCTTAGGATTTTCAGGCACCTAAATCTGTCCAGTAGGGTATGTCAACATTTTCTTGTCATTGACAAGTCTTTTCAATAGAAAGGTACAGATATTCACTTTCCCTATTCCTCCTACAATTGTGTTTTACTGTACTTTTGTTATTTTTGAAACTGTTACAAAACATACATATCAGCCCATTCAGTAAAAGCTGTTAAAATGTGAGCCCTTGATGACAAATACCCTGTCACAGTATTTGAAGAATAGTACAATTTATTGCTACAACTTTTCTTATGGATCAGTGCTGAAGTTCCCTACCAGTTCTGGAAGGTACACTCTCCTCCTCTTCCATCTGACTCTCCTCTGAAAACAGAGATGAAGCTGCCTCCATATTGGCCTCTCTATCCCCCTGGTTATTTTTCCTTTCCTTTCTTTTTTCCTCTCCTTGTTTATCATTGTCTTCATTCTCTTCTCTGTGTTGTTTATTTTTTTTCTTCTTCTTCTTTTTCTTGTCCATCTCTCCAGAAAGCCCAGGAATCTTAGGACCATCTTTGATCTGATCATTGAAAAGCAGGCTCTTTCCTAAAGATAAAAATGTACATTTTATTTTGAATTTTCTATTATCTTTTGCTACATGTTGAAGTTCTAAGTCTTAGAAATAAAGCAACAAACTGCTGTACCGTTAAGTTTCCACTTCTACATGTGTACTGTAAATCACTTTTTGTTCACGAGAACTTTATTTTCGCGTAATTACGCGAGACAGTGTGCTCGCGAAAATTTAATTCTCGTGTATAATAGTATTCCTTAAGATTATATAGAGCAATAACCACAATTCGCGAAAATTTTGTCTCGCTCATCAGGAGTCAATGAATATCTCACGAAAATAAGGTGTCGCGAAAATTAAGTGATCTACAGTATTTGAACACTTATTGATTTTTGCAAGACTAATAATTAAATAATAAATCAAAAAATAAAATAAACTAAAATAAAAAATAAACTTTGCAGGACTAGTAATCTCATATTTTGAAATGATTTAAAATTCTTTGTATGAAAAACTATATGGCAATCCACGCACTTGTGCGTCTGTCCAGAACCATCGCAAAATAACACGGTCTGATGAAGCCGTCTTCATCTCCAGAACACAGAATCACATTGTTGGCCGATCTAAAGAACTTCAGGCCACCTGTCAAAAGTTATTACAAACTTCAAAATTGAGGAATTCAAGGAAAATAAGGTTATTAACAAATGGATGTAAAATCAAACATTGAGAAGTATTAAATAAATGTATTTTTCTCCAACAATGAAAGTCAAAATGGTTATATTTTGTAATAGTGTATATCAATTATAAATACTCTAACTTACTTCCTAATGCCTTTTCCATATCTATCTTGATAATGACTTCACAGCTGCTCCTCATTCCTGAAACATTCAAGTAAATCATAATGAATAAACATAAAAACTATATAATATTTTATATGAATATCATATTGTAACCACTGGATTGTGATTTTATTGTATCACAGAATACATGTATCATTCCAGCTGTCTTTAACACCACCTACCTTATGTCTGTATGACACCACTTACCACTAATGGCTCTACATATAACTACTAACACCACCTACCACTATGATACCACCTAATGCTATGACACCACTTACCACTAATGATACCAATTATCATTAATGACACCACTGATCACTAATTAAACCACCTACCACTATGAAACCATTGACCGTATAATCCCTATTAACTGCCCCTGCCCCTATAAGTGCCCCCTTAGGTCTTTTTCAATTCTCAGGAAATAAGGGCCCCCTGCACAGTGATTAAAATCATCTAGAATCATATCAAAAGTCTGCCAAAGTTTGAAGAAAGTGAAAATGAAACTTGTCTATTATCAAATTTCTCAGTGGAAAATGAATCATTTAATATAATTTGGGTGGATTATCTTCACTTAAAGTAAAGTTAGACATTATTTTAGTGGTTCTTTAAATTTATTTCTTTTTTAAAAAGATTTTTTGTAGTTAAAATATAACATTTAATATTAAAAAGAGAATACTAAAATAACTGCCCTCTTTTTGCAAATTTTTAAGCACCTGGAGCGGTTAATTGGGATTACATGTATATGGTACTACTAATGACACCATCTACCAGTACTGACACCACCTAACACTATGACACCATCTATTGCTATGACACTTCTTACCATTATGACACCACTTACCACTAATGGCACCACTTATCACTCAGATACCACCTAACACTATGACACCACTTACCTCTTATGACACTACATACCACTTATCTCACCAATTGCAACTAATGACATCGCCTATGACTATGAAACCACTAATGATACCATCTACCACTATAAACCACTTACCACTAATAACACCATTTTCTCCTGGTTCCCCAGCAGCAAAATGTATGTGATTCCTGTTCATTTTGTTTAAACCCTGGGAAAAAAATCATACATTGTCAGATGAAATGGAATAAAAAGCATTCTGTATGAATAAGGCTAATTTACAAACAAATGTTGTTATACCAGAAATACCCATACCTGTTCTTTAATAATTTCCCATGAACTGAAGTAAGTTCCATGTATGACATCAGGGGCCTCTTTAGCATTTGTTATGGGAGTCAACTCTAGACCATCTACCTATAAAGAAATTAAGAAAATCCATCTGATCCCTAAATCCAAAACATTTCTTAATGCTGTCTAAGTCACAAAATTTCAAACCATAGATAGCTTTTGTAGGGAGGGAATTTGAATCTTTTTTTAGTAAGAGTTATCAGATGAAACAAAAGCCCACAGCTAAATTTTAGTTCTTTCACATGGCAATACCCTCCCCACTCCTTCCTGAGTTAAATGTGAAGGCCATTATCATCATTACCTCTACTGAATGTCCTTGATTTGCTCTGATTTTGAGACGACCATTTTCCTCCTCCAGGGTGAATCTTTTTTTATCATTTGTTTCCACAACATATTTCACATCATCCACTGTGAACTGCTGATACTCATTTCTACGAAGAATATCATTCACCCACAAAAATCCACCTGAAATAAATGTATTCTGACACTGAATTATCGATTATACATGTATATTCTTCAATTTATTTTTGTAGCTCACATTAAATAATCCAGGAATAGCATGTGTTTTTACCTTTTTTAATGTTTCAGAAGTGATCACTGATATAATATTATCCTAAACACACATCAAAATATAAACACACATACATGTACACTGTATCTTATCTACTCATAGTTTTACCACACAGTTACCTGTACTACACCCCCCTCCCCCCCTGAATACAACTTGATAACTTATTCTGGTACTGTAAACGTACTTTATTCCGCGGGGTCATAATTCCGCGGAATCACAATTTCTGTTTAATCTGCACATAAAAAATTATGCGGATTTCTTTAACTGTCACTATATGCCTTACATTAATATTAAGTACACTTGGACAAATTTCCGTGGAAAATTTGTGACCTCGTACACAGTGTAAATTAATACCACGTGGAAAAAAGTACTTCTACAGTATATTGGTAAGCTTTTCTTCCTAAAAACTATAAGTAAACACATTTTAGTGTATGTGAAACACACCTCTCTTATCAAGTCTTACATGTTTTACAATGTAAATCATAAAAAGTACAATTTTTCTTAGGAGGGAAAAAGAAGCTTCAGAATTCCCTTACCAAATTTTGTTATATTTTTTATGTTATAATAATACCTCATACATATTTCTTACCTGGCATGAGTTTAAATCCCATCCTTTCTGCTCCATGCCTAAGAATGAATGACAATTTTTTGGAAAGAAAAACCACAGAGTCTTCATCCTATATCAAAAAAAGAAAACCTTTTATATATGTTTCTGTACACCAAAAATTAACACATCCCAGGCCAAAAAGTATATTACAAAAACCATGCTTACTGTGGTCTTTATACATGTTAAAGAAAAACACTACAATTTTATGTGCACTCAAAGGTACATGTACTGTAATATCACATATTTCCGTGTGGTCAAATTTTCGTGGTTTGAAGAAATTCTTTGGTTTGTGGGAATTTGTTTTTGTGTAAGAAGAATTGTTGAGTGGAGATGTACATAAGTAACATACATTTTACATTTTGTGGTGGACATGAATTCGTAGGCCTCTTCATACCTTGAAAACAACGAAAATTAAACCCCCCAAGAAAATTTGTGATTTCACAGTATTACCTTTCGATAGTACTGATAATGCCTCTTTTGATATGGCCTTTCAGAATCATGTCTGGCCCTTTTACTTCTGTATGTATCATAGGGACCTCCATAGCTGGCATAATTAGATCTCTGATACTCTTTGTTTGGTCCATAATCCAATCTCTATTTTATTTATGAAAATTTATATTCTTAATCTTTTTGAATTTCTAGAATTGTTGTAAAATAATGTAAGAAAATTGGTTAATAAAATTTTAGGGTAAATATAAAAGACCCCCTCCAGAAAAAAAGGGGGGGAACAACCTTCCTTAAACTAAATTGTAAAGAAGTGCAAAAATAAAAAATCTGCTTTCTTAAATCTGTGAAATAATGAGCAAAAATCTTTAAGTAAAACTATTTATTTCTCACTTAAAGTTGTTCCAGTGATAAGTACCCGGTATATAAATATGACCCATTTTTTTCATGAAAATATATTGGAAAATGCAGCAACAAAATACAGTGAAATATCAGTACAATGTATCTCCGTGATATCCGAAGTTATCTTCCAAAGTCGAATCAATAATTTCCCATTCTTTTCGTATATGTATCTTCATGCGTAATACTATCCTGTATTGCCAAACATGTAGTCTTTATGGTAAAAACTCAAGCATGTTTGCAATAAATATTAAGAAAAACAATTGTTGTTGTTTTCTTTATCGTGTATAATTGTAAAACAATTTAATATACAAGCCTTATTGCATATACCATGTATACAGCAAATTTATAATGCAGCGTTATAGTTGAAGAACCTTCTCCGTAAGAAAAGAAAAAAAAGGCGAATTTCTTAAAAACATAATTTGATGAAATTTAGCGCAAAATGTTATTTAAAAAATCAGTATTCAAATTGTGTACTTGAATATTATTAACAGCTTGCAAGTTTTACATTACGAAGTACTAGTAAGGAACATATAGTTTACGAAACTAACAATGCAAATGGCGGTCAAGGTTATCTATTTATACGCAGATAAACATGAATGTAATCAATCACTGTGCATAATGCACTGCATCTTAACTGTTTAATTTAACTTTATTGTGAAAAATATTTGGGTTTTATGAATTTACGATTTTAATTTTACATGGCATATTATTAGCATATTGTTAAATGCAATATCGGTAATATTGTCTGTATCTAATTTCTGAGTTGCTGCAAAGTGGTTTGTTTTATTGGTCGTAGACTACACCAAACACCCAAGCCATCATACCAATTAATGTGTCACAGATCAACACATTAAGATTCCCCAAGTTTGAAGATGTTAATTAAATAGCCACTGGCGAGAGTGTGTGAAGTCATGACGCCAGGTGTGTTCAGTAGACCGAAAAATTCACTGCACTTCGAGATAAGCCAGGTAGAAAAGGTCTTGGGACTTTGAATATACTTCGACATAAACGGGGTATTCGAGATTACTGTGTTCGAGATATCAGGTTTTTTAAAATCATTTATAGAGAAAACGGATGGGACCGGCGATCGACTTCGACATAAGCGGGGTATTCGAGATATCCCATGTTAGAGATACTGATATTTACCTGTAGTATTAAAATTAAGAAGTCCACAAATCACATCAAATCCTACAGATTCATGGCCAATATTACATTGCATCAAGTTTGTAGGGTGGCAAACTACTAACTTAGTAGTATATCCATTACAATAAAAGAATTCCTCTGCAGTCAAATTTAAGTAGGACTATATTTATTCTTATTTCAAGCTAACTACATGTAACTATGTCAAGAATGCCTTTCTAAGGTGTATTTTGAAATTGCACCTAATTTAATTATTTTCTTAGAAGAATGACAAAATTTAAATGAATAATCTTTAAATGTAAATGGTAAATCATTAATGTTAATAAATAAATGAATGAACATGTTAGAGAAAGTGACTGTCCTAGATATATGGGATCAAAACATTCTAGGAAAAGATCATGCTTACCCTTTTTCTGCCATATCCCCCTTGTCTGTCTTCATTATTATAGTAATCTCTAGAAAAGAAAAATCAAAGAATTTTCTATAAATACATAATGAGTATTGACATTAATGCACAACCTAAATCAATCAAAAACATATCATATTCCCTGATATATAAAATACTGTAAACATATCATTTAGCGGTGTATTCTATTTAGCAATTTTGGCTGAAAGCAGAGTCTGCTAAAACAAATACATCACCAAATGTCTTGAATATCATACATGTATATCTTATAATCTAGCACATTCATATAGCGATAAATCAAATCTATGTTAACTTGCTGAAAAATTAATTTCTACCAAATATCATACACGCCAAATATAAAACATTTACAGTATTTTTACCTGTGTCTGTCATTCCTCTGTTGGCCACCTCTGCCGTATTGCCCATGCTGATCATATTGCCCACGCTGATCGTATTGCCCACGCTGATCATATTGCCCATGCTGATCATATTGCCCACGCTGATCATATTGCCCACGCTGATCATATTGCCCACGCTGGTCATATTGCCCACGCTGGTCATACTGATATCCCCCTCTACCTTGATATCCCCGCCCACGATTATCATGCCACTCCCCCCTCTGACGTCCCCCTCTTCCTCTGTAATCTTGTCGGTCTTGATGTTGACCCCTCCCTCTAGATCCACCCCTCCCTCTCTGACCACCCTGCCATTCATCTCCATTGTGATCCATGTGGCCTCCACGTTGATTTTCATTGTGTCTATTTTGGTTACCATGCTGAAGAAGTAAATCAACACTTAACCAAGGTTTCGACAAAGAATCATTTTTGTTGTTAAAGCCAAAGTAGAAGTGGAAATTTTTTGTAAAGTTTTATAAATAGCATACTGTATGTGTGCATTAAATGGCATATTCAAAATTTAGCACAAACATTAGGTATAGAGTTGCTGGTGTATTCATGATTATTGCTACAATTTTCTGCAATGTGTATCATATTTATACATGATTTATATTAAACATACTGTATATCTTTAAAATAAATTCTCAAACAGGTCCACAATTAAGGGTATATACATATATGTCATTATGCCACACAATTTCCAATAAAAGAGACTCAGACGAGCATTTGTCTCAGAGATAAAACATTAACACTAAGTCTAAACTGCTGAATCTGAATAATGGAATACTTAGTCAGTTTTTATATGAAAACCCACTAAAGTGGAAACTATATATACCCCCAGTACCTTGGAAGCTAATTCTTTAGGGCTGAATTCTCTCATGTGATCCTCTTTTCCATCTCTGTAAGATTTGGAATTATGAAATTCAATGAAACAAGAGATGTTTGTAAAACAATATATATATCAAAACAGAAACCTAGATATTCATCTGATAAATCTGTATACTAAATTTCATCCCAGCATGTGCAACGGTTGCAAAGAAAATGAACAGAAACTGCAAATAATTGGAATTTTTCTAAGTCCAAGGGGCATAATTCTGTCAAAAATGGTGCAATCATACCTAAAACAGAACTTGACCTAGAAATTTATGTTATATATCTGTATACAAGATTTCATTTCAGTATGTGCAACGGCTGCAAAGAAAATGAACGGAAACTGCAAATAATTGAAATTTTTCTAAGTCCAAGGGGCATAACTCTGTCAAAAATGGTGCGATCGTACCCAAAACAGAACTTGACCTAGATATTAATCTGATAAATCCGTATACTAAATTTCATCTCAGTATGTGCAACAGTTGCAAAGAAAATGGACGGAAACTGCAAATAATTGGAATTTTTCTATGTCCAAGGGGCATAACTATGTGAAAAATGGCGCGATCGTACCCGAAACAGAACTTGACTTAGATATTCATGTGATATATCTGTATACCAAATTTCATCTCAGTATGTGCAACAGTTGTGAAGAAAATGAACGGAAACTGCAAATAATTGAAATTTTTCTAAGTCCAAGGGGCATAACTCTGTCAAAAATGGCGCAAACGTACCCAGCAACTTGACCTAGATATTCATGTGATATATCTGTATACTAAATTTCATCTAAGTATGTGCAACGGTTGTAAAGAAAATGAACGGAAACTGCAAATAATTGGAATTTTTCTAAGTCCAAGGGGCATAACTCTGTCAAAAATGGCGCGATCGTATCCGAAACAGAATTTGACCTAGATATTCATGTGATATATCTGTATACCAAATTTCATTTCAGTACGTGCAACGGTTGTGAAGAAAATGAACGGAAACTAAGTGGACCGACGGACCGACAGACCGACAGACCGACCGACAGACAGCAGCAAAGCAATATGCCCTCCCTTCTTCGAAGGGGGGCATAAAAAAATATATATCAACAAATAATACATATCTATTCTATCACCATGATCACATGCTTAATTATCAAGATTACAATTTTTTTAACTTCCAAATTTGCCGTATCTAAGAATTTAATTTAAAAAATGAGCCTTCCAACATATTTACCAAAACAATGTACAGTATGTAAACAAAGCACCCCTTTCAATCATTGAATGATTAATGTAATAAAACTCAAATTATAAACCTTGGTTTTCTTCCACGACTTTCTCTTTGTCCATCATTACTTGGGCTGTACTCTCTTCTGTGGTCTTCATCCGCAGGACTTTATCATCAAAATAGATAATTATTGTTATTAAAATTCTGAGAACAATATGCTGCTTACATCTCGTCTTATTGTTGAAATTGCAATATAAAATGTATATACCGGTATGCACAATTTTTATCATTCATTCCATAACTTACAGTAGTAAAATATATATGTAACAAACACGCTTACATTTTTATGAATTTATGCTTACAGTAAAGTAATTTTCATTCCTAAAGTTGAAAATGTGTCGAGAATATAACAGATCTCCATATATTTCATATATAATGAATCATACATTAATATCAGAGCAAAACTGCATGTTTGTCCCTGACATTTTTTATTTATAAACATGTACGTTTTACTGTATTTATGATTGAGGATAACATGAAACTTTAAATTTTCTATAAACTTGCTCAGCAATACATATTCAAGATTGGAAATGTGGTATAATATTGTACATATAGAACTATGATCTTGAACAATAAGCTATTCTAGTTGCTATGTAGGGAATAGCTTCTTATAAAATTATTTTGCCACAAACCTCTAGCATGCTTAAGTAGGGATAGCACAGGGACTTGAGACAATCGTAGAAAAAAAATCGGGTATATAGTATATAAACTTGAATTAAATCTGCACTGAATGACTTAAGTTTAAACGGTGAAAGATGATTGGATAATATTACTAGTTGTTTACAGAATCAAATATGGATGACCCCATTGAACTCAGAGGCCAATCGAAGATGAAAATGGATCGAGCTGATCTCTCTAGACGAGCGCTCAATGGTCCCTCAAATATTGTGAGGATGACCAAAAGCAGTTATATTTTTAAACGTTGCTCTAAAATAAAGTGCAACAGATGACAAGTGCAGAAAAATTAAGGTAATGCACGAAAATTGCATGGAAAAAAATGATGTAGGGTTAACAACGGCAACCTTATTCTCGGAAGTTGGAATATTTTTTACCAAGTTTAAAATGAAGTAAGGTAAATGATCAATTCATGACAATAAAGGACAACATTCTGCCTTTCTGGCAAAACATTTTCATGGGTTTTTTGAATAAAAATCAATGTTTTTTAAAAAAGAGTTTGAAGCGAGGCACCAAGGAATTAATGGCGGCTCTTTAGGTCCCTTCTCCCCTATTATACTATATACCCAATTTTGCTAAGATTGTTTCAAGTTCTTGTGTGGGATAGCAGCAATTTAATTCAATTAAATTGCATTCAATAGATCTACACAGAAATCTAGCTTAAGAAATACACATGCAGTCCTCAGCTTCAGAAGATAGCATTTTGTGATTTTCTTATAAACTGATAACAATGTAATGTAATGAATTTTCGTCTTACTTTTGTCTTCTCCCACGGTCTGTGTCACTTTCTCCTGACACATACTGGGGGGCCTGAGCTTCTGCCATAGTGGTGACTCGTAGATGTTTTCTGGTTATGTTAGAGACAATCCATCGAGATACTAAATGAAACCGCCTCGTGGTGAATAGTGTAAAATCAAATCGAAACCAAGTGGGAATTTGCTATTTTTTAAAAATTTGCCATGTAGCCTAATTTCATGTGCACGCAATATTCCACGAAATACCTACTTTCACTTTCACTAACAAAACAGTTTTGTGTCACTGTGTGTCTTTAAAGAAAAACTTTAACTTCGCCGAGTCTTAGATGACATAACACAAATCTATGAAAATAAAATATTTTGTCTGTTCAATAAGGAATGACGCATACGGACATTTCAAAACACAGAAACATGGAATTTCAAGCGAAAAAGAGACTGCAAAGGGGAATAACTTTGATTGGTGATGCATATGATAATAAGATGGGTTAAAAACAGGTACATGACCCAGTAACTGTATTGTATTCAGTAAAATAAGTAAAATATTGAGAAGTCAAATATCTTTGTATCATTTTATACAAAAACTTAAAAGAAAATATATCAAGTTTTAGTCTAATCAAATTTTACCGCCACAAGCTGTTTTGACAGGAACTCTCTTTTTCCTGGAGGTAAAAGAGGTATGGTGATCAACAACAATGTTGTCGAGGTTAAAGTTATTGCACCCTCGGCACTTGCAGCTTTTTGTGGATTCCGTGACACCACTGAATGCTTATCACACGAAATGTGGTGTATATGGACATCATCCAAGAACTAAAGCAGAGACAAAAATCGGTAAGGCAGCATCGGAAATGTTCTATAAATTTGCGTGCATTTCATTGGTCAAAATGGAGGTGTGTCTTTCACAAAAATGGCCTTGATGACAAAAACTTACGAATTTAAGGTTTTTACCATGCCCAGTGTAACATTAACTCTAAAAAGGACAGTATTGTATAAATAATAACCGCTAGTATTCTGTTCACTGAAAACAGAATGTGGATTTCTTTTTTAGTTTTATAAAACTGATTTTCCTGTTATTAAAACCTATTTGTATTCAATATATATCTCCCTACCATTCTGTAGATGATGCTACAATACAAAACAGGATACAACAGAGTAATGTGTACAGACTGGTGGAAGCCTACAGGACTTTCGGACACAGGAAAGCCACCTTAGATCCCCTACAGCTGGCAGAAACTGAGTTAGCATAAAATTCAATTCCGTAATTTTTAAAGGGGCACATTTCATTGCCACAAACAAAGTTAAATATATAACCTGTACATATCTACACACAAAAGTACTGTTGTTGAATTTATAACTATCTGCAAATATTTTCCAGAAATGTCCAAGAACTGGATGCTAGACTCTACGGAATTTCCACTGACAGTAATCAAACCATTCAAACAGAGGGAATTTTTAATGGACCAAATATGACAATTGAAGAACTTGTAAAAAATCTTGAGTCAGTTTACTGTGGTCCTGCTGCCATTGAGTTTCAACATTTAGAGGTAAATTTATATAGATGATGCTTACTTCTGTGTCATTATCTAGCATATGGTTTGATGTCTTTGAATAATTTTGATAAAGAGTGCAAGAAAAAAAGTTATCAGGAAAAACATCCTCATTCTGTGCAAATGTCTGGGAAATTTCCTTTTACATGTACTACCAATATTCCAAAATACAACTAAATACTGGTAACAACCAATTAAGAATAAGTGTAATATAGCAATAAATTTTTGTTGTTCAAAATGACAAATTGCTTTTTTATCTATTAATTTATCTATTTTTTATATATGAATGATTAGTTCTCTTTGCACTAGCTTGTACATATATATGTTTTTCCAGAGTACAAAGTCTTCATTGCACATAAACTACTACTGTGGTAATTGGTTTAACTTCTGTAAAGCATTAGTACTAGTTTGTCAAATACCCAGGATGTTTTTTAATGAATTGACAGTCCTGACCTTGATTAATTGATTAATTTTCTACTTCAATATCTTAAGCTAACCATATTCAAGGTTGTAGAGGTTCACATTACTCATTGATAAAATGATTCATTTCTTGTTGACAGGAAGCTGAGGAGAAAGAATGGTTAGCTAAAGCTTTTGAGACACGAGGGGAGATAGAGTTTACAGCCCAGACAAAGAAAGAGTTGGCAGATTTAATGCTGCGTTGTCAGGTAAGAAATAAATGTAGGAGTATATAAAGTTGAACTCTGTTATTTTGAACACTGATATTTCAAATACCATGGATATATCTTAATTAGTGTTCTGGAAGTCCCAACCCCTTGTTCTTCGAGTCATATGATGATATCTCAAATACTTGGACATTCAAGAAGCTATTTTTCAGCTTCATTAAGTTAGAGATGACAAAGTTTGGCCATACATGTATGAAAAGTGTTCTTTAAAAGGAATTTTCTTGTAATTTTAGTATCATTCTTTAACAAAGTGTATATATTCTCAGTGAAATACCAATATTTTGAAAGTTTATAATATTATTGATAAAATTCATATCATTCAAGAGGTATTGTATGTTTTGATAGAGATTTATCCTGATTGACACATCAAACCTTCAAATACAAGAATATACTCACCGGTATATATTTCCAGGCATTTGATCACTTCTTGGCCAGCAAGTTTGTAAATGTAAAACGTTATGGAGGAGAGGGAGGTGAAAGCATGATGGCCATTTTTGAAGAAATCTTCAACAAGTGTTCACAAAGTAAGTCTTTATTCTGTTTCAGCTTACTAATTTCAATTTATTCTGTTTCAGCTTACTAATTTCAATTTATTTACCATGTCAAAGAACGATGCAAAGAATGTTATCCTTAATTATGAATTATTTTCATAAGGAAGTTCTTTTTTTTTGTTTGACATTAACATTCATTTGAGATTTTTTAAAATTAATATACAATTGATAATTGGTTGAGATTCTTAATTCCAAGGATTCTAAATTTCAAGGATTTATTGTCTGTGAAAAACTTTTAAAAGAAATCTTGGCCCTTTATGTACATATGCACACTCGTAAGGGATTTTTATTTAACAGACAGTATCACAGATGTGGTTATATGTATGCCACACAGGGGACGATTAAATTTTCTCACCTGTATGTTAAAGTTTCCTCCAGTTATCATGTTCAGAAAGGTAAGTAGGCTTTCTCACTACCAGTTTTTTTTTTTTCTATTTGAGAATTAATATTTATTATAGAATCTAAGATACTATTTTAAGCCAGCTAGTTTTAAAGTTTGTTTAAAGTTTGTCATTGTATAAACTATTTTGATTAAGAAATCTGAATGTTGGCTCAGTTATGAATAATTTTAGTGTTAAAGCTTTTCTAGTTTTTAACACACCACTGTACTTGTTTATTCTAGATGAAGGGTCTAGCAGAGTTTCCACCCAATGTCTCAGGAAGTGGGGATGTTTTATCACATCTTTGTAAGTTCTTACTCAGGAAGTATAAAATAATCATTATTGAAGCCAATGCTATATATTATCAAATAGGTAGAATTACTGGTTGATGGTAAGGCATTTAGTTATTTATGTCACATTTCAGACACCTCTGTTGATTTAAACTACGCTGACAAAGATGTTCATGTTAGCCTGATTCCCAATCCCTCACATTTAGAGGTGAGTGATTCTACCATTATTTACATGTCTGGTTTCTATTCTATGGCCATTCTTTTGAAATACCACTCATCCATCACATGTTTAAAGTGGGATATTGTTATGGCTATGAAAGATTAAACACAAGCCATATCAGCCATTAACACTATCATCAACATTAATTAAAAAATGGCAAAAAGTCAGATCTTTTCCTCATATAATTTCTGTCATATTTGTGTGGCGGTCAGCCGGGTTCAATCGCCGGTGGCCAGATAGCTCAGTTGGTGGAGCACCTGACCGGAGTTTCAGGGGGCCTGGGTTTCGAATCCCAGTCTGGTCCGCTGCATTTTCTCCTCTCCCATTACATTTGGTGCCGTGCCATGCCCTGGAATTGAAAGGTGAAAGACCTGCCAGGGATGAGCCTGGGTTGGGGTCTTTGGAGGAGCAAAGACCTTTAAGGAGGGAGGAATGTGGCAGTCAGCCGAGTTCGACCGCCGGTGGCCAGATAACTCAAGAGCACTTGACCGGAGTTTCATGGGGCCCAGGTTCGAATCCCGGTCTGGTCCGCTGCATTTTCTCCTCTCCCGTTACATTTGGTGCCATGCCATGCCCTGGAATTGAAAGGTGAAAGACCTGCCAGGGATGAGCCTGGGTTGGGGTCTTTGGAGGACCAAAGACCTTTAAACACAATGGGCAGTCAGCCATTTGACCTCCGGTGGCCAGATATCTCAGTTGGTGGAGCAACTGGAAAAAAGTTCGAATCACTCTCCGCTATATTTTTTCTCCCTTTACATTTGTTTAATTGACCAGTACTCTTTTGCAGGCTAACAACCCAGTAGCTGTTGGGAAGGCCCGATCTAAGCAACAGAATTTACAGTGTGGTGAATACAGCCCTGATCCCACAGAGGAGAAAGTATTGTGTGTGCAAGTGCACGGTGATGCTTCTTTTTCTGCTCAGGTAGGAATATCGTCTCAGTTGTTTAAGGAGATGAAAGGGTCACACTTTCTTTTATGTCTTTGGATTTTTTATTTGTTTATGATGATGCATTCTGAAGTTACCATATTCCATAGTAGCTCACCTTTTGTAAAGATTTACTGTTAACACATTTTCAGTGACATATAAAGGAATAAGTTTACTTTTTCCTCATTATCATGCACAAAATGAAGGTTGTAATTCCTAATATATGTGTGTAATGTATGAATGTTTTTATTGTATTTCAAAGGGTATAGTAGCAGAAACATTCAGTATTGCTGAGTGTCCACACTTCAATGTCGGTGGCAGTATACACTTAATTGTTAACAACCAGGTGGGCTTCACAACGGAGGCTTCCAGAGGCAGGTCAGCGGTCAAACACTAAATAACTTTTAAACTTTAAGAAGTTAAATATCTTTTAAAATGTCCTGCATTTGGCAGAGTTTTATCTTAATTATCAAATATTTGAAAAAGTCTTTTTATTTTGCTACCGCAGTGCATTTCATCCTCTGTGTGATTATTTTACGCAGGTCCTCTAGATACAGTAGCTGTCTGGCCAAAATAAATGCCTATCCTGTTCTACATGTAAATGCAGACTACCCAGAGGTATTGTAAGAAAGATAAGAAAGGCTAAGGCAGTATATTAAAAATATTTACCCTTTTGAAATGATTTACCGATACATATCTTTAATTAAAACAGAATACCACTGAACATGGATCCAAAAAAAAATTGATGATAAACATTAACTTTATTCACAAAAATTTAATATTGTAGCACCAAAAATATTACTTTTTTGAATTCTGAAATTTTCATTCACTTCATGAAGCTAAAAAAAATGCAATAAAAATTTTGCATTGTTTTTCAAACAAGTGAAATCTTAATCTGAGCGATTTTCAACAGATTTTCAACATTCACAAATTAAATTTCTTGTTTCATTTTCTTACTATGGTCTAGTTACTCTATAGAGGTTTTAACATACCGTATCTGTTTTATATTGTAGGAAGTTTTACGAGTGACTTCTATAGCCATGGACTACAGGAAAAAGTTCAACAAAGATGTCATCATTGATTTCATCTGCTTCCGCAAACATGGCCACAATGAACTAGACGACCCCTCCTTTACCCAGCCGACCATGTATAAAGCGGTGAGAGGGAGGGACAGTATTCCCAACCAGTATGCTAACCTTCTTGTGGTATGTCGTCATATTACTGGTTCTAGCTAAATACATATAAAGAGTCCTTGTCCTATCTCTATGTAATTATTGTATCGTTAGTATGCTTACAAACAGATTGGATTCATGCATTTTTCTAAAGAATTTTCTGAAAGGATTTTAAGTGTTCAATAAAAATCCTTCATACCTGTGACGACTATTTTATGTAGATCGATGAGTTTTGTTAGGGAAAATACAGTATACGTTCACAACAGTTACATTCAAACTAGCAATAAAGACGTAATAAATCAAGAACTGTGCCACTTATTTATGATCTTTTTCTCCATCATTTTTATATTCTAGTCCCAGGGACTGTGTGAGCAGGAGACATTAAATGAATCTGTCAAGACTTGGAATGCTACACTATCTGACCATATGTCTCAAGTGGAATCATATACACCTCAAGTAAAATATTTTATTTATTGGGCCAGAAAGATCTAAAGGTTTAAAGAATTGTAATTATAGTGACTTTACAGAATTGGTTCTTGAAATTTTGAAAAAAGTGCTCAATAACAGTTACAATATATTTAATTAAAACAGTACTACTGATGTAAGGAATGAAAATGTAGGATTAACATTGTCAGTTACTTTAATAAGCATCTGTTTTGTAGAAATTTGACATCATTTACTCTAATTGCTATCTGTTTTGTAGAGATTTGACCTCCAGAGTCAGTGGAGTGAGCTGGTACAGCCAGGAGACATGATAACACACTGGGACACAGGGGTCTCTGTAGATCTACTGAAATACATAGGACAGAAGTCTGTAACCTGCTCTGATCTGGTGAGTGTACATGAGATTGTGTGATAGTATTGGTGAAAATTTTGGCTTAGGGTTTACATGTATGTATTTGAAGAATTATGGTCTTCTTGTATTATTTATTCCATATTGTTGGCAGCATCTTTCAGTCTTTTAGCAAATTCTAATTCAGAGGGTTTTCATTTTATTATTGATGCAGCCATAGCAAAATTAAATTAGGAAAGCTTCAAAAATGGATGAAATTTTCACTAAAACAGAATTCTTCCCTTTTTGATGTTTTATAAGTAAAGGAAAAGGCTTTATGCTCAAGATGAAAATTAGACACGTCTATTTGATATTGTAGAAAATCCACCCCAATGTACAGAAGGCCCATGTGGACCGTCGTCTGGAGAGGATGAAGGAGGGACGGGGGCTGGACTGGGCCACAGCAGAGGCTCTGGCTTTTGGTTCACTGCTCTACCAGGGTAAGCTTCACATAACCTAAACTAAAATGTTTTAAAAATTCATTTATGACAGTGCAGGTGCTAAAAATGCACAAATCTGTGTCAAATTTACATACACAATGACAATCACATGAAACATGTACATGTATGTTCAGGAAAATCTTTTACTGTGTATTCCTGTATGGGGAAGAATAAATCAATTGAAGAATTTTAAAATAAGTTATTCAAACACTTTCTTAAGCAAAGATAAATCCTAGGTGGGGCAAAAAATGACTTGATTTTGGATACCTTCATGAGGGTGGTTTTTTTTTGTAGGTTATAATGTTCGAGTGAGTGGACAGGATGTTGGGAGGGGAACCTTCAGTCACAGACACGGTATGCTGGTGGACCAGGAGACGGATGAGATCCACATCCCCCTAAACCACATCAAGGAGGGTCAGACAGGCTTCCTGGAGGTAAAATAGAAAGGGTTATGACTTTGGAGGGGGGACTTACCAGATATAACATCAGGAGATCAAAAAAGGGTTCTATAGCAATGAAGCTTAAGTGTCTGGTTTATATGGTGAATGTTACCTTATCTATAACACCATCCATTTAATATTTGGCTGATACAGTAAAACATGCTTTAACATTCCAGGAACAGTTGATTTTGTTTCTTCATGAATATAACGTCTTATATCTGTTACGTTCACATACCATGGGAAATGAAAATCACTGCACTGTAAGAATCGGTTTATTTTTAGCAAGCAATAAGCATGTCTTACTGTATTGTTATAAATTATAAACATGTTGTACATGGTACTTTTCCAGCTGGCTAACAGTGCCCTATCTGAGGAGGCGGTCCTGGGCTTTGAGTACGGGATGAGTATAGATAACCCTAACAACCTGATTATCTGGGAGGCCCAGTTTGGGGATTTCTTCATTGGAGCACAAATCATCATAGATACCTACATTGCCAGCGGAGAATGTAAGTAGATTACTGACAGACAGTCATATTAGCAGATTTTGCTTTGAAGAATTGAAATTTTCATTGAACAGAGCATTAAAAAATTGAAAATTTTATCTAATATGTAGCTGTTTATTTCACTGTTTCAAGAACTCTATTTTTCTTTGTTTTGCACTGGGAATTTTATACTCATATTATGAAGTCCCTGTTTCACTAAATTTTATCTAATGATTGGTTATGGATAACAATGATATAGCTCCTAGCATACATACTTTTGGTCTTTCAGTGAAATGGCTGCTGCAGACAGGACTAGTGATGCTATTACCTCATGGAATGGATGGAGCAGGACCAGAACACTCATCCTGTAGGATAGAAAGGTTCCTACAGGTTGGGATTTTAACAAATTAGGATTACAATCTATTTTCTTCATCAGACTTTACATTGACCATGCAGTATTGGTCAGGTGGTATTCATAAATGACCTTGACATGTATCTGTTGTAGATGTGTGACAGCAGTGAGGTCAAAGTGGACGGAGACAACATTAACTTGCAGGTCGTGAACCCCACCACCCCCGCACAATACTTCCACCTCCTCAGGAAACAGGTGCTGTGGTACTCTGTACTGATAAAAATCAGTCCATAATAAATGGACAACCAAAACAATTCAGAACACAAGATAATATTTTCCTGTAGTTTTTTCACCTGTGCTGAGTTCTTGGAGATGATTGAATCACAAATTATTCTAACACTTTTAGATGGTACGTAACTTTAGGAAGCCCTTAGTAGTGGTGGCTCCAAAAATCTTACTGCGTCTGCCAGAGGCCACCTCTACTCTTGATGAAATGGCCCCTGGAACCACCTTCCTCCCAGTATTTGGCGACCCTGATGTGTCTGCGAAGAATGTCTCCAAAGTTATTTTCTGCTCTGGCAAACACTACTACACACTAGTAAAGGAGAGGGAAAATCTCAAACTTCAAAATGTTGCTGTGATTCGTTTGGAGGTACATATTGTAAATAATTATACATGTATTAAATACTGAATAAGAATGTGATTATTATTAAAATAATGATATTCATTTTTTAAATGGATGTCTATGAGACTGCAAACCAATTATTCTGAGAATTTTCTTGGAAATGAATTGTCAATTTTATGATAAAATATCCAGATTGCGTGTTTTTTTTTCTGTTAAATCCTTTATGTGGGTAAAATGAAATCATTTCTTAAAGTGTTGATGAACTGCAAACAGAGCTTAATAATCATAATTTTTTTAAAAAAATAGATTTCTTAAAAATGCAGCTGATTGGTATTTAAAGCTGTGTATGCAAAAAACTTATTCTTTGAGAGAATTTATTTGACGAAATGAAAAATCATTTTGTCCCTTAAAAATGCTCCGACAGCACATTATAAATACATGTATGATTAATATTCTGGGATTTCTCTTTCAAGAGCTTGTGTCCATTCCCGGCTTCAGAAGTACAAGAAGAGCTGAATAAATTTTCTAATGCCACAGGTAAAAAAAAAATATCTGAAGCTACTGCTTTCTTTTGTTTACTATGTGTATTTGAGACCTTTCATTCTTGAAATTCACCAGCAAATATTAATCTCCATAAAATGGAGGTAAATAAGATAAGAAGAAATCATTATAATTTTTATGTACAATATTATGATAAATATAGCTATCCAGTTAAAACATTATTAGTTACTAGTATGTAGACTGAGGGATAATACAAAAATATGTATTTTTTTTCAAGGACCTCACATATTTCCATATTACCCCTCTAAGTGGCTACATAACAAATTTATCCTGTCAAAGATTTTTTAATAAAGTTCTTTTTCTCTGAGGTAACAAATTGTTCTGTAACAATTGTTTACATTGTGACGTCATTTTTTGTTCATATGACGTCAGTTATTAGGCTTTTGCGTGTTCAAATGAAAACAACTTATCTGTGCTGTATGGCACGCGGAGGGGATTTGATGTGATGTGTGGTGGGTAGGTCATGTGGAGGGGGCACATTAGCAATATGATGTGGGTAGACAGCATAGTATTGATTGATACAGTATTTTTCTCTACCAATGAAATTTCACAATTTTTATCAGAAGCAGAATAATGCAGCATACAGTATCACTATTTATTTTCACAATTAAATTTGTGTAAATGGTGTGTGCCAGGAAATGTTTGTAAGTTGAATAAGGTCTCAAAAACCCACAAATATAGATCCAATGCAATGTGAACAAAGTTGGTTTACAGTTACATGTACTTGAATATTGTACATAACTAAAAGACATTAAGTACTGGTAATTATTTATATATCGGTTTTTGTAGACTTTGTGTGGAGTCAGGAAGAACACAGAAACATGGGAGCCTGGAGTTTTGTGTCACCTAGATTTGAAAATGTTTTAGGAAAGAAGGTAAATTATTAAGAAAGGCATAAAATGATTTGCCACAAGAATGTTTTATTTAATGTTTCTTCAGGGCAATAAACAGTTGAATTTATTTATACCTAGTAAATCTAACACCTTTTCCCCCCATTTATTAATGAATTAACCACTATATATATATTTTTTGTGGTGATTTTTATTGCAAGTTTGCAGCCATTTGAAAATTATGAAATTTAGCATGTTCTTGCATTGTGTTTGATATTTATGTTGTAAATGTACATATTTTTTGTAGTTGAGGTATGCTGGTCGTGATCACCTGGGGACCCCCGCCACTGGTATAGGTCTGATTCATCAAGCTGAGGCCAAATCCATACTGCAGCAAACATTCAGTTGATCTCAAAAGGGAGCTAATAATAAATCGAAGTAATGGTATCTCAAAAGGGGGAATCATAACAAATCAAAGTATTCTTGATAAATTTCTTTATTTTATATAAGCAGAGGTCTAATATTTCATGTTGTGATGTCAGTGTCTGAATTGTACATTTGGAGTATATTGTTTAAATGTATAGACTGCAAATTTTAAAGAATTTATTTTGTTCTGGTCTTGTGAGACACAAAGGTATTGTTATTACCGATAGTTAAGAAGTTATACATTTATACTGAAAATAGGAATCTCGGGGTAATTTTCTGTTTGCATGCATTTAGTCATATAATATACCGGGTACATGAGTAGAAAGATTTATATTGCTAATCTAAAAATATGTGCATTTGCGATCAAATATAGTCATTTCATTTTTATGAAAAGGGCATTTATCAAATCCAAGGAAGTCAGTATTTAAACAAAATTTTATTTTCACATTTTATTAATTTAATTTTTTTATTTATTAAAAAAAAAATATTAATTAAATATTTCCAAAGATTTATTTATTTTAAGAAGAAAAAATAGTGCTTGTTATACTAGTATACATTCTTATACAATGCTTAATATTATATAGAGATGGAAGGTCATATTTTTTTTACATTTGTCCTAGTCCGGTGCATTGAAGTACAATTATCTTATTAGTTTATACATGTACCTATCTTTTTAAATGCTTGTAATTGTGATTTTTTTTAAAAGAATAAATTATTTACATATGCACATAATTTATACATTAAGTGCTTTTTTTTAAGCAGAGGAAACCTGAAAAATAAATATAAAATATATTTAATAGATTTACTTATCTGAAGTACTGTAAATCGTTTTAATTCCACGAAGTTAAAATTTCACGATATCTCTAAAAGTATCAATCGCGATTGTTTTAATTTCACGCTGGAAGAAATTATTTTAAGTCTCTTTAAAGCATTTAAACATCTTTGAAAAGTAATGATAGCATTCACGATGGGTTTAATTTCGCGGAAAAATGATAAATCGCGAACATAGCGAAATTAAAACCATCGTGAATATTTGCCAATCTACAGTAAATGTAAATATTTTCACCCAAATGAATATATCATGATGAGATTATTTTGTGTGTTTAACAGACTGTGTATTCTAACTTTTTAAAGGTAATGGATGTATTTTTGTTTTTCTTTAAATTTAATAATCTAATGGTTTTGACACTATAAATATATTTGTGATATTTTGGTTATTAATTATTGTGCCATTTTTGTGTGAATAAAAACTCAGAACTCCCAAGTATCTTGTTTTTTATTATGCCCTCCTCACCAAAGATTCTTTTGATGTTTAGTGCCAAGGATTTCATTTTCTTAATTGAATTCTTTGTGACTTTTTCATTACCATAAAAATATTCTTGACTTCTTGACTTCAGATTGACCTAGCTACTTTTGTTAGACTAACTTTGACCTTGAAAATTTTTTCATGTTTATTCGTTGTGACAAGGACTTTCTTTTGGTAACAAGATTTTTGGCTTACTTACTTTGGAGCTGACCTACATTGTAGCTAGAAAGCTGCATTTGAAAAACATGGTTTTAAGCTGCCATGGGAAGAGGAAGGGGAAGCATCTGTTTTAACAAGAGGCACATGGGCCACAACGCTCACCTGAGTAGCTTTGACCATGCTGTTCTTTACCAGATTTACCCCAAGTAATACATATTGTGACCCCACCCTACCCCACAGGTCATGATTTGGACAATTTAAAATCTACATTATCCCAGGATGTTTTCACATAAGTTTCAGCTTTTCTGGTCCAGTGGTTCTTGAGAAGTAGATTCTTCAATTCAGTTCAATTCATTTATTGACAAAGATTTTTCCTTTTAAATTCTTTGTAAAACTTTGATTCCCTAGTGGCCCTGCCCTACCCCCACGGGTCATGATTTGAACAATTTAGAATCTACACTACCCTGTGATGCTTCCACATAAGTTTCAGCTTTTCTGGCCCAGTGGTTCTTGAGAAGAAGATTTTTAAAGATTGTTCCTATATTTTCTATGTTAAACTTTGATTCCCTATTGTGGCCCCACCCTGTGAAGGGACTTGGCCCTTAATTTTTACAATTTAAACTCCCCTTCACCCAAGGATGCTTTGTTCCAAGTTTGGTTAAAATTGGCCCAGTGGTTCTTGAGAAGAAGTCGAAAATGTGAAAAGTTTACAGACGGACAGAGAGCTAGACAGAAGGACAGACATAATGTGAATTAGAAAAGCTCACTTGAGCCTTCGGCTCAGGTGAGCTAAAAACATCTTATTTCTTCTCTGTTGCAGATGTGCAAATAATCCATCAACTGACCATATTTTGGGACAATCGGTTTCATTTGGATAAAGCCTTCTTTTTACTCTTAATCCTTGTTTTGATTGCAAAGGGTATTTCTTGTAAGTTCACTTCACTTGGTACACTAATCTAGTACCGGTATATATTGTATATTTTGTTATGATACATGTATCAAAACATGAACAATTCTTATTAATTCCTCATTTAATTTTTAGTTTGTAAGAGCTGGAGGCTTAAGTGTCAGAGCTTTTCTTATTGAAATCTGTCATCATAAACTTTCATTCATTTTCATCTTCTTCTCCAAAACCACTGGGCCAACTTTGACCAACTTGCCAAAAAGCATCTTTGGGTGGAGGTGATTCAATTTTGTTCGAATGAAGATCACGCCCTCTTTCAAGGAGAGATCATTCAAAATTGTTGTTCCTTGTAACCCTATTGCAACAACTGATTAAGTAGAGAAACCAGAAGTCTCTGTCGAGACTGTAGCTCTACTGGTTTGTACTTATAACAAAGGATGAGAAAAGAAGCCATTGCCATCAGACCAAAACTGTAGAGGGAGTATCATGTTAAAGGAATTTCACAGAAATTTCTATTTTTAGTAACAATGGTAACACTGTACATCGAAATCAAAATCCAATGCACTATTTATGTATCTTAGTGTAGTCTACTTGTGTGCCAAGTTATATTGAAATCAGACCAAAACTGTAAAAGGAGTAGCATTTTTAAGGAATTTCACAGAAAATTCTATTTTTAGTAACCATGGCAACACCATTCATTGAAATCAAAATTGAATGCACTATTTTTAGCTCTTCTGAGCCAAAGGCTCAAAGAGCTAATGCTATGGCCATTTGTGTGGTGTGCGTCGTGCGGTGTGCGTTAACTTTTTAGAATATGGGCCATAACTCAAGAACCCCTTGGCCAATCAGTGTCAAATTTGTCACAGGGTATCCTTGGCCCAAGGGCTACCATTTATACTAAAATAAGGGTTGGGACCCTAAAACAAGGGGAGATAATCAGGAAAACAAAACCAAAAGTACTGGTTGCAAAAAAATCTTCTTCTCCAGAACCACCAGGCAGATTTTCACCAAACTTACATACAATGATCAGGATATGTTGAAGATTAAAAATTGTTCAAGGCATGACCCTGGGGCAAAGGGCGTGGTCTCACACTTCAAAGTTGACCTAAATTTACAATTAATGAAAATGTCTATATTTTACTTACTATAAGGACTAGGATCATCAAATCTTGTAAGTAGATGCATCTTAGGACTTCACATCATGTTAACTCAAAAGTAGGTCACGGTGACCTACTTTTTTAATTTTGCGGGCATTTGTTTACAAATTGATTTGAAGGCATATTTAGGACACTTTAAGGCCTATGATCATCAAACTTTGTCAGTTGATGCATCTTGGGTCCTTGAACAACGTAACTTAAAAGTAGGTCACCGTGACCTACTTTTTGAACTTTATGACTTATCCTGTTTAAAACATTTCATCCCATTATTTCAGACACTGAGAGGGTTAGAATCATCAAATCTTGTAAGTTGCTGCATCTTGGGACCTTAAAACATATTTAAGTAAAAGTAGGTCACTGTGACCTACTTTTTGAACTTTATGACTTATCCTTTTTAAAACATTTCATCCCATTATTTCAGACACTGAGAGGGTTAGAATCATCAAATCTTGTAAGTTGCTGCATCTTGGGACCTTAAAACATATTTAAGTAAAAGTAGGTCACTGTGACCTACTTTTAGAATTTTGCAGGCATTTGTTTTCAAATTGTTTAAAAGGCATATTTTGATTACCTTCAGACCAATGATCATCAAACTTGGTCAGCTGATGCATCTTGGGACTCTGAAAAATGTGACCTACTTTCGACATTTTATGGCTATATTTCAGTATCTTAGGTATTTCTTGGCTTAGAATCATCAAACTTTGTGAGTTGATGCATCTTGGGTTTTCGGAGAGTGATGACCAAAAATTAGGTCACGGTGACCTACTTTCAATATTTTATTGCTATATTTATGTATCTCCAGTACTTTTCAGCTTAGAATCATTAAACTTTGTCAGTTGATGCATCTTGGGTTTTGAATGTCGACCAAAAAGTAGGTCACGGTGACCTACTTTTGACATTAAATGGCTATATTTATGTATTTCTGGTACTTATCGGCTTAGAATCATCAAACTTTGTTAGTTTATGCCTCTTGGGTTTTCAGAGAATGTCGACCAAAAAGTAGGTCACAGTGACCTACTTTTGAATATCAGGTAATTGGCTTAGAATTATCAAACTTGGTTAGCAGATGCATCTGAGGCCTCTGATAAATGTCAACCAAAATGTAGGTCACGATGACCTACTTTTGACATTTAATAGCTATATTTACTATCTCCAGTACTTATCGGCTTAAAATCATCAAACTTTGTCAGTGTATGCATCTTGGGTTTTCGGAGAATGTTGACCAAAAAGTAGGTCACGATGACCTACTTTTGACATTTTATGGCTATATTTAAGTATCTCCGGTACTTATTGGCTTAGAATCATCAAACTTTGTTAGTTTATGCCTCTTGGGTTTTCAGAGAATGTCGACTAAAAAGTAGGTGACGGTGACATACTTTTGAATATCTCCGGTACTTATTGGCTTAGAATCATCAAACTTTGTCAGTTAATGTATCTTGGGTTTTCCAAGAGTGTAGACCAAAAAGTAGGTCAAGGTGACCTACTTTTGAATATCTCAAATACATATTGGCTTAGAATCTTCAATCTTAGTTTGTCTATTATGTATCTTGAGTCCTCAGAAAACTTCAGTCTTAAAGTTGGTCACCATGACCTACTCATGTTTTTTTTTTTTATAGCTTTATTAAAATATCCTAGTCCTAATTGGCTAAGAATCATCAAACTTTTTATCAGATGATGCAGCTTAGGTTTTAGGATACTTAGGGTTAGAGGATTCAAATACAAGTGATAGGTTGTACAATTTATCAGAAGAGCGATTCAAGGCCCTTGGGCCTCTTGTATGTATCTTAGTGTAGTCTACTTGTGTGCCAAGTTATATTGAAATCAGACCAAAATTGTAGAGGGAGTAGCGTTTTTAAAGGTATTTCACAGAAAATTCTATTTTTAGTAACCATGGCAACACAATTCATCAAAATCAAAATCGAATGCACTATTTTATGTATCTTAGTGTAGTCTACTTGTGTGCCAAGTTATATTGAAATCAGACCAAAACTGTAGAGGGAGTAGTGTTTTAAAGGTATTTCACAGAAAATTCTATTTTTAGTAACCATGGCAACACAGTTCATCGAAATCAAAATCCGATGCATTATTTTAGGTATCTTAGTGTAGTCTACTTGTGTGCCAAGTTATACTGAAATCAGACCAAAACTGTAGAAGAAGTAGCGTTTTAAAGGAATTACACAGAAAATTCTATTTTTAGTAACCATGGCAACACCGTTCATCGAAATCAAAAACCGATGCACTATTTCATGTATCTTAGTGTAGTCTACTTGTGTGCCAAGTTATATTGAAATCAGATCAAAACTGTAGGAGGAGTAGCATTTTAAAGGAATTTCACAGAAAATTCTATTTTTGGTAACCATGGCAACACCGTTCAAGGAAATCAAAATCCAATGCACTATTTTATGTATCTTAGTGTAGTATACTTGTGTGCCAAATTATATTAAAATCAGACCAAAACTGTAGGAGGAGTAGCATTTTGAAAAATTGTTTACAGACAGACGGACAGCTAGACAGACGGACGGACGACGGACACCTTACTATCGCATAAGCTCTTCTGGTCTCTGACCAGTAGAGCTAAAAATCTGGTCCATTTTTATGTAGAATTCATCCATACAACTGACAGAATCATGAGATGACCAATTTGCACACTATAACAACAAAACCTTTGCCTGTTTATTCCTTTTTTATTTTCATGACAATACAATATTTTAATAACATGCTCTTCTGAAGACACCTGCAGAAGAATATACAGCAACACTTTATTGGAAAATAGCACAGGGCTTAGGAAAGGGTTTAGTTTTCTTTACATTTGATAAGCTTGGTATCATGGTTTTTTTCATTGGATAACAATTACTTCAACTTATAGCTTTAACTTTTCCCAACAAATCTTGGACATGGAAATACTTCTCCATTTCCATGATTTCTCTAGCTTTCAGCTACTTTCTAAATAAAAGGTCAAATATTTATAGTAAAACCATTAAGAATAAACCAAGGTTGATACACATATATACGGTACATGAATTATAAATAAATTGTGTGAATACCGGTAGAATTATGTAAGACATACTTTACTGTGTTAATTACTTTCACTTTAATATCTGTATACCGGTATGTACTGTACGTAAAACTGGGTTTTGCTGGAATAAAATCATTGTGGTTTTCTATAAAGCCGTCCCAGGATTCTAGGTTCATGCATCGTAAAATTTAAATATTTTTTTCTAATTAAAATGTAAAATCTTGTGAGGATTGGTTGGTTATTAACAAGTACAGGTCATATTATCTATTCCCATACTGGTATACCTAAATGCATGCCTGCATAGCACATCTGGACAAAACAACTCGAGTATATTTTACAATATGATCAGCATATATTCATATATATGACACAATAAACCTTTGAAAGTCACATGATTAATCACATGACCAATATAATTTCATATCTTGCATGCATTATGAACACACCACTCTGGCATGATACTGCAAACTGAGAAAAAAAAAGTTCTATATATAAAACATCAGATACATATCAAATAATATAAAGAAAATGAATATGACAGTAATGCTTAAAATGAAGATGAACTGCTGGCTTGCTTGAATACAGAAATAAAGCTGGGAAAAAATATGGATCAAAAATTTCACATGCTCAAGGTACATGTACTTTTCATGAGTTCCAACACTGTGGTTTCACTTTTTTCCTGCTATCCACATCTTCTTTTTCCTTGTTAAACGGAACCAAACATTCAGCACAAATAATGGATCGTATAGTCAGCAGTGAATATATTTGTTTTAACAGACTTTTAGGCACACTATTGCAGATCACAGATTTACACTTGTAAAGTTAAACACATGTAATTTCAGTACCATCCTCCAGTTAACTTATGAAATAATTCCTCATTGAGAGTTTGATTTTTGTCCGATGATCTCATGGAAAGGAAGATATATCCTCCAATGAACTCATGCACCACTTTACAGTCAGCACTCAAACAAGCAAAGGTCAGAGTCTCCCCCTCAAATTCTAAAATAACATGTCTCACTTCCCAGTTCACATGCCATGATTTCAGACTTCCGTAACGCCATGTTTTTATGGAATCACCAGAGTTCAAGTCCATTCGCATTATTTTGTTTGGCGATACTCCCAAGAGCTCCTGTAAGAAAATACAAATGCATTCAATTTACATTTATAATACAATGACATAAAATACTATACACATTGTTTTCCCTTTCTTTTTCTCTTGTGCATTTTTTACCCAAAGATTAACAGTTTTTTCCAAAAACTCTTTACAGGCCCATAAATGATGAGGGTTAAAATAAGAATGGGAAAAATTTGCTCAAAATTTCTTTCAAGTGGTTAATCAAGACTAAAATTTACTGTAAATTAAGTTTGTCATTGATGAAAAAATAAATACCTCTTTCTTGGCATTCTTCTGCTTGATGATGAAGTAGCTGATGCCATAATCAGGAAGAGACTGCCAGGCTTTTATAAACGCCATCTTGGAATCCATCAGAGGCAGATTCTGGACATTAGCATGGGCCTCTAGTATTCTCTTCTCCAGCTTAAAGGGAATAATGAACAAATTTAATATAGCAGGTTTGCACCTCTTTGAAAATCAGTAAGTTATGAGGCAAAGCTTTGAATTTTCTTGTTCGGAGGGCTATAAGATATAGAGCTGTTCTGTCTGTAAACATCTGATTTCAAAATGATTTCAATTAATAAACAGTACATGTACAGTGTACTTAAAATTACATGTACTTAAATTTATACAGGGCTGTTTAATTAGGGTTCACAAATGTCAAAATAATAATGCTCCATGTATATGTATTGCTCTTGCAATTTTTATTTGTAGAGAATATGCTGAATTTAAATATTCTTCCTTATTTCTTGAAATAGAAATTATTGAATTGTCTATCTAGCAATAGGACCTACTTGTTTCCCTTTTAATTTCTTGTAGAACCTGGGTGCCACATAGTCCTCTGGGTTCTTAATGTCCACCTGTATGGGGGTCACAGGGGCATCTGTGGGGGTCTGTCGGCTCAGCAGGGTCCTCAGACTCTGGACCTCAGTGTCGTAAGAACTGTCCGCCATTGTTTTGCCCTGGGAAGCTAACTTACATGCTGCCATCCACTTGCAATATTCATCTTCCTGAAAAATCATAACATACCACACATTTATACATGGTTGAGAAAAAATATAATTGCAAGCTATTTGAGGAAATATAATTAACAGAGCTTAAATGAGCTTAAATCTGTTAACTTTACTCTTATTGTAAACTAAACTGAACTTTTGGTCATTATCTCACATCAGATATAAAGAAATATGCAGTATCCAAGATGTGAACCTTGGCTCCTTTCTTCACAATTTGTTTATCTTACCGTTTCAAACCTCAGCCACAGTTCAGACATTCCCTCAGGTGATGGGATAAAAAGCTTTATTCCATACTTAGCATGAGAAATGTTCAGATCTGGTTGAGCTTCACAGCCTGTAAAAAGTTGAATGGATAATCTTGTCTTGATTTAATACACCTTCATTGAAAGAATCTAACACCTAAGCTTCAACTAGGAGCAATGATCATGAAGTAACGGTACACATATTAGATATGCATGTGAGAATAAAAATTGTTTATAGTATTGAAATATACTATCTTTAATATTTTTAGCTTGTCATGCAACATCAATGGACTAAAATAAACTATAGCAGACAGACAAAGGAAAAAAAAAATTCCTTGTAAGGCCATATAAAATTGAAATCTTGGTTCTCAGGCCCGCGCGCATCCGTTTTGAGGTAGCCGCATTGCCGATTTTATTGTATTTTTGATAAAATAAAAAGTTGGTGTTGCGGAGACCAATGGGAAAAAAAATTCCTACCTCATTTGTTTCGTAGTTTAGTATTCAAATATCACTTCCGGTAGCCATTTACAATGAGATTTTGGCTACTTCGTTTGAAAATACATTCGAGGACATTACCTACGATTTTTACACGCTGTTAAGCAATAGATAAAGCAGAAGTTTTGACCAGAAATGGAAAGTATATCTGTGATTAAAAAAATTATCTTTATGTTTAAGAAATATATTAAAATTAAAAAAAATACCTTTTCTACTTTATTGCCAATAAAATGAAAAATAAAATGCCGCCCTCCCGCATCTGTTTTGGAGAAAATTGGCCTGAGAACCAGGGAATTAAATATAGATAGCCTAATATGTCACAGCCTGCATTTCATTTTTCTCCCTTTTTTATGATCCCATTCAACAGCTGTTCCATGACCTTTGACCTTACCTTTGATGGATATTTTCATCATTGGACTTCCTGAAGCCTCCTCCTGACTCTTGAAGAAAGCTATAAATAAATCCTTACAGACACACCAGGCTCTCTTGTAGCTCTTCAAGGTGAACTTTTTAGGTCTGAAATAAAAAATTCAAAGTTACAACACCTGCAGAGAACTTTCTTTTCTTAGATCATCTTGATAATTTCTATCATTGATTTCTAAAATTTCCCATCCATTTATTGTGAATAATACTTTCAATATTTATCTGCTGTCCATTTAGCTGCAGAACTGTAGCTTTCTGCTTGAGAAAATTTGGTGGTATAAATCGAAGGTTTTTACAATATATGGAACTGTAGCTCTCTGCTTTATCTGTCTGAATTTTCTTGAACAGAGAGCTACAGTTCTGCAGCTACTGTCCAATATAAATGAATGTTAACTCTCTTCATAACTTCATACTTTCAATAAATACTTTTAAACTTTATTGATAGTTATAAGTAAACTTACTTGAACCACTTGACATAACCACCAAGTTCTGGTACTGATGTGATGTCCCCATGAGAGGAGATGTTGGCCACTTGTAAAGACTGCTCTAAGTTTGACAGATCAGCATCAATGTCATCTGCCTCCATGTGGGGGGAACTGTGGTCCATAATGGAGGAATCACTGGGGGGCTGAGATTGACCCATCTGCATCTGAACCTGAACCTACACGGACAAAATGTTTACAAGTCAGAAATCAGAAATTTTAAAATCAGAGAGTTCTCTCCCTTGTAATCACTTCATCAAAATGTTTTTCAGGATTCAATGTGAAAATATGCTGTGTGAAGATATGCTGTACAAGTAGGTTTAATTTCACATAAGATTTAAAACCCATAAATAATATTCCAACATACTTTTATTGCTATTTTGACAATTTTTAATTTACATAATTAATTTTTTTTTTCTCAAAAAATTGCTCTTTCATAAAATTCAGAAAAATGTGTACATTGCTGGCTGGGTGAAACTTTTACATACAAAAAAAACAATATGTCGGACAATGAACCACATTTCTGAAGCATTGTGCTTGTCAAAACAGGGAGATAATGCATTTAGAATAAACAACTAGGTGCAAAAACCTTGAATTCTCCACATAAGCCAAATTCTCAGGTGTAAAAAATGGAAAACACTTATTAACAAGTCTACTTCATGATTACCAATTAATTTTGATTTGGGAATAAAAATGTGGAAACTGAATTTCCACACAAGATTTATGATATTTTTTCCATTTTATTTTGGCTTGCATTTTGCAACATGCAGCCAAAACTCATACTAAACAGAGACAGAATCTTGATAATTGGAATTCTGAGTCCATCTGCTTTTGCCAACAGAAGGAGATTTATTTTCTCCCTATAATCCTGCCTCTGTTCTGAAATGATTTATTCTAAGCATCACTTGGTTTACATCAACTCTTCACTCCAAAAGCTCACCTGTAAATATTTTGTTTCCAAGGTAACTAAGAGGAGTGCATACAAAACTATTAAGTCTTTGAAGATTTTCATCTCCATTGAAACAGCAAAAAATCTATCATACTGTTTGCACATGCCAACAGAAAGAGGCAATTATTTTATTTAGATACTGACTTTCCCCTTCATTTTTTATAGCACCAGTGTTAACCTCCATGCATTGGTCAAGTTTAATTCAAGCAAACTCTATCAAGTACCTGCAAACATTTCCAATTTATTACTGTTTTTTATCACAGAATTTTGGGTAGATTGTTATTTGCTTGAGACTTATAGGACACTTTTTTTAACCACCCTGTAAATTGTCCATGTTGACCTTGTGTTCTGAGGTCAAATTCTTTACCTGCAGCGCTGCAAACATCATCATTTCTTCTTCTGTACAGTCGATTTCCTCAGACATTATACTCCATTTGGCTTGTTCATAGATCTGGTTAATCCTCACAGCGTCGTACTGGAAGAAAAAAAGGAATCAAATCTTTCAGTTCACCTAATACTCGACAGACACCTTGATTGATACATGAATGAATCTTTGCAGTAAAAAAATTGCTGACTAAGACCTTGGAAGAACAATAGCATGGCTTAAAACATAATGTCTGATCAATGCAACAAGTTTTTTCTCTTCTTAATGCATATTGCATGTAGATTATATGAAAATTAAGTTCAATGACCATGTAATTTTGAGATTAAGGGATAAAAAACAATTTATATACTGTAACAAAATATGCCAATAAAGGGATAATAACAAATTACATGGGGAAAAAAAAACAAAACCATGACAATAAAGTAATTGTAAGGGATTAGACAAGAGCCACTTATATTAACAAAGACTATAGGTCCTTTATGTTAGTGTATTGCAGAAGTCACTGTCCTTAAAAGATATTTCAACTTCTTAATCTTCTAAGGACAAAACTACATGGAGAAGAGGCAGATTTGCTTACAATTATACAGTATAGGATGTGCTCACAGTGGATGACTATCAAGCCTCTATACAAAGCCTGCTGTGTGTGCCCTGCTGTATGAAATGAAGTTCAATGGCCATATGATAAAAAGAACTCTCAAGGGTCTTCCTGTACATTATGTATGGAATTTATGAAGAAAATTGAAGTTCGCCTGCCTTTCAGCAGATAGTGCTCACCGCAAGACTTCACTTGACAAGCTAACACATTCCTTGAAGGGTCTGCAACACTGTTAATTCTCTTATAATCAGTTGCATCACGGAAGTTTTTATCTCTCACCATTCCAAGCCTCAAGTCAGTTTCCAAGACAACCCAAATATTTATGTTTCAGTGTTACATGCCCACCAGCCCCCCTGGCTTATTATCACTGGAGCAAACCTCAAGGAGGGATTTCTTGGAAACAGATCATGTGTTTGTGTTTTTCTTTGTATGAGGGATGTCTCTTTGAAAGAGCAACATCTACCCTCTTGAACACTCAATGATAATTAACTATTCCCCTTCTGTGACATCAGATGTTATATTTTTTGTAACATGTAACAAATGTTGGCACTTCACTTATCTGAAACATGTTTGACACTTAGAACTCGACTGCTTATGATCAAAAAATGTTTTTGGTAGTAAATGTTTTGCACAACTTGTAAACAAAAACACAATATTTACAGTTATAAATGGTTGACGGCTATATGTAGGTTAATTTGATGATCAAACTAAGTTGGCTTCCTTAAAAGTACATAACCTTGACTAGAGGATGAATCAAAAATATATACCAAAACAAAATGAGACAGCCAAAAAAACAAACCCTTCCAACCCACACAAACAAATGTTCCGCCATGGTTTAAATGAGATAAACAAAAATAAATTGTAACAATGCAGATTGAGCAGAGGCAGTCAGATAGGAGCAGGTATGGTTCATTATATGAGCTAAATACTTCAATACTGTACAGAACCCCAAGCTCTGGAGCCATTCCAAACACAGCATCAGGAATGTTATTAAATTCTGAATCCCTGTGCCTTCATCTTCAATGTGCAAGCTTTACCTTTACAATAAACTTGGGAGGGAAAGGGCTACTTTCTTTTTCATTCATTACAATAAACCTTGTTATTCTTGGGGGGGGGGTGTTATACTTTCTATCAAGAGATATCTCAACCTTTAATCTGGATCAATATACATATACTTGTCATAAAATCTTCACCAGACAAAAATAGTAGTGGAGATCATGTAAAGAAAATAAAAGGTTTATTTGTTGAACTCTTGTATTGAATGACCTCATGCTTTCCTCCTCCAACAAGCTACTTGGGTATTTGTATGTATATAAAATATACCCTTTATCTTTATGATACAAAACTCCTAAGGCCCCCCTTGTCGGTATAGCTTCCCATCCTCCTGAGTGTGTCATAGCTTCATAAAAAAATTATTTTTCATATCCAGATTTTCTTTGCCTTATCTGACTCCCACATCTAGATTCCCTATGAATTACATGAATCATAACTACCTCCCCTATCTGATCTTGTTCTGATCCCCCTCTCATCACATCCATCAATCCAATTTATATCTGACAATATTATCCTAGTTTTATCAGGAATCAGGCAAGGATCAAGAGAATTGGGGGAATATCATGATATAAATATGTAGGGATTCCTACTATAGGAACTCAGTCTGTAAGGTTCACTTAAATACTTCATTATAAATACCCAGTTAATAAATATAAATGAGTTGCAAACTAACATAGGTGCCATTTAATTTTCTGTAAATGCTTGGAAATTTCCTGTCATTGTGAGGCCATTTTCAGGCATTCAGTGCTCATCATAATGGCAATGCTGTATAGAACTATTTCCTCTAACCCTCAATTAGCGGTCCTAGGCCAGGAAACTGTCCATTATGACCCTATAATTTGATTGGTCACAGCTGTGATGGCTAATCATGACACCTGATTGCATGGTCATTTGTTTTACATCAATTCAGCAAAAAAAAAAATTATGTATGTCATCATTCAGATGTGCTCAGGTAAAAAAAAATGAATGATCATTCATGTCTGCCATTTATATTTACAGCTGAGCTTTTCATTCACTTTTTGTTTGTGTGGCTTTTCTCACATTTAGACAGGTATTTACATATTTTTATGCTCTCTGAGCTCTTCGTCAACAGTGGGTGCACAAGTCTCCAGGTACAACGTCAAGTGTTGTGCACACAGGTTGACGCATGCTAGCTTTTCATTTTCCGACCACTATTTACTTTCAGAAAAACATTAAATACATCTTTTTTGGGGCTGTATTACGGTAATCGTAAAGTTATTGTTGCATGATCTGGCCTAACGCCAGACTTCTCCGGTAAGACTGCTTATGTAATGTGACCACATTAAACCTTTGTGTGTCATAACTTTCAGCTCCTTAGCCAATAATCCTATTACATTAAGAATTTTCCCTCTCTTACAGACCACCTTAGTCGGGTTTATAAACATAGATCACCGACATGTATAAACCAAATGCTGAACAAATATTTACCTTAGTATTCAAATCGTAGAAGTTATAAAATTTAAATTTCAGTTGGAGGAAGTTATTATCTCGAACTCCCTGCTCCATTAAAGACCTGGAAGAATCAAGCCACCTGAAAAAAGATAAACATTTATAAATAGATACATCGTAGACTGACAAGCTGTAGCAACAGAGCAGAGAAGGCACACACTGTTCTGTTCCTGTAAACTGAGTAGGACAGAATACATCTTTATACATGTACATATAGAGTTGTATATTTATGTAGAATGATGTTCAGTGTCTTGAAACACATTTTTTCGGCAGGAAAGATTGATGGGAAACCTCCACAACTGGGCACCAGGCCCAGTCTATATTTACGCTACATAAATAAAAACAAATATCACAGAGTTCATACACCCATCAAGACCTGGTCATTTAAGGGAGTCACTCCGAAATCTACACCTGTGTGGTTATAATGGTTTATATAAAAAAAAAGATGCATTAGGCGGCCTGAACTCCTGTACATAAAACAGAGGATAAACCACATGGTGCTAGGGTCCCCACAAGATATTAAAAGATATCTGTTTACTAGGTAATGCAGAACAAGGGCTGAACACCCACACTTTATATTTTATATCTGTACATATAATCTTTAAAATTGAACCTATAAAATACATGTTAACTTTGTCTTGGTATAACTTGATAAAGCATTTGTAGAACAAAAGATAATGACTATAAACATGTACTTAATACAATTGTTGATATAGTATTATCATGTAACCTGTGTTATCAAACATATAAAAAAAGAAAAAAGGCTGAGGAGGGAGCGAGCGTAGGAATATTGATATTTTTTATTTGCATCCTACTTTTTAAGTTATTTTAATTTCTTAATTACACAACTTTACCATATAACAATAATGTTGTTTGCTTGTGAAGAGATTTTTATCATATGTGTGACCACACTTAATATCTTGCAATGTTTCGAATATATAGAAAAAGATGCATTCTGTCTGTACATAAAGCAGAGGATCACTTAAAATTTTGCTATCAACAGGAAATACCACACTTTATATTTTATATCAGTACACATAAGAAATTGAACCTATAAAATACATGACTTTGTCTTGTAACTTGATAAAGCATTTTAAAATCATTAAGATTGCATGTAACCTGGATTTTAACTTAATTTTTTCATATAACATTTTCCTCATATGACCACACAAAACATGTTCACTTAAAATTTTGCTATCAACAGGAAATACTAATAATTTCAGCAATAAGACACCCTGACCTTGAACTTTGTTTTAAAATCATTAAGATTCTGGAAACTTGATTTTCACATTTTCTTCTCAACATGTTCAGTATACAATGTTCCAGGGAATATAAGAGAAAAGTTTTCTTTTTTATAAACCTAAAAATCTTTTTTCTGCTGATGCATGTTTTGCAATAGACATGATGAAAGGCTCTGTTTAGATCTTTATTTACGAGTTGTTTAATCTTAGTTCCTTCAATGCTTTCATGACCTTTTTAATTATTTAATTTGTGATCTGGCAAAGGAGCCAGGCTTATCAGGGTTATTTTTGTAGTTATCTGTGTTTCCGGTAATTTGCTTGATATAAATATTTTTAGCAGCAGGTGAGATGTTATGACCCTACTCCCCCCACAGGTGTAGAAGTCTGTTAGATTCCTACATTTAATGCCACTGTCAATCATTATCTAACTGTACTTATATCTATACTCTGAAACATATGCAGTAATGGTTCTCAGTACTTGATTTTTTTGTGTTTTTTTTGGGGGGAGGGGGGGTGTACTTGTTAGAATGTTTGGTTAATGAATGAATCATTTTATGTTGATTTGTATCACGACTTTGTCAATAAAATTGTTTAATTAATGAATGAATCATTTTATGTTGACATTTGTATCTCGAAGAAAAGTAAAATATTATATTTCTTGGTATTACTAAGAAGAAAATGTTGACTTATTTCTTAATTTCCAAAAATATACTTTCAGAAGCACACCAAAAATATTAACATTAAAAGCTGAATCATACATCAGCTACTGAATCAGTAAATATTGATTTGCATGAGATTTTACCAGGATAAAAGATGCTGATCAGCAAGCTCATTTCAGCTAAGATGGAGAAAAGTAAAATATTATATTTGTTGGTTTTGAAAACTCGTGGCATTATGCCTTATTTTGAAGGCTTTGAAAATTTAAGCTTTGAATAATTAGATTATCTTCAAACAAGTAAATAAATTGTCATTTCATTCCAAAACTGTACTTTCTAAAATAAATTATGTTTGTCCTTGCTTTTTATCTTTTCCTACCACAATTTCTTTCTCCAAGAAATTCATTTAGATAAGAAGTAGACCCAACTGTATACATATAAAGCTTATAGTTAAATCTTAAAGTTTGACTTACGCAAAGTTAATGCGCGCTTTTTCTGTGAGATTTTTGGGTTTGTGAAGGTACTGCAGGGCCTCTTTCATGGGTATTGGTGGGCTATTAGCCAGAGCGGATTCCATGCCTCCCTCAAAAGACAAGCTGTACATGGATCCTGGGGACATTGTGCCATTCAAAGTGTTGTAGGGGGAGGGAGAATTAAAACCCGGCGAGCGGCCTAGTGTGTTCTGAAATAAAAAAGAATACTGGATACATTTTTTAAGCATGCACATGGCGAAATATGATAGGCCTGGAGCACATAGTGTGCAATTTTTTTGTATTAAGAAATTGCAGGTTTATCTTGTGTCACAGCATGTTGTTTGTGAGTGCTGGGAAAACATGATATCGAAAGAATGTGCTTTCTTCATCAAAATGTATTCTCACTCATTCTTATTTTATACCAAGATTATTATTCAAATCTATTAATTATTTACATCTATCTCAATGCTATTTTCATCAAAAAATTATAAATGCAAGGATGCCTGTCTGATAATTTTTTCAAAAGTACGTCATTATAAGGTCATATCAGACTTCCATTCCTGATAAGTTTTTTGAACTTCTTCATTTATAAATACAGATGAACCTTGATATCTCTAACTTTTATATCTTGAATATCATGGATATGTTGAAATGATTTGGAAGTCTCTTCCACTTTTTTTCCTAAAACCTCAATGACTCAAACCCTTAGATATCTGGAAGTTTTTTCTCAGTCCCTTCAAGATGAGATAGTGACATTTGACTGCAAACATTGTGTTACACAGAATCTACAATAGTCCCTGGACTTACATTAGGAGATGGACCGCCCGGACTCCTGTTTGGGTACGGACTGAGTCTGTCCAGACTCCCGGTGTTGGAGTGGTTAATGCCGTTACTTGTCGGCATCTGGTCGTGTAGGGAATCCCTCTTCTTCTTTGTATTTAAATGTTCCTTAATGTTCTTTTTTAAATCATCCTTGTCCATGAATTTCATCACTGACATTTCTTCAGGATTTCTAATTCCTACAAAAATATGGGTACATATGTACAAACCCTTTATATTTACCTTCAAATCTAAAGTTGTGTATGCTGTTTTAAAGTGTATCTTTTTTAAACAAGATATACAAAAAAAAAATCTGTAAAGTTGCAACAGATTTTTTGCATGAAACACATATATGTCAGTGTTTGCTGTTTTAAAGTGTATCTTTTTTAAACAAGACATACAAAAAAAAAATCTGAATATGCCAAAAAGTAATTTAAAGTTGCAACAGATTGGTTTACTGGTTATTCATTTATCGATTGTTGCACACAAAAGAGAAGAAACTGAAATGCATTTAGAAAAGTCATATATAATGCATGTCCTATTTTGTGAGAATGCATCAGTTTCACCCACTTTGCAATCATCTTGCAACATTAAATGCTACACACAATTTACATATATAATGAAACAGAAAACATGAATCAATACACTTTTGTAAAAGAAGTTTCTTATAAATCCAGTTTTGTGTTGAAAACTGCAAGGAAATAAAATGAATGCAAGGTATTTGAGCAACCACTTTGATTTAGTTAACAGTATTTCCTTGTTTTATATACTTCAATCAAATCCAAATATAGAAAATTTCAGAGGAGGAAAACATCTAGCAATAGGATTTTTTAAAATTGAAAAATATCATGCATCTTGGACAATGGGTGTTATGGACATCTTTTACAAGGTGAAAAGCTCTGATCATCATATAACTGATCCTTTCAAATTTCAAAGATTTCAAGATTAACTTGTCATTCATGACAGAGCCCAATTGTTTTCTAACTTTGACTTTGCCTTCCTACCAGTTAAGTTTTATCATAATGTTGTTGATTAATATCAAAGGGAATTCCCAGGGGCCAGCTTTTGATCATAAATATATATACACAATGCTAGACACTTCTAGAGCCACACCCTGGTGGCTACAAATCTCAAAGAGGCATCCTTCCGCCATAAATGACCAATTAAAGAGCTGGGCTTACTAAGTTGATTAACTATTACATCATGGTAAAAATCTTAATTCAATCAAACACTGCTTTATATGCATTTCAACATAGCTATGCACTTTGTTGGACACAAAAGAGAAGATTTTCAAAGAGACAGATAATTTCTGGTGGATGAATCACAATTTTGGAAGGTCTTATTCAACGTGCCATTCACTTTGTTAGATGTCATTTAGAAAACTGGCCATCATAATTTTGCATGGTAAAATTTCCTTCCAATTTTATCTCACTATATATTATGCTGCACTAAAACCCATTGCCCTGGGGCCATGAAATTCACAATTTTGATTTTAGGTGCACTATTATTTTGGCTTAAGTTTCACAATTTTGGTAGGACAATGCTGATTACAATCATACTAACAGTTTGACTGCTTGAAGTCCAGGAGTAAAAAAGAAGAGTTTCACCCACTTTAGCTATTTATCAATACAACTTTAGCTATTTATCAATACAACATTAAATGCTACACACATTTATTCCCTACATCATATATAACTGTAATTTCCCTAAATTATTACATCCTGGCCTTTAAAACTACTAAATGTGGGGAAATGAATCAATACACTTTTGTAGCTACTTAATGATAGATAAAACTGTAGGAGGAGTCTGTATTTTTAGTAACCACAGCAACACCGTTATAAATCTTTGATGTCTACTTGTGTGGTTATTTGTGTATTGAAAACTATTTTTGCAAGGAAATAAAATGAATTGCACTATTTTATGTATCTTTGTGTACAACTTATTTTGTTAAAACACAAAGAATCAGAAAAATGTTTAACACAATCATTGAAATTAAAAGAATTTCACAGAAAATATTTTTAGTAACCATGGGTGTTCAAAAACCGATGCACTATTTCATTTCACCTTTGATTTCAAACTGTAATTAGCGTTTTAAAGGAATTTCACAGAAAATTCTATTTTTAGTAACCATGGCAACAGTATTGAAATCAAAAACCTTGTTTTATACACTTCAATCAAATCCAAATATAGAAAATTTCAGAGGAGGAAAACATCTAGCAATAGGATTTTTTAAAATTGAAAAATATCATGCATCTTGTACAATGGGTGTTATGGACATCTTTTACAAGGTGAAACTTGGCTCTTAACCCTCATCCATATAACAGAATTGTGATCCTCTTGTGTGCCAAGTTATTGAAATCAGTCTAAAATTTAGCAAAGAATTTCAATTTTTTGCCAGAGAAATCAAAAACTGATACCTGTAACTTGTGTGAAAAGAACAGAAGTAGGAAGTAGCATTTTGAAAAACTTACTTAAGCAACAAAAAGAACAAGAAAATGCCTATAAGTTAAAAATAAAAATGGAGGGCTCCAAAATAGTACAGAGGCTTTAATTTTGCTGCTCTAAACAGAATCTGTTTTCACTCTTTTTGGTATTCTATGTTCCAAATATTTGTCTACTTTGTGTTTTACAAGGTACTTTCTCTATAGTGTCAATTTCAAGTATTGACAATAAAACTGCAGTAAAAACATGTTTACTATATAAAAGAGTAATCTCATGTTGGATTGTCAGTTTTTTGATTTATATTTTAATGCTTTAGTCCATGTTTGCAGACTATGATACATACCTAACTCTTTACACAAGGAGGTGATAGCAGAGAAAACTTTCGTGGAGAAATTCATTCTCATGTCTAGGATCTGGAGATCTGGGAGCTGTAGTCGGACATTCTTGTGCATCGGAGTGAACAGAAGCTTGGCGTCCGCCTGGACATCATACTGGTCAAGAGTTGACCGGGACCGCAGCAGCCACTGGTTTTTGTCTGGCCACCAGAGGGCATGATCAGACCAATCCGCAGCAATATCTGACGAAAAAAAATAATTCAAAATCATAAACACATGTAAAATATCATGTGGCACGTCATCATTTATAAGACATGTTTACATTTATTATTATATAGAGCTATGAAAGTCTTGAGTAACTAAACATTCATCATTTTTGAACGACCAAAAATTTTTATTGAAACTCAAGAGAATCTTAGATGTATTTGATAAAGGACCATGGGTCTCCCTCTTTATGACATCTCATTGTACATGTAATACAATATTTCAAAGCTCTCAGGATAATGTATATGACATATCACTCTCCTCTGACAAACCCAATCATATTACCCACTTGGCTTTCGGTATGTAAAACCTGAGTAACTTAAAATTTTTCCAGCTTTTTATCTGGCATACCAAGGGTATGAGAGATCAGGCCTCGTCAGACAATCTCTAGACTTGTACGTTTTTTGCATCCAGACATATTCTGATATTATATCAAGATGATCTGGCTCTGAGAATTTTAGGGTGCAGTGAGAACAGAGCACCCTTGTCCTGACTCACAGATTTATAAAGCTAATTTGAGGCAGAGTGGGTTTCTTTGTACATGTATATCTCATTGCTTAGCATTAAGATTTTCCTACAAAAAAATAATGCAAAAACCTACATGAAAAAAATCTTGAAAATGTATAAAAGAAAATAATGAGCTAAACTGTTACATTCTCAATCTGAATTTCATACAAAAAATACAACGAAATACAAAAACTTACAGACTCAGAAAAAATCTTGGAAAATATAGTAAATGTATAACAGAAAATAATGAGCTTAACTGTTACATTCTCAATCTGAATTGACTTTAGCAGTTATAATATTAGTGTAAACTATTGAATTTGAATATCAGTAATGATCCACTATTTGTTTGCTAATTTTGATATCCAGTAGTCCTAACATTCTGTTTACACAGAGTTCAAGACCTCAGGTATATGGGCTATTTGAGGTATCAATGGGTCAATACACTGACCACCGATAGAATGCCTAGCACGGGACCTTATCCATTCTTATCAAGGATCACTTCTATAATTATGTAAAACTATGTATATATAGGTTCCAACATTCCCGGGGTCTCCAAGTAACTATAAAAAGATAAGTCATTAGGATAAGGGAAAATAATGCAATCAAAGACACGAATCAAGAAAATTAGGTCAAGCTGATTCAATCAATAACAGGTACTCTTTTAAAGTTATTCAATCACTGCATTGGAATGTTATCATCTAAGTTCTGATAAAGATACAACAGGTATTGGCTTTACAAATCATAAAACTTCCAATAAAATGAAATTTAAACAGTGCTTCTTGCTTTAAAATCCCATTTCCTGTCAGTTGAGGATCAATTCTTGCAATATTCACATTTTTTTAGCTTATCAAAGTAGGTCACATGTCTGCATATATGCAAGATTTGTATGGGAAAAAGTGTTCAATTAGATAGCTAATAGGCATATATTACATATAATGAAGCTAGCAAGGGAAAAACTATATCAGCTAGTTTAGCATTCATCCTGATACTAGTACAAATTATGGACATTAATTCTAGGAGGTGTGATGGTGACAAGATAGTCTAGCTACTGTTGGACATGTGTCTCCTCTGGGCTTAAACTGGGCCCACACCTAGCATTATAACAGATAGGCAAAGAACGTAAATAAGGTGGGCCTGATCCCTCAGTAAACTAATCTTTCTTAACTTGTCACTTAATACACAATGCATTACTAACATTCTACTGGGGTCACGAAAAAGTGACCAAGATTTGGCAACAAATTGACTCCCCTGACATGTATTTATGACCTCATTATATAGCAGGTGTGTTTAAGTTTTGTATGTTAGAAATGATTTTTCTTCCCCTTGTAATTTTTTTTTGTTGGTTTAATCTTGTAGTGTCATAAAGTGTCATCTGCTCTAATAAACCATAAAACTATAGTATACTGTCATAATACATTAGTAATTTGATACACATACATCCATCTTCAAATAAGATTTAAATGTACACTTTATCTAAAAAAAATATATGATGCATAACTATTTCAATTAAAATACCAATAAATAATTAAATATCACATATATGTAAGTTTTAAATGACCCAATAAATCCTCTCATCATTGGCAATTATTCCCTGATAATTGTGATCCTTGTAGAGACATTCTTTGCATCCTTGATAAGTGGCCACAGAGGTCCTTTTAAACAGCCCCTCTCTGTTTGTCAACAGTAGACAGATTTCCGCTACATGGTCAATATAACGCCAAGTTTATCCAATTTGTACAAATATTTGTCCAGGGAACTCTTTTAGCCTTGCTTGGCAAATATAGTAATTATAGGAGTTTCTTTTCTCAGAGGAATTTCAAGGGAAGAAGGCAAGTAAATAGTAGTCGTGAGGCAGACAAATAAAACAATTACATATTTCATGGATTTTAACACCTAAATGTGTCAGGGAATCGTACAGCAAATACACTTACTTCCCGGAATGAGTTAGAAAACACTCTGAACATGAAGACATGCACTTTCTATTATCACTCTTGAACCATAAGCCATGGACCCTTATCATGCCCTCCAAGCAGATGGCAGAAGTGATATTTTTTGTTCTAATGTACAGATGCCAAGCGGAAAAGAAGGCATTTTGTTATTTACAGCCATTAGGAAGATGCATGCGGGAGATACTTAGGAAATGAAACATCACAAATCTAGAGTTCTTGATTTTTTTTTTTTTTTTTTAATTATCTTTTTTTTAAAATGAGACCTTTGTCGATGAACATATTAGATGCCACATGGTCACAAAGCATGACTTTTGGCATAAAAATGAAGTTAGTGTAAGGAATATACGACATAAAAGTGATAAATTTCACCTAAGATAATGGTGTACAACACCTGAAATCTTCACGGAAGTTTTATGTTTATCAGTTGTCAAACTAATGCATGTAAACATGTACAGTGGAGCATGCTTAGCCGAGCAAACCAGGGCAAAATAGAATTCTAACTCAAAACAGGATTTGATGTAAATTGTTAAATGCGTAGAACACATAGAAGATTTGAATGGTATATTACCGGTACACAACTGTGCATAATTTATCTGAATATAAATGATGAAAGTAGACATGTATGCATGATATAGACCTCAAAATGTGATGCTACTGGCTAATCATGCTAATCATATGATGGAGTTGAACATCATGTGAGCATGAAAAGTAGGTCTACTAAATAGTCATTTATGTCATTATATAAATATTTGTTGGGGAAAAATTACATGTGGATGTGAGTTTAAGGTGCTTGCTCCCAAACATCCTATTTAAAACGACCATAAACATTTCCGACAGTGTATTGATTGGGTTGGACATTGAATCCTTGCATCGTCTGGACCTTTCAGCGCATCACTTTTCACAGTAATGACAATGTGCCAATGAGTCAGTGAATTATCATTACTAATTTATCTTCACCTTTCATACTAATTCTCTCCTCTTTATCTTCCCCATAACCTATCTTCCTTATCTCTGCACTGCTAACTCTTATCTTCCATTACATAATCTAATCCAATGTTCTCATACTGCATGAATAACCTAGATCATGTATCTACATAAATGTATGTAATGCATACACCTTTTCTGCATATTAATCTGGGGGCAATGATAACTTTTCACAAGTGTCTGACAAGTATCTGAAAGCTTGGAATGTCTCAATAAACTTTTATCAATATTTCAATCACATGAAGACCTGTAGGTATTTTCATCTTCTACTCTCTGCATGATATATATAAAAGTTCAGGAGCTTCTTGAATCATACAGTTATTTATATCATGTTTTCTATAACAATCACCATTTTAATACCTGTAAAACTAGTCTAACCTGTGCAAACAACTACTTGATATGCAGAGTTTTAAATAGTCCGTAATTTGAAAAGTCAAAAACAACCATGGAATGATCAACTTCTAAACAAGGAAGAAAAAAAAACTTTCAACTGAATTTTGGCAATGACACAAACTCAAGACTGAATGAGAAAAAGAATTTCAAGATGTAACTTAGCAGTCAAGATATTCACTGTGTTTATCACACTTCGCATTTCTGAATAAATTAAAATATATATTTAGGCAACAGGCGATTCATTAACATTAATATTTGCTCTGTTTACAGTCTAAAGGTACACGAATACAGAGAACCTTTGTCATCTGACGAATGACCTATTTTTCCAATTCAAAACATCAGGTATGAGAAAAATGAAGAAAATTATTTCTTTTCAATGAAAAAGAGATATCTCATATTCATTTCAATGGAATAGGCTGTTTCTATGTAAGAAGTTAAGAACCCATTCTAATCATTCGATCTTACTGGCATACCAAAAATAAAGACTTAAAAAAAATATCCACCACAGAAATCCGAAACGATTTGTAACCCTGCAAAATATTGGGCGTTTCAAACGACGAGGATATTTAAAGATATCGTCCTTCAATGACCTCTTCTCGTGTTTGTATTTCAGAAATGTGAGCCATATACGAAAGTGAAATTAGCATTTGTAAAATACCAACCAGTGTGAACACAAAAATCCCTTTACTATTTCAATTTCACCTTCTTCTTGACAAAAAGCATTTCCTACTGTGCTGAGCTTGTAGCAGTAATTTTAAGGGGCAGGATCATATATATTAAGGGTGGGCCTTTTCTATACCGTAACCACTGAAATGCAATTGAACATTGCTACTCTGTTTTCCACATGCTGAAAATGCTTTACCGTATTGTCCTTAGATTTTTTGTTGCTGCAAGTAACAGTGTGCTACTGTGTAGCCAAAAAAAGAGTTAGGATTCACATTTTTTTCTCCAAATCAGTAATTTATAACATTTCAAGACACAAAGATCTTATAAAGGTAGAGAGAGATCTACTTATTAAGTGTAGAAATGGTATACACCAGTCTATACTTTATTTACTTTTGTATACGTTAACTGACAAATTCCCCCTATAAACACCATTAATCATTTCAATTAACTTGGAAAACTCCCAAGTACACATGAAAAGTTTACTTGTCCTAGCTAGGATGTCCACAGACTCTGTACTGTAGTGACAGTGAGAAATGAAAGGATGTGTATTCATGGTATTACACCTCAAACAAGATGTCCTGTCAAGTGTTGACCATAACATCCTTGTTCGACTTGTCAGTGTATTGAATACTTCCTCAACATTTCAATTATGGCGAGATATTTGATATCAGTGATCGCAATTCTAAGTGTTACATTGGTGATCTGGGAAGCACATATCTGTTACAACTATATATCAAATACCTATCCAAATACTTTCCATCTTTTTATACATTTTTTGGTACTTTACTTTCATTCTGTTAACTATGACGAAAGTAGAATTTGTGAATCCAACACAAAACTACATTACCAAATACCAATTCAGACATAAAAATTAACACAGATGGAGTGTACGTAGAAAACAAATTTAGATTTTCTTCATTAATCAATGCAAAATAAGGTATCAGAGTATTTAAGCTTTGGTTCAAGCACTGATCAGCATGTAATATGTTTATTTGGACCCAAGTATACACACCTAAAGCCTCCACCAGTTTCACCATCACTCCTCCTATGTGAAGGTCCCCATTGACCCTCAGTTTTTTCTCCACCTGGACATCTGTCACCTCAATGGTCAGTTCCCAGGAACCATCCACTTTTCCACTCTCCGTCACGTAATCAGCCATAATAATCACACACAATACACAATGTCTATCTTGTCAATGTTAAAAACAATAAAATCTCATCAACCATCTACATCCAGTCTAAGAAGCTTTTTAATTTCCATGGTCACTGTAAATAGATAGAAAAATTATGCGTTTCACTAAGTAATCCACTTGAAGAATATGACATATAACCTCGGAAGCTCTCTGAAATAGATTTTTCGGGTCACTCTTAATCGTCCCAATGCGGAAAACAACTGTTTACAAATTCATGCGATTTACCTTTGTTACGGGAACATTCTCCCTTTAAAAGTTGAACGACAAGTGGAAACTTTGTGATAAACAGAATCCAACGTAAAGGCAGAGTCCACAGTCGCTTAATTAAAGTTAACGAAGTTTACTAAACCGCAAGTACGAAACACTTTGCCCCTATTTGGATGACGAGCGTAATCAAGAGCACAACTACCGAGTGGCGTTTAAAAGCGAAGACGTGATTGGTCAATAATTTTTCACAATGCGAAAGACTGCTTGCATGCTTCAAGAAGAAGTTAATGCATTTTTCACTTTTTTGTTCTATAAAGTATATCTATTTCTACCATTCTCAAAGCCGAGTGAATACAGTTGTGGGAATGCTTGCATAAAATTGTCAGAGGTTCCGAAAGAATGGGAAATCCCTATTTTCATTTCCAATTTTTTGACCAATGAGAAAATTGCTTTCATCATAGCCTCTTTTCGGGTCTGTAAAATGATGTCATATTACGGGAAATACCTCATTCTCTGCATACTTGAGGGGGTGCTCTCAACGTGCAAAGTGACTCATATTCTTGAACAATAAACAGAACTGTGTAATACAGTAGTTTTAGGTTATGATCACACACATTCTCCATTTTAAAAAAACATTTTCACATGCATTTTCTCTCCTTCTTTCATTATCAGAGAATGTTAAAAATAGTAACAGGGAAAAATATAAATATAGATTGTATAATTTAATTTTAAAAAAATAACAATGTCTGCATATCTTTAAATTAATTTTGTTAACTTTGTGTGTGTGTGTGTTTAAGAATTAAATAAAGCAATAATTTAAAAATAAATAAACTTACAAAATGAATAATAATAAAAAGAAAAACTAAATAAAAAATTTTAATTTAGTATATTGTTGGGCAGGTTTTTTTTCGTTTTCTTTTACAAGTGATTACTTTAAAGGATTTTTTTCTTTTCTAAAATCAGTTTTAACAAATCATCATCTCTTACTCTCTTTTTCTTTACAATCTCATAAAACTGGATTAATCATCATTCAAACTTCCCTAAAGAAAAATAAACACACAAAATTTATCAATTCATATTCTTTAATTGTATATACTTGTAAAATGGACGGAATATAGACATAAAAATTAATGCTGTAAACCATCAAGAATGATAACAGAAATTATTCTCTCAAAAAAAAGAGCAACTTTGTTTGCGGTACTAATAATATAAACCATAAAACATGTAAAGTGTCATATTTAAACCATTCATATTTGTTTTACTTCCCAATTCTTCATTTATCAATTGTAGAAAAATATCATTTATACAATGTACATAAATACATTTTAAAGAAAACAAAAAAAATTCACAATTCTCATATGCACTTTTACAATTATCACAGGGAAAAAAAGTTGTCTTTTTGACTTTATATATATGGACAGTGTCAGTCTCCATATTGTCCACAAAGTCTCAAGTAAAATAAAACACTTCTAGAGAAGAGAGAAGTGATGTTTAAGCTGTTTAAGAAGTTCTTTAGAATCCACATGATTTTGGAACGCCTCTACTGCTCTCTTGGCAGCATTGTAACTGCTCTGTAGGTCTCCAAGCTGAAAGAAGAGAATAATTCCATGTAAATTAAATCACTCCATTTAGAATGAAATTAATCAAAGTCTTGTGTAAATGTAATGTAGCAATTTCTGGTTTAGAGTTCAGGCAGACAGAGAAAAGTGAGTGAACAGTTTAGCTACTCTAAAATCCTATTTTGAATTTTTATGAAAAATACTAGTAAAAGCTCAACTATATAAACTTTCACTCCCTAATTCTAAGACTTATTTTTTAATCATTCCATTTATTTTATCCACCTCCAAACCCTTCATAGTCAGTGTCTCTAGTAACTTAGACAATGTGTTTTCTAGGTTTTTTTTAGGATTTCTGAAAACTACAGCCAGATGCTGGCCTCTCGAAAATTATAATGATCCTGTTAACTTGTACCGGTGGTTAATTTATCCTTCTTTTATACTAGCCGTCTTTCTTATAATAGACATTAACTCTAGATTATTGCCATTAATGTTATTTCTCTGATAGGCTCTCCATCAATTCTGTAAAACGCCATTATGTCTTTCCATGCTTATCTCTTGAGCTATTCCATTTTATACCCACTGATCCATTTAATTAATATTTTACACAATGTCTGCCTATCAAGGATTAATCTAATCAGAGCCCACCATCATTAACCAATACTCTGTTTATTTCCACCTATCTTGTCCTTTAATGGAACAATCAAATGTACCTACCCCTCAAAGCTGATTTGTAAAGAGATGAATATAACATGTATTCGGTTTGATTTGATTTAGATTTAGACAACATGCATTCAATTTGAATTGATTAAGATTTAGATTTTAAACTTGATTTGAAAGAAAATAACATTTATTTTATTTAAGGTATGATTTAATTCCCATCCCAAAGAGCAGATTAAATCTGCAAATCACATTCCACTGTTGTTTAGAAGTATTTACTGTGTCTTGTGTGTTTTAATTCAAGCATGTGAAAAAAAGGCAAATGTCATCCATTTAAAACTTAAAAATAATACAGCAAAACTCGGTTATAACGAAGTCGCTGGGACCAAGTGAAATTACTTCGCTATATCCGTTATTCGTTATAACCGTATAAGAAATTCATTAAATTCATATAGCTGGGGATCGAAGATGACTTCGTTATATCCGTGAATTCGCAATATCCGTGTTCGTACTAAACGAGTTTTACTGTAGCAGAATCTGAATTTTTTCACTGTGGTTATTTTTATGTGTTAAAAAGGAGAGGGGGCTTTATGCATAAATACATTAGGGGAAATTGAAATAATTTACAGCACTACCATAGAGAACAATATCATCTCCAAACAACAGATACTCTGGAATGTTCATTCTTTTATGATATGCAAAATTTGATGCAAATGTTTGGATCAATTAACATCAAACTCATGCTTTTAATTAAGTGAAAATGTAAAATTGTGGGTTTCAAAGTTTAAAACATGTCTTTCAAACAAACAAATATTGTTGGCTGAAGCTGAAGAAAAAATTTAAGGTTTTATGTAAGGCACCTACAGTTTACAGTCATTAATAAGATGGACTAAAAAAACTTTATTTTGAAAGAATATTTACAGGTATAAGTAAAAGCAGGTGGACGAATTAAAATATTTGGTCAAAAAGCAAAACATCCATGTTGCAAAATAAATGGACAAAAATATTAAAAATTAACAAACAACTTTAAATGCATCAAAATAAGGAAGATAAAATGTTTTATTAAATGAACTAGATGTTCCTTCCTTTATCGTTGGAGCCTGGTAATGGTGATAAAGAGGAGGAGGAAGTCTACAGACCTGATCAGCCAGAGCGGCCCAGTTATAATGGGGTTCATACATGTGAGGGGCCAGACTGAGGGCGGCCTGGAAAAACGCTCGAGCCTGAAATAGAGAAATATGAATGATAAATGTTTAAATTCTCAGTTAAAAATTCAAGTATTCAAAATATAATGACATTTTCCCATAAATATAATTCTTCAAATATACAGTGTAAGAGTAATAAAAAAAAAAAAACACATACATTTCATTATCGTATAAGTAACATCCCTTATTATTCCTGAACACTAGTGAATGAGTGAGTATGAAATATAGAATTGCACTACACTGACATTCTAATATAAATATATTGGTTACATTCATAAAAAATTATGAATAATTATCGATAAAAATTTTGTGACAATCTAATGAATGAATACTAATCAAACAAAGAGCTTTTTTTCTCCCTTTTATGTTTTGTTTAACAAGGTCTAAGGGAGGTCAGTCTTCCATAAAAGTATGCATTTACAAAGAAAGAAAAAAATGAACTAACAAATACATCTAAAGTGACAATCTTTTCAAGCAAAAAGTTCAGACATATAAAAGTAAGCGAGCTGCCATTTAAGAGCGATTTACAGTTAAAGGTCTATACCTAGGGTGTAATGAGGCATATGATTGAGGTGGCCATTTATTGTAATGGCTGTCATCTTGTGAAATTTCACCATTTGTGTCAAATAAACAGAGACACAAGAATTCAGTGACCTTGTTCAAACATTATTCAAGTGTGTCATCCTTTTTTCATTGCTCTGAACAGCATAATCGACAAATGATTAGATTTTTTTTCAAAGGGGCTCAATTTTCAGTTCCATTGTGTAACAGCTGGACTTTGAAATTCTGGCCTATTTAGGTATCAAATGGTGTTGAAAAATGAAGCAGATGACCTTAATATGTCCTGCATAATGAAGTAATGTGTGTGGTGCCCATCAAAATGTTTATATATACTGCTAAGATGTACATCTAAGAACACAAAAAGAACGAACTAAAACTAGTTGTATATTTCTATGCTGGTGCAAAATAGGATGGATAAATGCCCTCTAGTAACAGTGGACAAAGAATTTTATGAAACATGCACATAAAATTCAAGATGGTACAGTACGTAAGCTGCGATCAGTAGTGACCTATTATTTGTCACTTCTGCGAACTTAACATCAAACCTCCGACAGACAAAGGGCTCTGTTACACTTATACTTATTTCTAGGCCACAAATATTTGACAAATTATTCACACTTAAACATGTAATGTAAAATTGATAAATTATTCAGGGTTGAACTGCTTTATTTTCTTTAATTAGCCATGAGAGATAATGCCATTTCTGCTTTATATTATGACAATATGGGGATATGTTGGTTCACTGCCCTATGGCTTTGAAATGGTTGATACGTTCTTTTCATCAAACTGGTATAATGTTAGTAGTCACCCAATATGACCTTATACACATGTATCATATCTGGAAAATTTAAGGATGAGAGAAAATTTCTTAGTTTTGGAACTATTTCATGAGATGTGCAGTGCAAAGCTAGATTTTAATCCTTTACAGTCAAACCTCATTATTGCACCTTGATGAGACTAAGAAAATTCTTTGAGATATCCAATGGTTTGAAATACTAAGGGTAAAATACATTAAAACATATTGATTGGAAATCCTAGTATTTTTTTTAAATCCATGGTATTCAAGATGTTCAAGATATCAAAGTTCAACTGTATATACTATGTAACTTCTACATGAAAATAGTCATATAAACAATTAAAGAGACATATTTTACAGACAAAATACATGTATAAATTTACACCTGTATCCCAGACAAAATTCAGTGTCCCTACCACCACCTTACCATTTCTACATGACCCTTTCTTAGTTCTAAGACACCCAGGTTATTATATGCTTCTGCGTGATCATTGTTATTGGCTAAGGTCAGTCTAAAGGCTTGGTAGGCTAATGTCATGTCTCCAATACCCTGAAAGAAAACGCAGAAGTGACTAAATCAGGATTAATCAATGTGTCTGCAAAGTAACAAAACCCGGCAAATTACATGCATTGTGTCAAATTAATTGAGTTACAAATTTTATTGAATCTTTCAGTATGGCTATTAAGTAACCATAAATTCTTCATGTCCTACAAGTGAAAATTGTCCCTATTGAACTCTCCCACATCTTAATGACTTGTTGATGGCTTCATCAGTCACTTTGGTGGCCAGGAAAAAACGTAACAAACAACAGTGAGGAAAACACCCTTCCTGTTATATTCTTCATACAACGGAAAAAGTGTGGAGTTGACTTTTATTTTGAACTTTACTTTGTAAACATGTACTTAAACGAAATTTTTTTTACATTATAGTTTGTTACATTCATCGAATCACTGAACAAAACTGTTAAGCTTTGTTTGCATATGCATATAACCATGATGATATTTCAGTGAATTAATGCACAAATGACTGGTTCATAAGGTGCGAAGCAAGTGCTTGCACTGCAAGATTAGAAAATGTGTCTCCAGCTATTAACATCACAATAAAAAGATATATCATAACGATTCCTCTCAATTTTTTTTCAAAAATCAATCATAGCAAGTTGCATGTTTAGAAATGAGTGAAACCTGTGGATTGTGACAATGTCAATAAAAATCACTGAAGGAAAGTTTGGAAAGTCATTTTGATGTTAACCTTGAAGTTCAAAGGAAGGTCATATTTTAAGGATACAAATGAATTAATATCAAATAACTCTCCAGGACTCTCGTTTCCTTCAAGGACATCCCTTTGAAATTCAACATTTTGCATCACTGCATATTTCAGGAATTATTAATGATACTTAATACACAATTTTACAATCAAAGAACTTTTTTTTTAATCAAAAGCCTTAAAGATGAATTTTCACCTACCAAAGCTACATGTCCGATATTGTACCATACTTCTGATAAAGTTACTTCCTCTGCTAAAGACAGCGCCCGCTCAAAACAGGTCAAGGTCATATCATACTGCTGAGCATAGAAGCAGCATAAACCAAGGTTATTGAAGAGTTCAGCATTATATACCCCCATCTGCAGCAAGCGTCTGAAAAACAGAGACTACGTATTCTTTATAATTTCTACATAAAGAATAATAAAGGACTGTCAGCATAATCAAACAGCAGAGTCATGAACTATATGTACATGTATTTATTCAATCACATAGTAAGAATCAGATCCCCTAAAATAGTTTGAGATCCTTTAATCCTTTGCAAAATCAGAGAATAGCACATGTAATGCAATTTATGAACAACCCATTACACCTAGTATAATTGTATGCTTAAAAAAAGAAAATAACATAATTCTTGTTGTAGGCTGCTTCTCAAAATATGAAGTACCCTATGCCCTACTTTATTTAATAATGCTGCATTTCTCTTTCTTTGAGCAAAATATTTCTAAAATTTAAACACAACAAACAATGCTTTTTTAAAAAGTATTTAACATTAAATGTGTTTAAAAAAATGTTCATTGAGACAAATATTTTCCTCACTATAGCCATCTAGATAAGAAGGTTGTCATCTTGATATATATATAACTAAATTTGTGTGAAAATATTTCCTGCAAATTTAAGTATTTTATCATCTCCACCACTTTTTAGCACATTTAAATGAACAAGCAATGCTTAAAAGTACATTAATTGTTTACAATTTTTAAATAAACCAATTTGGGTAACAAATTAAGTCAGTCCACTTATTGCCTACTAAATAGAATTTATTTAAGGGCATAAATAAAATTGCAGTTCATGGTATCTAGGAAGTGCTGAAAATGTACAACTTCCTTATAAACTCTCATCTTCTTGAAAAAATATTAATATCAAAATTAAAACAAGGATCATAAAATATTAATGTCAGTTGTATCAAAATTTTAGCATCATGGTCATTAAATTATAATGAATAAAAATACATGTACAGCATAATGTCATATTAAATACACAATGTAAAAGATTACATAAAAAATTTTAAACAAGGATCATAGAATATTTATAGGAGTTGCATCAATTTTCAACATCATGGTCATTAGATTATATGAGTAATTAATAAAAATACAGCATAATTAATATACCATCTTAGTTTACACAAAATAGAAGTTCTCAATTACACTTTATAAGACTTTTAACACTTTTTTTTTCGATTGCTACATCTTTTATGCTGTATCATGCTTAATTGAGAATTTCATGAATTATCAACAAGAATTGATTGAGTGTAACATATAAAACATATCAAAACCAAAACAAAAAGAGAGGCAGAGGATGACCATAAAAGGCTACAAGGTAACATCTGGCTTATACAGGGGTTTGCATATCACAGCCTAGCTACCTCGGATCAACACTTTAAATATTTTAATGCAAAGTCATCTGTATTGTTGCAAATTTTCAATATCTGAAGCTCATGTATCTCAAAATCATTTGACACTTCATAGCTCACATTTCCCTCATTTGCAAAATCTATGATCTATACCAGGAAAAAATATAGGACATGTTGCATATGATAACCTTAGTGGAAAATAGGACCAATTAATGGATTAGAGAATATGACATATAAAATCATTGATGCATTTTGATTGTTCTGAATCATTGTGTTTCCCTTTCTTTTCTATAATCATGCTTTGCAAAGCAAATAAATTCTGGTAAAACCGTAAAAGGAATAAAGAACTGATAAAGCAATAAACTACAGATCTTGCTATTAAACATAATACATGTGAATGCAGTGTAGAGTCAACATTGTCTGAATATATCATACTAGGGATGTATTATTTTATCGGTAATTCGGTATACCAATTTTTATTGTGTGATAAGTATTGTACGTGATGCTGAGACTAACATACCGTTATTTAGGTACATGTATTTAGTTATAAATTCCAGTAATTATTCATTTAATTGTTCAATATTTCAAAAAACTTGCCTGTAAAAAATATAATGATATTGAAATATTTTGGAAAAAATCATGATATGTCACAATACGACATTTATGGCGGTACCCATCCCATATATATATACATGTATTACACTCCATTCAAAGTTCTTACACATTTTGCACCAGCCTACAATAGGGAAGATTAAGCCCATCCTCTGGCCCACCTAAAAGAATACCTACTAACTTATAATGTTCTTTCTGTGTCATGCTGAGTTTAAAAGATCAGTCCTTTTTATTTTTATTCAGTTCAACTGATACCCATATGTACCCAGGCCTATTTTGCTCTGTGGATGACCAGCAAATCCGGATTAAATTTCAAATTTTAACTAAACTCTCATCATTGTGCCCTCTTGACATTGACAAAGTTTCCCCCCTCTTCAATGATAGATCATTATCTGTTTCATTTCTCTTGAGAACTTTTTTTCCCCTCTCCCATGGGAAATAAATCATTGCAGCTCTATTTAAAGATTTACAACCCATGAACGATAATTAATGTATATACCTATAAGGTAAAGAGCAACCCAAGTAAGACATTTTCCTTAAAGGGAAAAACCTTCTGAACTGTGACTATTTGAAAATAGAGAGTGTACTTTCTCTAGTAAGATAATCACTTTCAGATTTCTATTTGTGAAGAGCTGAGGGTTTGATATATTAATTCTAAGATGTTTTTAAAATACACGGTACCTGTACTGTACAATTTTTATTTAACATGAAGGCTAATATTTCAAGGGTATTTTTTTCCCACTAAAGAATGTAATGAGATGTCTATAATTTGTATGCCTTTGTGTTATCTACAAATGTAAATATCTTTCTTGTTCATTTGAACAATGAGATAAAAATTAATCCTCAGTAATCAAATAATTTTTCAAAGTAAAAAAAAAGTTAATTTCAAAGTAAAAGTCAAGGATCTCTTGAATAAATATAGAATACCAAATCAGAGTTTACATGTACATATGATTATTGACTCTAATTCCTTTGCAAAATTTTCAGCTAGGTTCAAATATTGCACTACAGTTTCAACAATGTCTTGTAAAAGAAGTTCTTGATCAGAGATAATTCAACACTAGTATATTTTACAACAGGCACTGCTGTTTGCCATACATAAGAACAACAGAGTTATCTGCTCTTTCTTGATATTTATGTAGTTTTTGGAACATTTGAACCTTTGAAATATGACATAACTTGATCTTTTTTTTTTACAACTGTCTACATTATCAATAAAGTGTGCAGAAATAAAACTCAAACTTCAATCCCTTTCAATTGAGTACGGTAAAATAAAACACACCTGTAAAATTTGAGTGCCACCTCGGGCTGGTCTGTGTAGAAGTGGTTTGTAGCTATACAGGCTATGGCCTCCACATACATACTGTCATAATTAAGTACATCTTTATAAAACTTTACTGCATTGTCCATATCATTCATCCCCTAAAATTATAAAACAAAATTGCAAGTTTTTTGTCATAAGGTAATATATGCATAGAATATTAAACTGAAAGATGACATGGTATGCACAGTATATTGTACATTTGTAATGGCTATATAAACTATCTAAAAGCAAGTTAATCATACTCTTTGGTAGATTTTTTTAAACAAGGAATATAAATTCATTCTTTTGAAATTATTCTACAAGTAACAAATGTAGGTCAACAAATTTTGTATCGATCATATAGATTTAACCTCTCAAAATACAGTACATGTATATAAATGTACTTTAAGATCAAACTTACATATATAATTAATTAAGCAAATCTACCTCATAAATTCTGGCAATCCCTGTCATTAGAGTGGTCTCCCCTTGGAACTTCTCTAGTCCCTGTTTGAAGACTTCTATGGCTGTCAGGGGTTGATCAAGTCGACAATACACCTTACATAAATACAGGTACGTGTCTACATGATCCTGCTGCTTCAGGGCTGACTTCAACTGCTTCTCAGCATCCCTGTACATTCCTAGCCTGATAATACAAAATTATTGTTATGGTGTTCTGAAATATACATTTAGACAAGTTTCGTGCTAAAATAATTGCATTGTCTGACAAATGTCAACTTTTACTGAAAATTCACACCACTTCCAGCATCTTAAGCAAGGCAGTGAGACATCCATGCAAGATGATATTGCATAAGCTCAGGGCGACTTTATCAAAAAGAGACAAAAAAGGATATCTTGGATAGACTACTGAGTTTAAAACAAGATTAGATCTTTCTACAAACATGAAAGCATTCTTGCGCTGAAACTAAGAAGAAGCGTTCTCTTTTCCATATACCTGTAATAACACTTGGCCAGCTGGACTTTCCACCACCAATCTTTGAACTGACAAGCTTCAGTAGCTAATGCTGCAAGTTCTAGGGCCTATAAATAAATGTGAAGATTACATATACATGAAGATGGAGAGGTATAGTAAAAGTGAAAGAAATAAGTCATTTCCTTTTGCCTTTTTTATCAAAGTAAACTCTAAAAATGTAAAGATTATGAAAAGCTTGCATTTAAAATAACTTGTAATGCAGTAGATCCTATTTATATTGAAGTTGTCTGAGTCATATTTTCTCTGTATAATTTTCATACATGTACTAAATCTAATTTCATGTTGAATTTTTTTTATACATTTATATTTCTACAGTGAAAATTTCACAGTATACATTAAATATAACTAAACTACTGTAGACATACTTACATTTCGAACATCATTTTCATGGTGGAATATGTATTCAAACAGAGCTTTGGCTAAATTAGGTCTTGCTGAGTACTTTGTAAAATTAAGTCTGGCCAGGTTAATAAAAGGTCCATCTGGTGTTGAAAGCATAGATGCCTTGAAAAGAAATTCAAGACTTTTTAAAAACAAAGTGCATGGTAAAAACTTAACTATCTACATATATTACCTACATTTTTAACTGCTTTTATCAAACCATTTTCATCAAAAGGTTTTCAAGGAAAACACAGAATTGATAATGTTGAAAGTGAAGAAATAATCAACAGATTATACATGTATATAATAACTACAACTTACAGTTCCCAGCCTGACATAGCGACCTGAAGCACTGGTGACCGGGCGGGCAGTGTGGGCTGTTCTGGGGGTCATGATAGCCTTCTCCATGGTGCCCGGTCTGCCTCCTTGTGTGCTGGGCCTCACAAAGCCTGACAGTGGACGCCCAGACTGTGACATAGGCCTAATAATAATGTTGACTTATGAATAGAATATTTCACATTAAAATTGTGAATTGAAACATACTGGATCTTTATACTGCTACAGAAATTTAAAGCCATATCAAAACTGCTAAGAGTTTTGTGAATGTCTTGAAGACAAGGTATGTTAAGGAGCCCCTTTGATTCACACAAAATTAACTAAGTCTTCTTGCATATCTATTCATTGTATTTATTCCATACATTCAAATACACAAATTATATGCAAAGCTTAATCGGTGCCCTGTAATGTAAAGAGTAAACACTGTACCCCTTGACCATGAGGCTTAAAATGGGCGCTTAAATTCTATTTTAGTACATTGCAAAAACCAAAAATATTCTTGAAGTGAAGCATGTTTGGTTTTAACAACATTCACTGTACATCCCTGTTTATAAATTTTTCCCCACCTGACCCCTTGGCTGGGTGCCCCTCGTCCTGTCCCTGGCTGTTTCAGTGATGTCCCGGGTCTGGATACCTGGGCTATAGTGTTGTCATCCATCACCATCTCAGCTATCCCTTCCTCATCCACATCCACCTCATCCACATAGACTTGTCCTGTCAGTGCTCTGGTCTTTAAAGTCCAGGCAGCCTATATAATGACATTTATATGCATAAGTCAAAAGAACTTAAACAAAACACAAATAGCAAAACAAAAATTGGGATCTGTATCTTAAAGTCATCAAAACTTTAAGGTGGCAACAACTCTCATATTCCCATTTTTAAAATGTTATAATAAATACCAGCAGAATTTACATCAAGACCCCATGGACTTATAAAATGGGCTGTACTAACTAAGGGATATCCCTGACCTCCTACCATATACCCCATGTGTCTTCTTTCATGGACAAAATCCAAGGTTTCTATACCAGTCCTGTCATATCCAGAGAACCAAACTAATACACTAGACCAAGACTTGAACAGTAGAATTCAAACCCTCTGAGTTTTAGATTGCGTCTTTGCAGCAAATTGCTGTCGCTGCTATCTGACCATGGCCAATGAGACAATCTCAGACATGTAGGTGAATGATAGTTTAATACATGTAATATATTGTGTGCAAACTGGAGCCAGATGTTTCTTGGGAGTATGAAGTGTCTCTGATTTGAGATATATATTTGTTTGTTTGTTGTTTAATGTCCTATTTAGAATTTTTTACTCATATGGAAACACCACCACTTGCATTTGGAATCTGCAAAGTTATACCTATACTCAGTACTCAAAGCCATTGAGCAATGAAGGATCTTTTTTTCTGTCAATGCCTACTGCGACACAGAACCTCCGTTTCTGTAGTCTAATCTGAAGGACCAGTCACAACATCCCACCATAGATTCAACCCCATGACATAAGGATCGGCTATTTTACTCCATGTGTCTACAGCAGCCCTATAACCACTGTGCCATATGGGTAATTTGTTATATCCACTAAACTTGGAATATATTTCAAAGCCAAAGGAAGAAGAATCACTTCACTTTAGGGGTGGGACGATACACAGATCTTGCAATACAATACGTATCTTGATATATTGGCACGATACGATACGTATCTCGATATTATGATAAATCATAAAACTATTAAAAAATAGTATTTTATTTCATATTTTTGTCTTGACATTAACACAACATGATAAATTATAAAACTATTCATAATAATTAGTATTTTATTTAATTTTTTTGTCTTGACATTAACTCAAAAAAATATTCTATATCAAATCATGTGTGCTATGAAATTAACACTTGAAGCAGACTTGTCGAAATTTTTGAATCACCGTCAGACATTTGGTCTGACACAGTCGAATGTTTTGTTGGACCAGTCAAACTTTTGTCAGACCAGATACTTGTATCCGTTATTTTGATGCTGGTAAAATCATATGAATAACAGCAGCAAAATGTCCTTTCTTATTTTCAATAGACTTCAATCTAACAAGTTTCCTATCTTGGGATAGAGAGTCTTTAATATAGACATAAATGACAAGTTTTATGACTTTGCTATAACAAATTTACTTAGCTATCGTCAACATGCTGCGTAACGCGGCCATTTTTTCTGTGTTTTTGACCTTGAACTACGCATCCCGATCCCGACCTTTATTAAATTTGCATTACGCTAATTTTTTTTTCAAACGGACATCTGGACCGACGTTTTCTTAAATGTTATCGGTCCAGACAAATTTTTACCGGCCTTGCCGACAGGACCGACGGATTTCGACAAGTCTGTTGAAGTTCATCAACTTCATTGACTAAAACTGTACAAAAACAATAGTACAGGACAATTGTACATATTACCAAATTTCTGAAGTTGTTTACAAATAGTTGTGTAGTTTATCAAAGAACGCTGACTAAAAATTCATTTACATTATTATTAATTGCTGAAAGTCTGTAGCCAAGTTGAGATTACAAAAAAAGTATGAATGGACTAACATTTAATAATATCAAATGTTCTGGAAACGATAATTTTCTGTGTATAGCATGCTTTGCACACTGAACTTTTCTTGTCCAATCTTCCGAGGCTGCTTAAAAGTGAAAACGTATTACCTCTAATCAACGGCTTATTAGTTCTAAAGTGTGTTTTCAATATTAACACCATCTCTTCGCTTCGTACAGGCCGCCATTTTCAAGGACTGGTACTTTCATTTTCAATTTTTTGATAGGTCGTTCGTGTATCGTTTCGTACCGATATTTGAATGCTTGTATCGTAACCCGTATCTTAGAGGAAAATATCGATATGTATCGGTGTATCGGTATATCGTCCCACCCCTACTTCACTTTAAGCATCTTACCATTATAAGTGTGTTCACTATAAGCGTGAGTCACTGTAAACTAAACATCTACCAATTATAAGTGGGATTTCACATATTAACAGACATACAGATTCCTTTAAAATTCCATAAATTGCATGCATAATTGACCTCCACAATTCATCCCTCCCTTCTACCACACCTGAGTTTTATCTAAGTGATAATAGCGAGCGCAGCGAGCTCAATAGACTAACGTGTATGAACAGAGGAAATTCGGATTGAAATCTGTACATACGTCAGCCAAATTTCTCTGTGCAACATTCCCAGAATTCCTGCACTACCAAATGTCCTTTGCGCGAATAAATCAAAAATAGTAAAAAAAATTTAAAAGAACATTGTTTCTTACCGAAATCTTAACGAAATGATTTTGCCTTACCTTATTTAAAAAAATACCCCCAATTGCCACAACACCGGCCTTCACCTTGCCCTTCGGAAATGATACAAATGACGTCACCGGAAACTTACGAATTTTGACGAAGTTACGTCGGTTGCTTCCGTGAAACTCGGAAAACATGTTGCGGTGCATAGCAACATGGTGGCTAAAACATAGCAACGACTTACTTGAAAAGAACGATTTAATGCAACTTCTTTTCCATAAAACTAGCGTTTGCGTCCTCAACAAAACTTTTTATCTGACGTCATACTTTCGTTACTTCAACGGTTCGGGTATTTCCGATTTTGTCGGAAACTTCCGAGAAGTTTGGAATCTCGATCCCGATGCTTGGGAAATGATTTCTTTTTATTGTTTTGTTTTATTCTTTTTGCTTTCTTTTTCTTGAATGATAGACAGTACATGTGTAGGTTTATGATAGTAAATAAACTGCGCTCGCCCCAACGGTCACACCGTAAAACATATTATTAGTAATTTACACCTTTTTTATTTAACAAAGAGTATAATAGCAAGTCCAAAAAAAAATGTTTGTGGAAATAATTAAAACTTGACAGATATTGAGAAATATGAAATGCATGATCATCATTGACATTACAACTTCACATTTTGGGATAAATATTGATTGTACCTGATCGTAAGGATTTTTCTCCAGTAATTGAGTACATATTTCTGCACACTGTTCATACTTCTTTCTCCTGTAATAGCTGTAAGCTAAGAAAAGGGGATCCATTTCTGTTTTCTGTAAGTCACTTCTTTTTCTTTTTCTGAACAAAAAATGTTTGTGGCAACACTGGAGAGTTCCTACAAAGGGAAGTTACTGGGTGCGTCGATTTACCCAAAAGGACCCAAAAGGACCCAAAAGGAACCCAAAAGGACCCAAAAGGAACCCAAAAGGACCCAAAAGGAACCCAAAAGGACCCAAAAGGAAATCAAAAGGACTCGAATTAATATATTATAATACATTGAAAATTAATAATTTGAATTAAATTATGAATATTATATTATAAATTTACCTAAAAATTGGCAAAAACATACATTTATATTGTTGCAACTTTTCTTAAAGAAATAACATACGACTTTTATAACACATCAATCATTAAATCTGGTCAGATATGCTTTGATTTCTTTTAGCTGAATTTAACAAAGTGCACTGTATTATTCTATTTCTCATTCTGTTTTATTATATCTTATATATTATATGATATTTGATAAATAAAGAAATAAGTTTATTTAATGACATGTTCTAGGCATATGGTATCGGGGATGGGTGGGGGTGGGGGATGTGGGGGCCTCCCACCTCAACCCAAACACGCACTTTACCCTCAAAAAACTAGTTTTAGTTTTAATAAAATATGAAAGTATTCATTATATATCCATTTAATCTCTTTATTTCAAGTCCTTTTGGGTCGTTCTTAATTTCCTTTTGGGTCCTTTTGGGTCCTTTTGGGTTCCTTTTGGGTCCTTTTGGGTTCCTTTTGGGTCCTTTTGGGTTCTTTTGGGTCCTTTTGGGTCCTTTTGGGTAAATCGACGCACCGGAAGTTACTCGGTAATCTCAGCGGTGTAATACTGATTCGTATATTATGCTTTAGTTATGATATTTCATAGGGATAATATGAATTTAATATATGCAATAAACATTTGCAAAAGTTTGAAAAATTGTAATAAATTTACAGTGCATTAATAAAAGACAAAAATTTTCAATGTGAAATGAATTTTGTGGCACACTAATCATTGTGTAAACGAATTGCACAGACACCGCTTTCGGTAGAAGGAAAAGTGCCGCTTTCGGTTTTTCTTGAAAAATGGGGATCGACGGACTCCTTTTCTTACTAGCCGTTATTGATGAAGGAGCTTTGTTGTTTTTAGTTGTGTATTTTGTATCCTTTCAGATTTCGTACATATCAAAATAATTTACATTTATTTGTTCAATTTACCTCCCTGATCTGATGATCCTGATGATGATTATGATGACATGGAAATCACGCCTTTCTCAAATTCTGCTTATCTATAATAATTGTAAAAAAACTTGTATACAATAAACATCTATTGCTCTTCACTGTTCAGTGCTATCAATCGTTGTGACAATTGATTACTGTAAACAAACTGTATATTGATAAAATTTTTTTTAGAATGCTTTGTTTACAGGGACTTGAGACAATCCTAGCAAAATCGGATATATAGTATTATAGGGGTTCTGAGTCCACACATTACAAACTTCATTTGATGTGTGGCATGCAGTGAGGTTCGATGTCAGTGGCCAGATAGCTCAGTCAGTAGAGCACCTGACTGGAGATTCAGGGGGCTCGGGTCCAAATTCTGGTCAGGTCAGCTGCATTATTCACCTCCCCCATTATAGATGTTTTACAGGCTGACTGAAGTACATTAACATCTTTCAGGGGGAAATCAAAATCCTTGATTACTGATGCATGTGTTTGTGGCCCTTATTAATGTATCCCTATAAATATTTTAATGTCTGTGCACTCCTCATGCTTCCTTTGGTAACCTCTTGCTCTCCTCAAAATCAATTATGATCAAAGAAGTTACCTCTAAGTCATTTTCCGTTGCTCCCCAAAGATATTTTTGGTAAGCTCATATTCATTTGTACTTATATCTGTGGTTGATTGCTTGTATAGTCATGATAGTTGAACAGTATTCAGCTCTCTCACTTGACATTACCGAAACCATGATAAATGCAGATCATTGATGTAACCTCATATTCCTCATTATTTTAAACATCAGTCAAAGAACAAGGACTTGAAGTTTGTAAAACAAATAAAACCTTAACTCAAAACAGGTTATAACACTTTCAGATTTAGAATGTGATTATCTGAATGCAACTACATGTTGTACAAGACTCAATAAGGTAATCCTTTCTTTTGGTCAAATACTGATCACAGATTTTTCACTTTATTTTCATGATGAGAACTGTATTGTTCTCAAAAAATTTATTGTATAAATTTGCACAAAGGAATAAGAGTTGAAGAACAATTCACATAAATATTGACGAGAACTTAATTTCAGCTTCAAGATAATCTTGCAGAATTGAAAAATTTCTCTTGCACAAAATATGATAGTTCTTTTACCCCGCAATTGATTTTAATGAGAACTTGACATTCACTCTCGTTTGCTGTCTTCAAAGTTATATTCTAAAATATTGTACCTTCATTTTCAGTTTGTATTACCAGAGATTATAGCCCAGGCTGTTCTAAATGTTCTGTTCTTAATAACTGGTCACTGGATCCTGTTCCTCCTGTATACACCTTGTACAGCATGGATAATCTATATGTAAGTCTAATGTACAGCGTGGATAATCTATATGTAAGTCTAATGTACAGCATGGATAATCTATATGTAAGTCAATTTGTACAGCATGGGTAATCTATATGTAAGTCAATTTGTACAGCATGGATAATCTATATGTAAGTCAATTTGTACAGCATGGATAATCTATATGTAAGTCAATTTGTACAGCACGGATAATCTATATGTAAGTCAATTTGTACACAATTCAAATAATCTATAAGTCAGTTTGTACGGCTGCTACAGCATGGTTAATCTGTATCTAAGTCAGTTGGTACAGCTTGGATAATCTGCATCTAAGTCAGTTTGTACACCACGGATAATCTACAAGTCAGTTTGTACACCATGGATAATTTTTAAGTCAGTTTGTACACTATGGATAATCTATAAGTCAGTATGACTAGGTACACCATGGATAACCTAAAAGTAAGTCATTTTGGACAGCATGGATAATCTGTGTCTAAGTCAGTTTGTAGGCATGGACAATCTATAAGTCAGTTTGTACAGCTTGGATAATCTATATGTATTGAATTAGTATGTACAGCTTGGACAACTTATATGTAAGTCGGTGTGTACAGCATGGATATCTATAAAACAGTTTGTACAGCATGGATTATCTGTATCTATTTATATCATCATTTTTTTTCTTATAAAGATAAAGATGTACATGTATCTAGCGAGCTTTTGTAAGCATATAATTTTTCAACAAAATAGGGAGTCAGTTTTTAATTAAGTGCCATGCCAAGTTACATATCCTCTACATCTATGTTTGCAGATATGTAATGAAGCCCTCAGGAAACATTGGGATATACGACCCAGCAGAAATCCATAACAGACATCAACTCAAAGCCTACATGAGAGACAATATGATCAAAATGGCTGTCCATCTAATCTTTTTCTTCATTTTCTTGTACTGGTAAGTAGTTTCTCACTCTAGGTGTGTGCAGTGCATGTGAGAGCACCCTCCCTTTTGTGTAGCACCTTTCCTTTGTATCTTATGTTATAAAACACTGATGGAAATATCAGACAGTATATTAAATATATCTTTCTTAGTATAAGGACTAACTTATTACTAACTCAAAGCTACTATATATGACACAAAAGGGACCTCTGCATATTTATCTGTCTCTAGATATCTGTTGTCTTTATCTTAATATTTGTCTGGGGAATGGTAGAAATTCCACTACTACTCATTTATGCATAAGTTCAATTTAGCATTAAAAAGAGTTGTTCATTATTCATCTTTTCACGTGCATATACGCAGTGCTTTGATTTTAAAAGTTTGTGAGATTCTAGTTTCTTAAGTTGATTCATTTCATATTTCAAAGAGGTGTGAAAGAAATGTCAAGAAAAAAAGTTATCCTTGAAAAATTGGTAGAACACAAGATGAGATTTTTCTTTTAGAAAAAAAATAATAAATTATTAATTATAAGTTTATCAAAGGAACATAAAACTTACAAATATAAAATGTCTGTGCAACACATAAATTTAGTTTTCATATGCATGTAAAAGTTACACAAGTCCAAACTATACTTTCAAAGATGACCATTTTCTTGCAGGATGATATATTCCCTTATTAAGGGCTATTAACCTCTGACCTCTGGTGTTCCCATGGTGATGAGTGTGAGTGACATTGTAGTAAGAGTGACATCACTTCCTGTCTACTTGTAGGATGATTTACAGCATGTTGAAAGACGACACAACCATGTTTGGAGTTCCGGCAGAGAAGGCTACATTAACAGATGATCCGTATGAACTTTAGTAGGTGTGTAAATTTCAGTGTGAACTGTAGAATTTGTATGAGCTTTACATGTGTTATTTTTCAAGTGTTAAGTTGCATCGTCTAATACCCACGGATGAACTTGTCTTTTACTCATCAGTCACCATGAATAAAAGAACAAGATCAAATGTGGATATAGATGATGGTTAAGTTGGTGCATAATGCTTTTTTTGAAAGGTTTTTTTTATGCTTTTGGTTGCAATAGTCCCTTAGTAATAGGATATTTACAAGATTGTAGATGATATTTTCATACTTACTGAGTATTAAAAATATGTCAATTGTGTTTGTTCCTCATCTAACCTTAACACAATGCCTAGACTTTAAAACAACAAAAAATATTATCAAAAAATGTTACATTGTAATACATGTACTACCAAGCAAATGATGTGTAGGCTAATAGTTATAGTGTATGTACAATATATTTAAATGTATGTTTTATGAAATACATTACTTAACAAATTAAACATGAAATGTGTTTGAACAAATTTTGTAAATGGTACATATTTTGTGTATTGTTTTTCACCTCAATACAATTTCTCATTTTAAAATTTTTATGTATAAAGCTACTTGCTGCAAAGAGAGTATTCATAAAACTGAACACGGCATGGAAGTAGACATTATCTATATCAGTTTTTATACATGTATTTTTCTTCCTAGAGAAACATGGCAGACAAAGATTTTCTTCCTTTTATATGTCGTGTTCAGCTTTAGTAGCTCAAGACTCCCCATTTTTAGGGAGCTCGAAATAAAATATGTTTTTCATTGTCTTCAGTCCTGTTTCAGAGCTTATTATGTACAATATGTTTAATTTCACTAAATTCTAGTATTGGGTGGAGTGCCTTGTAGAGCCCCAAAAAAAATTATTTTGAAACAAGTGTTTACCCTAATTTTTATCTTCAGTGTCAAGTAGTATACAGTTATGTCCATTTCCAATGTGATATACATGTATCATTTTATAAATCACTTTTCATGCATGAAAGTTTCTTGTGACTTTATTAAGACATACGCATGTACAGACTGTATTTAATTGTTTTTTTTCTAATACATGTATATACAAAACAGCATTTTCCTACAAAAACAATTTTAGGAGAGTCAAAAGTATTAACATTATAAAGTAATGCAATAAGGCAGGAAGATGATATGTTTATGTACCACCGAACATGTTGTCTGTGTTGTCTGTTCTAAAACTCGACCTTTTTTCATGTTTGATGAATAAAAACATTTTTAAAAGATTTTTTGTTTTTGCATTTCATAAATTTCATATGAAGGTGCAATGCACATTGAGACAATATTTTGTTAAAGTGCATTAGAAAGCAGGGAGATAAAATGTTGAATCATTTATAAACTCGGTCAATGATTGCTTTAAAGTTCTGTACAGAATAGAAGCTTATGGGCTTCGATTGTTACCTGAGTATACAGGTAATATTTTTGTGCTTGGTTGGTGTGACCAGTGAAGTCCCACATGGACCTGAACCTTGTGTGACTTGAATCATGCATTTTGTAGGAAATCTTATATTTGAAACTAACATTTTTCAAGCTGAATGCTACATGTGCTGATAATGGTATTAAGACTTGATCAATAAAGTGTCCTTTCCACTGGTTGGAGTAGATTTAGTCAAGTGCATATAATGTTACCTTGCATCAAGTTTGTTTGCTCAAGGGTCATGCAACAAATGTTCAATTTTTTTATTTATAAAATGTTCACAAACTCAGTAATAGTGTTTGCAAACCGACCTTGTTTTGGTGATGTAATCAAGAAAAACTTATTTAAAGAACTGTTGAATTCATTCATCAATCAAGGATTTTGAGTTCAAATTTTTAAATTCAGGTAAAAGGTAAAGGACTGCCATCTTGTCCCAAAAATATTATGCATTTTCCTATGGCCTGAAATTAGTGGAAATGTAATCATTGGATGAAGGTAAAACACCTCTGATAAAAATTAAACCATGATTGGGTCGATTACTAAATTTTTTCCACAGTCCAAGCATAAAAATGTCAAGGCCCTGAAGGAACATCAGAGTCAAGTAACCATGATTTTTTGCTACTCCTAAAATAAGTCAAGAAGCCATGATTTTTTTCTACTCCCCAAATAAAAGGTTCAGTCTTTTAGAATTTTACATCTACAAGATACTTCTCTGAACTCTGTGACATCAGCTTTAGTCATAGTAACAACTGATCAGGGTCATACCATATAATATTCTACCCCTAGGGCAATATGGCCTTTAAACATGATTGGAATGAATTTCATACTTCACATGAAGTGTGTAATTTTCCAGTTTCACAATTCAAGGAAAGGGAATTTAAAGCACTTTTATTTTTGTCAAAAAAAGCATCTAGATACATCCCTAACTGCTTAAATGAATCAAAGGCCTGAAGGGCCTGCAAGTTGACTCGCTCGAGTCAATTGAGCTTTTTCACATCTGGCCACCATACCTTAGTATATTCAGTTTATTTTGCATCTTAAGAGATTGAATATTATATGTCTGATCCATGTTCGGTTCATAAATAAAGTGTATATTGCTTTTCCTTTATATATACAGGTTGGCACTAATGGGCTTCCGTATTATTTTGACTGGATTCTATAATGAATTTCAGCACATTAGCTGAAGTGGTCAGTGTTATGGAATAATTGGGTTAAAGATTCCCACAGCAAATCTTGATTCTAAAAATAGATTTTCAACAACAACTAGCTGCAGCTAATGAGAGCAGCAGGTGTTTGTGTTAGGGAGTATTCTAGGTCAATTATAAATAAACTTCAGATGGAAAGATTAGATATGCCTAACATGCTTGAACATATATTCATACGCAGTAATTGTACATCATACAGATATTTAATCAAAAATTTCTTTGAAGGCATAAATAATGTTACAGTAGGAAATTTTACACAGTTTTTACCTTTTATAAATTTTATTATTTTATACAAGTTTATACAATCACTCAAATCAAAGCATTTTTTGCTAGAACTATATTTGGCGTATGGATCACCTTGATGAATGCGTGATAAATTTTACAGCTCTGAAACGGCTATGTCAAGACAGGGAGTAGCTCGCTACGCGAGCCAACTCAAAAAATATATGACATAAAAGAAAGACAGAAATATTCAATATGATATTTATTGTACAAAAAAAAGTGATTTGTAATATACTCATTATGATCTGTTACATTGTAATTTACCTTCAAAGCAGAACAGACTCTAGATTAAGATTTTATAAAACACACTTTAACACTCTGCATCTCTTTGGTCAAACCATGACAGAACATTTGTTTCAATTACACAGTAAATAATATTCTCATTGCATTATGATACTTCAAAGGAGGGGTGGGGTTCATTTACAACACAGTGATCAATTATAAACACTCGATAAATGTATCCTCATGTACACTCCCTTTTTCTATGCTACTAGCAAAAAAATGCTTTGGGTTTTCAAATGGTATATTCAGGAGGATTCTTTTTCAAACAAAACAGGCCGATTATTACCATGCAATTCATTTCAAAAATAAAAACACAAATACATGTACATGGCATGTTTAGCATGCATCCATAGAGTTTCCTATCTTATTTTGTGGTACATAGTGAAAGCACATAAAAATTATGGACATTGTGTGCTATAATTGGGTTATGAATAACATGTACCATACATGAACTTGAATTTTAGAAGCTGTATTACACCTTAACACCTTCATAAAAACATAATACAAGTGAATTCCTAACTCTAATGGAATATTAGCAAAACAAAACTAACTACATGTGTGGTTATTATGTGGCAGTTTTGACTGTCTTGGAGGTCAACTATGTTTTTGACTATATCAACTTTCGTAAATGATCATACTACATTAATTAATTAAAAAAAGTGTTAAACATGATATGATTTAATTGCAAGTACTGATAAATAATTTAAGTGGGTAAAAAATTGTTGTGGCCAGACCAAAATGATAAACTAAGAAAGAACATTAACACCAATGATTCATTACCTAATTCATAGTCAAAGATCAGAAACAGATATTTTGGTAGTACTGTACATGTGTAATAAAAGAAAATACAATCCTAAATTATCTCAACAAAAAAAACCCAAAGACAGTGTTCATTACAAATTTCACCCCCTTAGAAACTGATGTTTAAAATACAGGGTTACACTCAAAAAGAACTTAATAATGGTTTCTTTTGATAAAAATTAATAAAAGCACTAAATAAAGAGGTTTAAATTCTATGTTGGTACATGTATTCAAGCACTCTGCAGTGTATGAAGAGAAAATAGTTTCATTCTTTTTTGCGCTGTCTATTCACAATAATTTTGCTCATTTCATTATGTTGATACAGGTATTTCATATATTCTGTACGATACCTAAATATTATATTAATATACAGAAACATGATCCTCCCAAGAAAAGAATTGACACACAGAGTTCATAGATTTGGAAATCTTGGATCCCCCAACTTTTACCCATCACACAAGATCTATAATGGACATACTGCTAATCTACTTAAATATCATAACATGCAAAATTGAAAATAAGACATGAATACCTCATATATACTTAACATCAACTTCACCAAAACTCCATAAATACACTTACAAAAATAATTAGAGCAAATGAAACATAATCAAAAGCTACAAAAACCTATAATCTTGATACATGGAATGATTATAAATTAAAAAGACATTCACACATTAAGATGTGTATGATTTTTTTTTTTTCATACAAACAATTCAACTGAACACTAATTACACAAACTATTAAAAATATTCAAACTCAGAAATCAGACTTATTTTCAAACAAAGGAACAAAATGAAAAGTGATGAAAAAAAGCTCAAACTTGAAATTCTGTTTTGTATGTAAATACAGATCAAATTACAAAGTACAATGTAAAAAATGAAGTTCAAATGAAATTTATTCTAGAAATCACCTGGTAACTAAAAGCTTGCCTAACTTATGTATTGCATCCACATTATGAGACATTTTAATGAAAACAAGTGGACTTACAGGAAACCCCTATCTCCAAATCTACCAATTGGCAATTTAACTATTGTTGAAGAAATGGACGTCATTTTATACACAATGTAAAATACCCCCCCCCCCCCCCCCCCCACCCACCATCCACCCTTCGCCTGTACAGGGTGACAAACCTTTAGAGATGTACCTCTTACTAGCTTGCCCCAACCACTCCCACCCACACCCAAAAATAGACTAGTTTCAAAACAGATAGCTCAAAATATTTCATGCTTTTAGAGTATTAATGCACTTTCTTCCATAGTTCAAGACATATTCCAATGCAGTTTTGTAAAGAGACACTCAACTGTTTTTTTTTTTCCCTTCCATGAAAGTAGAAATAAATCTTAAACTGTTGCATTTAAAAATCTTACCTCCTGCAAATAAACCTCTTAATCAAGAGTAGTCAATGGCAAATATAATCTAATCTTCCAATGATCCATAGTCAAACTTTTTTAACATGAAAGACACAGCATAAGAAAAATCACAAAAGTCTGTGTGTTTTAGCTCCAAATATCCACACAATAGCACATGATTCTAAATATAAAATTTCATAAAAATGGTAAAAAGAATTCTTCTATACACAGAACTTTGCAAGACAAGACATACTGGTTTCAGTTACTCTTTTAGTGTATTTAAGTGTATGGCACTGACACAGCAGTTAAGATGTTTTTAATATTCTGATCTGTTAACTGAGCATACCTAATCATCACACTAATGAAGTAATGGATAGAATTACCGGTATGTTGTATAGGTAAAAAATGATGGTGAAAGATGATGGACGTTTAACACTGCAGCAACTTAATATCAAATCAAGCAATCAGAAAAATGATAAAATATTTGTTTTTCTTTTTTTCCCATTCTAAAGATCTGTTTTAGAACTTTTTTGTCTACAGAGATGAAAACAAACTATTCTGAATCACCTGCATAATGAATGCTGCTAAAAAAAACAAGATTTGCATCTAAGGATTGTAATTAACAAAAACACTACAAAAAAGAAGGAAGTCCATAGATTTCTGGGTGATAGCATAAACATTCCGATTAACACTGGAGAAACAAAAAACAAAGAGAGAATTGCTATGTAATCAATGTGTAAGTAGTGGGAAAAACAGTTCATTGTAATTTAATATTTTAATTTTGACTAGAACAAAATGTCTTCTAACTTTTTATGTGGAGTGCAGATGAGAAATATACGCCAAAAAATGAAACTAGAAAAAGTTAAAAATAATGTTAAAATGATATATAAATATGTTCAGTATTGACTGAAATCAATCCACTGTTCATCACAATGTGACGATTTCAAGACTTGAAGAATACTGACAAATATTTACTTCATTGTTCTAGGAATGAATAAAATGTGTTACCATGGGAACCTTACAGGATCTTTGTTGTTCAGAAATAATGAAGCAGATCTTTCTTTTGGTTATATTAAACAAAAAAAAAAAATCCTATAAATATTACAGTTTTATCCAACTGTTGAATTATAATTACCTTGACTAATAATTTTCTAGAATTCGTAAGAATGAATGACACTTTTTTGCAGTTTATGAAAAAAAATCTTTTAGAAAAGAAAAATCTAAAATTTCACTTAACCTATGAATACAATTTTCCATTTGTTTTTTTCTTCTAAAATTAGAAATGTACCAACGAAATTATTTTCTTCAGGTTTGCTTGTCTGTTAATCAGAACATCCTGACACACTGTCAGCCCTCTTGAAGCCAACAGGCAAAGTTCCTTTTCTATGTTACCCAGTCTGTATAAAACTGGATTTCTCTATTCTTTTCTATTCTTTGCTTCCCTGTAATTGATCCTGGACTTGCAAGGTTTCTTTGTCCACAACCAAGGTTCCATCAACACATTATGGCAGTGAGATCCTGGAGTAGTATTGGAATCCTTACATATCAGCCACTGTTATACAGGGGTACTCCTGCCTGACTCGCATCCATTGCCTACAGGAAAATCAAAATTACCTTATCACTTACAACAAAAACAAAACACTTCTGTCTGATTTCAAATTATAATGGAATGATGTTCTGGGGCTGAACAAATACTGCTGCTTGCCACCCAAGGGTAAGTGCTTTTATGGTAGGACAAGGTCTTCACAAATCTATTTGTCAGCCCTTGGTATTCATTTCATAACAAGAGGCCCAGGGGCCACAGCGCTCACCTGAGCACATCGGGCTTGAATTTACCCCCCCCCTCCAGGTGTTCATCATTTGAACAAACGAGAATCTACACTACCTGAGGATGATTCCATATAAAAATCACTAATCAATTCTTTGAAGTACTTGAAAAGAAGATTTTAAAAGGTTTCCCTATATATCCCTATGTAAAACTTGGGTCGGCCATTTTGGCCCCATCCTAGCCCCGGGGGGCATCTTTTTAACAAACTTGAATCTGCACTACCTGAGGATGATTCCACATGGGTTTCATCTTTCCTGGCCCAGTGGTTCTTGAGAAGGATTTTTTAAAGATTTTTCTTATATATTCCTATGTAAAAGTTGGGTCGGCCATTCTGGCCCCACCCTTGCCCCGGGGATCATGATTTGAACAAACTTGAATCTACACTACCTGAGGATGATTCCAAATGAGTTTCATCTTTCCCGTCCTAGTGGTTCTTGAGAAGAAGATTTTTAAAGATTTTTCCTATACATTCCTATGTAAAACTAGGGTTGGCCATTTTGGCCCCACCTTTTCCCGGGGATCATGATTTGAACAAACTTGAATCTACACTACCTGAGGATGCTTCCACATGAGTTTCATCTTTCCTGGCCTAGTGGTTCTGGAGAAGAAGATTTTTTAAACATTTTTTCCTATATATTCCTATGTAAAAGTTGGGTCGGCCATTTTGGCCCCACCCTTGCCCCGGGGGTCATGATTTGAACAAATTTGAATCTACACTACCTGAGGATAATGCCACATGAGTTTCATTTTTCCTGGCCCAGTGGTTCTGGAGAAGAAGATTTTTAAGAGATTTTTCCTTTATATTCCTATGTAAAAGTTGGGTCGGCCATTTTGGCCCCACCCTTGCCCTGGGGTCATGATTTGAACAAAATTGAATCTGCACTACCTGAGGATGATTCCACATGAGTTCCATCTTTCCTGGCCCAGTGGTTTTGGAGAAGAAGATTTTTTAAACATTTTTTCCTATATATTCCTATGTAAAACTTGGGTCGGCCATTTTGTCCCCAACCTTGCCCCGGGGGTCATGATTTGAACAAACTTGAATCTACACTACCTGAGGATGCTTCCACATGAGTTTCATCTTTCCTGGCCCAGTGGTTCTGGAGAAGAAAATTTTTAAATATTTTTCCTATATATTCCTATGTAAAACTTGGGTCGGCCATTTTGGCCCCACCCTTGCCCAGGGGGTCATGATTTGAAAAAACTTGAATCTACACTACCTGAGGATGCTTTCACATGAGTTTCATTTTTCCTGACCCAGCGGTTCTGGAGAAGAAGATTTTATTAAAATGCCATTAAATTTTTAACAAATTCATGATTATCTCCCCTTGGAAAAGGGCGTGGCCCTTCATTTGAACAAACTTGAATCCCCTTCACCCAAGGAAACTTTGTACCAAGTTTGGTTGAAACTATAGTTCTTGAGAAGAAGATGAAAATGTGAAAAGTTTACGACGACAACAACGACAACGACGACAGACAACGGACAAATTTTGATCAGAAAAGCTCAATTGAGCCTTCGGCTCAGGTGAGCTAAAAAGTCCAAAGAATTAATTGCTAAATATATCCAGCTTAATTCAGTAAATGAGTGACTTTATACATGCAAATTGTATTTTTACCATGTTGTATTCCAATGGGAATTAATTATTTTACAAAACAGTTCTATTAAAAACCATATATCAAATCAGGTCTGACAGCAAACTTCTTCATAATTTCAAATCATAACTTTTTAAAAGAAATCATTTCTAGCAAGGATGATTCAGGATAAATACATACAATGTATATCTACAAGTTTTTACCTAATCGTTCTGCAGGCCCCCATATCCTAACCGTGCCATCATCTGAGGCACTGGCCAACATGCCTGGTAGCTTGGGATTCCAGTGAACACAGTTAACGGTCCTAGAATGGCCCTCCAGGACGGCAATTGGCTCCTCTTTTCTTAGATGCCATACATAAACTTTGTGATCTGAAAATATTTAAAATGTACATTAACTTATATATTAACTTAAAGTTGATTTCCTTTTACACATCCTCAATTTTAATATACAGTGGACCCTCATTTATCCGGATGCTTTGGTTCCTAGTCAATTTGTTCGGATATGTGAATCATCCGGATATCTGATTTACCAGTTAAACAAGACAAAATAACTTTTAAAAAATTTGTTCCGATGAAAAATCGTCGGATACTGAAGCATCCGGATATCTGGTGTCCGGATATCTGAAGGTCCACTGTATATTTTACAGTACTGTATGATATGTCACTAGTTCTCCTTAAAAGATGGACATCTATTAAAGACTTCAGAAAACAAATAAACCCATATGTTGGTCCACTTTAACATTTCTTTCTTGTTCTGTTAATGAATTTTACTTCTTGGAACTGACAAAGTGAAGTTCCACTGTCTATATAAAGGCCATTGGTTTGAATCCTACCTAAAATGCTAATATTCTCAACCTTATTTTCATACCAAGTCATGAAGTTAATGAAATATGAACTTTACTGCATTTCATGAACTAGTATCTAATACACAATTCATTTTCTCCAATAAGTTTATTAGTACTAACCTTCACTTCCACTGGCAATGAAGTCTTGATTTAGTCCTCCAAAACATGAATGTATTGTGTAAAATCCCTGTGTAACCCCTTGAAATTTCCTTACTAAGCACCTATCATGCAAGTCCCATAAATGAATTCCCTGAAATAATGGTGCAGACAATTAAGGGTATTGTAAGATTTTGAAACAAAGGGACACTCTACCCTTTCAATTTCAGTTATGACCCTAAAAATTGAAACAATTCATAATTTGATCATTAAAAAAGATAGCTTTTAACTGATTGAATATCTCACAGTGCAAGTGACTAAACTATATAGTCTACCCTCATGAACATTAAAATTTTTAATCCATATATCTAAATCACACCAAGAGGAAAACTTATTAATAGTTGTGTTGTTGGATCAATGCAAGATGCAAGTACATTTGAATAGCTTCAAAAAGTCAAAAACCTTTTCATGTACATACCTGAGTAGCTACATTGAGTAATATTAATCTTCCTGTATCATTTAATGTGAAAGACATGACTGGATGATCTTCTTGTATTCTGAAAAAAAAAAATCAAGGAAATTACAACATCCTTCAAAAATCTAAGTAAATATAAACATTTCTTAGAGTAAAAGAAAGTTTACTTGTATTATGTTTTGAAAGATATAGTGTCTTTATATTCTTGTGTTATAATGAGAATTGAAGTAAGAGGTAATTCTTCATATTTGATCATGAATTCAAAACTTCTAACACCGTCTTACACATTGAAGTCTGCAAGTTCGTCAAAGTTATATCCCCTGACGCGATGATGGGTGTCGGCAGCGAGGACTGTTTTCCCGTCATTCTGGCAGGCTATACATTGTACACGCACACCTTCCCAGGAATCCAACACATTGCCGTCAAGATCCTGTAACAAACAGAATTATATGTATGTCAACTTTTGTTGCTCATAAACAACAATTTTTACAAAATTTTTTAAATGAATTTGTTTTTATTCATTTACATGTAATTGTTAAATAGTATTTTTGGAAATTGTTTTGTTTTTATGCAAGTGAAAGTTGTAATGTTTGAAATCAACATAAAACCAGTTAATGTGAAAATTTTTTAAAAAGTAACTTTCAAACAGATTACCATATTTGGCCGAGTATAATACGCATTGATGTAAAATACGCACCCCCCATTTTTAAGTCTGAAACTGGGGAAAGTTCGGATGTATTATACGCAACAGAAAAATTTACCAAGCGATGTTCTGAACTTTGAAAATTGCGGTAATTTGTTACGAAAATCGGCGCGAGGATTAAGTGTCAAAAATTTACTGAACACACCTTTTTCAAAATACACACTTTATAACTTTCTCTTAATCCTGACATTCAATATCGCGGCAATCTGGAGAAAATTATTTATTCATTTATTTCAACAAAGCACAAGATAATGTTGCGTAAAAGTATTAAAAGAATTTTATTTTAAGCATAGTTACGGTGATTTTGAAATTATGCGTCGCCATATTCTTAGATGAAATAATTTTATTTCAACAAGCATGAGATATTGTTAAAAGTTTTAACAGTTGTAATATTTAATTTTGATTCTAGGTAATCATGCTGAAAATTATGTTACAATACTTTAATAGGACACGGAATTGAAACATCATAGTATTTATTTACTTAAGAAGACTACGATTTTCCTCTTCTGAATCTTCGCGGACATCTTATTTTCTAAAGAGCACAAATAAATGATAACACTGAAGTTTTAGCTTAATTCATATTTCATTTGTCAACTCTCAATCATTTAAACAAGAGGCCGATAAGTATAAGATAAGGTAAAATTACACTTAACAAGTGTTCCTTTAATTGTTTAATGTGTCCTAATCAACACGTGCTCACAAATACGAAAGGTCATAAACCGACACCAAATTTTTAACAAAGAAAATAATCAAAGCAATTAACATGGCAGTAAATAATCAGTGCTCTAACTGTAAAAACATTGCTTTGGAGTCGGTAGACAATTAATTGCCCGGAGGGGTGTTGATAGGTAATTATCATTTGACCAGCGCAAGTGTGTCACAACATTGGCTTCCTTTCATTGAGTCGTATGGAGGGGTGTTTATGTTGCAGCAGATTTTCATTGAGTTATTTAAAACCTAAAATAAATTTTTATTTTATTGTATTTCATTAAAAAATGACTTATTACTTTGTCTGGCAGATAAGGTGCATATGCACTACCATTACGAAAGCACGTCGCATAGGCATGAGTGAACGTCTAAAAATAACATCGGTAATGGCGGCCTACTTGGAGACAATCAACATGCAGCTCAAATTACTTTTAACTTGCTTTTTTATGTTATTTAAGTATCAAAAGATTATGAAAGTGACATTTTTAACAAGCATACCTTCCAACAATAACTTTCCAAAGTTTAAAATATGGCGATAAACAAAAGAAATTGCATATGTCTCAAGGTAATACAGTGAAACTTCTCCAAACTGGCCCCCCCTGGAAACCGGTTCTCCCTGAACATCGGCCAAATTTATAAGTCCCGGCAAAATTCTTAACATTTCTTTACACATAAACTCTCATAAAACCGGCCACCCCTGAAAACCGGACACCGGCCACTTTTCCAAGAACAAAAGTTAAGAAACATGGGAAATTTCCCCTCATCATACCGGCCACTTTTTTATTGCACGAAATTAACTGTCATTGGCCGGATGGGTAATAATGACCGGCCGGAGGTGTGAAAAATAGCCTACCCACTAGAAGTCAGAGGTGTGAAAACTGAATATGGCCTCATAGGGTTTTTCTATTGTTCAACCGTCTTGAAAGGGTAGTCATCATGCCAGACTATGTAAATGGCCGGTCTAAGTTGTGTACATAATTATTATTAAAAAAAAAATTAAACTTGAATTAATAAAATATCAAGCAACTAATAAATTTAAATCACAGAATGAATCAACAAATTATCGCACGCCATATTGCATCATCTTTTTAAATACACATAAGCGGCCTTAAAATTGGATGCAGTTACATAATGCTAAGGTAAAAAAAATACTAGTGAAATGTTTACCAAAATATACATTTTTTAATTAAATTATCAGAAGAATTGCTCAGAAATGTTTTAATTATTTACTTTTCACTGAAGTACAAATTTTTTTAATGACGTAAGCGATACACAGATACATGCAGTATACTGTATAGAGTTCAGTTAAGGTAAAGGGTCTGGTTTATTTCTTCGCTTATGGTTAATAAAGTAACTTTCTGTTTTTTTCTGTTTTATTTTTTAATTTCTTTTTATAAAAATCAACATGTATGACGAATTTATCCTCACTAATAATAATTTATTTTTTAGACCTTAAGAATACATTACGTGTCTGCCGATAATTAATAACATGTTGACAGATAATTATAACAGACACCAATTATATATTTTTTCTAGCATCTGTCACATATTAGTTCTGCAATTCTTCAGTATGTTAGATTCTCGGGAAACCGGCCACCCCTCTGGTCCGGCCATTTTATTCAGTCCAGCAGCTGGCCGCTTTAGAGAAGTTTTACTGTACTACGGTATGTACGTATGATAGTCGTGTTTCACATGAAAGAAAATCTTATCAAAATCCCATTGTGATGTAAAATACACATCCCTTTCTCAAAGAAATTTATTCTAGGAAAAAAGTGCGTATTATATTCCCCCAAATACGGTAATAGTTGTTAGCATGGAATATTATGCAACATTATGCACACAGATAATACTTACACACTGATAAAATTGGCCCCTAATTCCCCCCGTTACAAATTTTTTACTGTCTATATGCCAGGATGCTGTAGTTAGACTATCCTCAGGAGACTGGCTCATCTTGACTCTCAGATCACCAGTCTACAACACAGGAACAAGGATTAAAGAACATAGAGTTAAGCTGATAATTAATCTCCATCTGTTAATTTATCTTCTTCCAATGCAACAATTTTTCCAAGTTTTATGGTTGGAAATAGTTTAACCACATTTGATACATATATAAAAGAGTAAGTATTTAAAATCTAAAGTTTAAAAGACACACATGTACAATCACATTTGCAAAATTTTGTACCTCCACATTCCACAACCAGAGATCAGAACAATCGTCTGGACCACAGGCAATAATATGTGTGCCATCTGGGCTCCAGGCAATATAAGACACTCCATAGGCATGGTTCTCAAAAGTCTTCTTGCTTCTCAGCTCATAGGTGGACTGAAATGTATGTTAGTACAAGAATTCAAAATGTTTTCCCTTCAAGATATGATGTAATTTTAAACTGAATTTTTTAACCTTTGGTATAAAAGCACTTCTCTACAAAAGGAGAAAAAATTGCTTCATACCATATTCAGAGCTTCACCTTCAAAGTATTCAGTATAGCAGGAGTGTATAAAATCAAAGAGATTGGATCATATGATGTCACTCAGTATGTATGACTTACGAAATCAATCTCCCATATGATGAGAGAGCCGTCTTTTGAGCCAGTGGCCAGTTTGGTACCGTCCGGTGAGAACCGACAGAACCAAACTTCATCACAGTGGTCATTTAGAGTCTGTAGAGTGATGGAAGGAAACTGCTCTCTGAAAAATGAAGTTATCAAGTGATATTTAAATGTTTAATTAATCAAGATCATCTGTTGCGGAGGTATCATCTTACCAATGGGAATTCATGCTTGAAAAGACAAAAAATATTGTTTCTCTGCTCATCATGTACCAGTACACTGAACATATATATATGTATGTCTTGAAATCTACATACAGTACATCTCAATTTTTGATACAGAAGTTGAGGATAAAAAGAATGTAAAATCATCCTCATCATATTAAAATCAATTTCATCAATATTTCCATAAATAATTTTACAAAATGCCAACAAACCTGCTACAGAGGTGGTCTATGAGAAGAGACACGGCCTCCAGATTGCTGTCAGACTTTGTGTTGTGGTACGGACATCTCTCCTTCTGTTGTTCTACTGCCTGATTCAGGAGGGTGACGAGTCGGCGGGGCGGCAACATCACAGAGGGGGGCAGGAAGGCTGAAACATTACATAAAGACATAAATAACAGAGAAAACATCACAGAGGGGGGCAGGAAGGATGCAACATTACAAGAGACTTAAATAACAGAGGGGGCAGGAAGGCTGCAATATTTTATAAAGAATCAAATAACAGAGGCAACATCACAGAGATGGAGGAAGGCTACAACATTACATAACAAAGCTTTACATTACGATTATATGTATGAATTTAAATCTGAATTACGCAGATCAAAATATACAGATGATGATTTTAATTTTGCAACAATACATTAATTTACGGTAATCTAAGCAGGAATGGTAATTTGAAGTTAATGATGAATTTAATTAAGACAAAGATATACTTACTCTGTAGTTTCTCTATCAGTTTGCTACGAGATTCTACACCCTTGCCATCCCACTCTGCTGTTTCACGTAAATCTTCAGCATTACAGCACATCATGAACCTGGTCAAATATCAAATAACTCAAAGTTTCACAAATATAAGAAGACATGTCTACATGTATAATATTCAAGATCTCTCACAAATGAATGTTTGTCCCATTAGTACTAACATCGTTGCATTTACAATCATGTAAGATGTTTCTCTGTATGCTCAGTTCCTATACTTATACATGTATAAACAATGAAGACATATTTTAACGTACGTGCTCAGCTGGTGTACTCGCTCTGTGTTAAACTTGAGAGGAGTCAGTTCATATCGCAGACAATGCAAAGCGTCAATTTCCCTCCCACTCTCCAGCAGTTCTAAATACTTCTGCTCCAGGATCAGAAACTGCATTTTCTGTAAGAAATTAGAACAAAGAATATCTGATTAAGTTTAATATAGGTTACAAGTTTTTAAATCCTAACAATGCTGAAGCAATACAATACATTAATGTACACTTCTTGGAATCAAGCATAATGGCAATATGTGCATTCTCAGATACAATGAAATTGCATATCATTAATTAAGAGACTTTAATTTGGGGGAAACAGTAAATTTACTTATCTAAACTATATGCCTAATGAAAATCCATCTATATTTATGTGTATTTATACATAAAAATAATAAATATATGATTTACCAAGGTTCCGTGTGAACTTTCTATTAAACCTTTCAACTCCTCCAAGTCCTGTTCGGCCTAGAAAAGAATTAAAATTTATTTTACGTATTCCTTTCTCTAGAAATGTGTTTTACACAATGATCAGCATCTTGCTCTACTATATCATTAGCCAGGTGCCTCACTGCATTATACAAATTCACCATTTTCTTTCATTGCCTCATTTTTTTTTTTTTTTTACGTAGTTTATTTGGTCATAGAAGGGGTTATTACAATGTAATTTTTGTTGAATATGTTGTAATAATCTGAGTATATATAGATTAAAACCTCCCTGCATATATACCAAGATTCAACTGAAGGAATTTTTAAGGTCAATGCATATATACAAGGCTGGAGCCCCTCTGTAGCTGGCTTGTTCAAAATGCTCATTGCAGAACAGTAGAAAGATCTCTTTTGTGCAATGTTCAATAAAGATATCTTTCACAGTGTTTCAGCTGGAGAGTTAAGAGGAAGAGGAAGAAGGAAACAGCTATGGTAGCACATTACAGATGTTTAATTCTATAAATTTCTCCTGTTACCTTTGCCCATTCTCCCTCCATGACATGAGACCTTAGTTTGGCTGCAGCGGGGTGCTCCAGCATACATCCGGATTCAGAAATCAGCTGCTCAGCTGTCTGACTGTGTAAAAAATAAATGTAAAATATCAGTACTCTATCCTAACGTGAAATGGGGGAGAAAAAGATTTAATGATACAGTGTATATGATGACATATTTTATTAAATTATCCATTTAATTTCTTTTATAAAAGAAATTGGGCTTTTAGATACTTAAACTTTCTCAGAAGGAAATACTATCCAAAGACTCTAAATTAGTAAAATACATCTTTTTTTCATACATTACAACCCAACAGTTATATTGCTACATATATCATTTATTTCAAAATAACATGTTTATGTGTTACAGTACTAAGAATTTAATGTTAACACTGGAATACAAATATGATGGGTCATGATATTGTTTTTGGTAACTATCTATAAAGTTTAAGTTTGTGTCTGAGAGACAAAAAATCAATATAATATATATCTCTCCAATATGCCATGATGTTTCAGAAAAAAAACCATTTAAAGTCTATGACCCAAAATTACAAAATGATCACAAACTTGAGAGACAATATAAATGCTCTCTAACTGAATGCAAGCATATATCTCAACACAGTTACTTTAAAGTGATAGTCAAGTGCAACCACTAATAATTATTATTAGTACATGATCATGCAACTGCATAACAACTGACAGTTTGGATACAGACATGTTTAATAAAATGGGCCCCTGACAAATGTATGGCTCGACAAAATAAAATTTTGCATTAATAATTTCATTTCCCCTCATGCATTCTGATTTCAAGTACAGCATATTTGGTCACAATGAAGAGATATGAATGTCCTTTATATAAGCACATTTATTTCCAGTTTTCAAATACTCACTGTTGTTTATGATAAATTTGTCTTAAAATACAAAAATTCATAGACTATAATAGTAAGGGAAAATGATTTATTTAAAAATAAAATATATTTCAAAAGATTTATTATCTTTTATGTTCAGGGGAGATAATGAAGTGCTATGCATTTCCTCTAACCAACAAAGGAAGTTCTAAAATAGATATATTCTTATAAATAAATCTATTTCTCTTCAAATCCTAACTTTATGTAAATGTAAACAAAAAGGACTTCAAATGATCTTGTTTTGACATACCTTTAAAAGAAAAAACCACTGTGTTACACATTTGTCACCATGACATGTGGCAAATTGATAAAGAGGTTTCTTTGTTTACATTTAGTGTCAAAATAATGTTGATATCCTATGAAAATTTACTGATGTAACTTCAATAAAAGATACGAAATTTTTATTTAAAAATCAGTCCAATTTCCACTTTTCTTTCTTCTAAGCACAGCAGAAAGCGCCATCAATCAATATCAGCTGATTTGACACATTCACCCCATGGGAGCCCCAGGATGTAATTACAAGTTAAAATATTGCGTAATACTGACCATATCCATGGAATACATGTAAGACATAGTCAGATCATCTGATTAAAATAACTGTTTCATGATTATTAAAATAGAAACATTCTTATTTTTTATTCAAACGAATCAAAACAATCGCTTTGTTTTGATTCGGAGACTCTTACTTCAGACCCAGTCCTCTCAAATGCTGGACGATCAACCGCACAATATCTTGGTCAGTTTGTGACATGGGCTTTCGTGGAGAGGATTTGGTATGAAAATCGCCATTTGCAAACGAGGGACAAGAGCCATTTTGTTGAGACGACGTCGCAATGCTCGACTCTCCATTGTGTTGGGGACAGCCATTCGATTGCATGATAGAGGCCAAGACTCGCTGCTTTTTACGCGGTGGGGGCGAAGTTCCACCGTCTTCTGATTCTGACGACGATGCCAGTATTGCTCAGCTTCGCTTTATAGGGAAAACTGTCCAGTAAAGTCATCCGTTTGGTCCTTGGCGAGCGAAATCCGACAAGTGGTATCCTCTCTCTCTCTGACTGCAGTTACCAAATTTGTTTTGCTAGATGACGTCACAGGATGAGAATTGTGGGAGATTTTAGCCAAATACACGAAGTTATATTGCGGGAAAATTAAAGACCGGGAAAAACGTGAAATTTATTATTGTTCAAATAAAAACTTATTAACTCGGTCGCTTATTGCATTTCAATTAATATATACAAATAAAAACCAGTCAAAAAAAAATTCCCAGAAATTAAGCAAAAAAAAAAAACTCGCCCAAACGTCAAAAACCTTATTGCATTTCAATTAATATATATACTCGTACTACTCAGTATTTTACCACGATATGTTAGGCCTATATTGAAATGCATTTTAAAAAAGTCATGGAGGTATATATTTGGCAATTGCATCATCAATTTATCAGCTTTTATAATATGGTGTGTCTCTTTTTGTGTAAGGGCTGGGTTGCTAAAAGGAGGGGAGAGCACACTTTTTTTTATTAAGTGCAAGTCAATCTAAAACAAAGGGGAAAACTTTCTTTAAAAAGGGCTATATAGAAGAGTTCAAATTAAAGTTGGACGATGCTGAGCAATACTGGCATTTTCCTTAGTAAAAGTTCTACAATGCGTTCATAGCTGCAGAACTGTAGCATTTTGGTTTTATATATTATTTTGTCTTTGATCATAACACTGCAGTCTCCATAATGCAAAAAATGTGCAGTTTATGGCACAAGATTTTTTGTGCACTGTTTGGAAGAACTACCCTTTTCAATATTGGCAAATCATTTGCCTTTCACCCCCTAATTCCAGGCACATTCTTAAACCAATTGATGTCTTTTTTGCCTTTAACAACTGGGTTGTTAATAAAAGGAGGGGAGGGCACACTTTTTTTCATATAGTCATCTAAAACAGGTGATAAACTAGCTGGCTTGATTTAAATTGTCTGATTGAGGTATCACAGAAAATTCTAATTCAAGCTGGTTTATTGCTTGTAGAGACGACTGTAAAGGGTTGGGAGGTGGATAAAATATGCAGATTTATTTTTAAAAATGTGTCTAGAATTATGGAGGAAAAGGTATATGATTTACCAATGTTGGAAAGGGAAGAAATCCTTTTTCATACTCCAACTGAACAAGCAACATCAAAAAATCATTTGGATGAACAATACATGTATATGTAGCAAGGTTTTGACTAAAACTAACAAGTTATGAATTTTGCTGTTAGGAATCAGCCACTTATAAGATATCATACAGTACATATTAGTAATAATTTTTTTGTGCATCAATTTTTTCCCTAATGTAGACATAATTTTCTAAGACATGGCTCAAACAACAACTTAGATAATCAAGAGGCCCACAGGCACCTTCGCTTACCTTTACCCAAGGATGCTTTGTACCAAGTTTGGTAAAAATTGGCCCAGTGGTTCTCGAGAAGCAGTCAGATTAAAATCAAATTTTCATTACCGTGGTAGCTCTTTTTTTAAATTTTGATTCAAGCAACAATTAAAATAAAACAGAGTTAGTGAAGGTTTGATTTAAATAAAACTGCCTAAGAAGAAGTTGAAAATGTGAAAATTTACAGACAGACTGACAATGGACAAACAGTCATCAGAAAAATGAAATGTCACAACACTGGAAAAACAACTCTTGACAAATCTTTCAACAGCACCATACTGAATTTAATACAAATTTAAAAAGAAGCAATCATGAAACAAAATTTGGAAATTGCAAGACATATTCATAAAGTTGCAATCTTCAGCAAAAGAAATGATGTATTAAGTTCATATTACAATGTAAATGCTAATGTAAATTCAATGCGATCAGACAGATAAAATTTCAAATGGTTACATACATTATTCACAATGAAGATTAATGAAAAATGTGAGCAGCACTTATAACACATGCAAAATATTTAACAGATAACCACAGGGAAAGAAGAGACGATACAGAGAATCCTGTGTAATGGGAATGCAATGGGACACGGATTTTATGTCAGAATAAACAGATTGAACAGTGTAAAGAGCATGCAAAATGTATGGGAATGGGGAAACAAGTGTGAATTAATAGCGAAACTAGAGGTACTGTGAGCAATGAGCTCACTAAATGATACCCCCCGCCTCCCTAATGTCGATGTGTTGCTATATATTGTTTTGCGGTAATGTGTAAAGAGGAATATAAAGTCGTCCTATGAAATGCATGTTATCCAGAAGCTTCTATAGTGGCGTCAAAGGTAAACATATAATGGCAATGTCCATGTTTTGCTATGGGAAACCAAGTATACGTGTCGAATAAAAAAGTATAATAGGAGGTTGCACAATGGCAATATGTAATAAAGATTCTGTGAAAGTTTCATTAAATTTCACTCAGTAGTATAAGAGGAGTGTGCGGATAAGAAATAAAGAGTAACAGACGGACGGACAAATGGACGGACGGAAAGAATTTACTATATACCCTCCCACTTTTCAAGCGGGGGGGGGGGGGGGGGGGTCATAATGAACTCTACAATGTTAGAGACAGTTTTGACTGTATACTATATATACACAAATGTTTAAGGAAATGTTCACGCCCTATTACCCTGGTCAAAAGGAACACATTTTTCTAATACAAGACAATTTCTAAATCTCAACATGAGGCCCATGGGCCACATCACTCACCTGAGAAGCTTTGACCATGTTGTTCTTTACCAGATTTCCCCCTTGTAAAACCTATTGTGACCCCACCCTACCCCACGGGTCATAATTTGGACAATTTAAAATCTACACTATGGATGCTTCCACATAAGTTTCAGCTTTCTGGCTCAGTGGTTCTTGAGAAGAAGATTTTCAAAGATTTTTTGCTATATATTTCTTAATATAAAACTTTGATTCCCCATTGTGGCCCCGCCCTTCCCTCGGGGGTCATTATTTGAACAATTTATAATCTAGACTAACCAAGGATGCCTTCCTTATAAGTTTCAGCTTTTCTGGCAAAGTGGTTCTTGAGAAGAAGATTTTTAAAGATTTTTCCTATGTATTTCTAAACAAAACATTGATTCCCTATTGTGGCCCCACCTTACCCCCAGGGGGTCATCATTTTAACAATTTAAAATATAGACTACCCCAAGATGCTTTCCAATAAGTTTCAGCTTTTCTGGCCCAGTGGTTTTTGAGAAGAAGATTTTCGAAGATTTTTCCTATACATTTCTATGTAAAACTTTGATTCCCTAATGTAGCCCCGCCCTACTCCCAGGGGTCATGATTTGAACAATCTAGAATCTACACTACCCCAAGATGCTTCCACATAAGTTTCAGCCTTTCTGGCCCAGTGGTTCTTGAGAAGAAGATTTTCAAAGATTTTCCCCATATATTTCTATGTAAAACTTATTGATTCCCTATTGTGGCCCTGCCCAACCCTGGGGGTTATGATTTGGACAATTTAAAATCTACACTACCCCAGGATGCTTGCAAACAAGTTTCAGCTTTTCTGGCCCAGTGGTTCTTGAGAAGAAGATTTTTCTTACTTATTTCTATGTAAAACTTGGATTCTCTATTGTGGCCCCCCATACCCCCATGGGTCATGATTTGAACAATTTAGAATCTACACTAACACTACCCCAAGATGCTTCCACATAAGTTTCAGCCTCTCTGGCCCAGTGGTTCTTAAGAAGAAGAATTTCAAAGATTTTTCCTATATATTTTTATGTAAAAATTTGATTTCCTATTGTGGCCCCACCTTACCCCCAGGGGTCATCATTTTAACAATTTAAAATCTAGACTACCCCAAGATGCTTTCACATAAGTTTCAGCCTTTCTGGCCCAGTGGTTCTTAAGAAGAAGATTTTTAAAGATTTTTGTAAATATAACTATATAAAACTTTGATTAAATTGTGGCCCCGCCCAACCCCCCGGGGTAAAATTTGAACAATTTAGAATCTACACTATCCCTGGATGCTTCCAAACAATTTCAGCTTTTCTGGCCCAGTGGTTCTAACACAGAAGAAGATTTTTTAATGACCCCACCCTATTTTTGTCTTTTCTTGATTATCTCCCCTTGTGTGGGGAATTGGCCTCTCATTTTAACAATTTAAATTCCCCCTTACCCAAGGATGCTTTGTACAGAGATTGGTCAAAATTGGCCCAGTGGTTCTTGAGAAGAAGTTGAAAATGTGAAAAGTTTACAGACATTACCCGGACAAAATGGAACACAAAAGCTCACTACAAGACAATTTCTAAATCTGGTGAGTTAAAAATGTTCTAAAGCTTTTCTACATATATAAGCTTATTTTGGACTAAAAATTTAGTTTCTTAAAGAAATACTGTAAAATTACATATTTTTGTGGGGTCAAATTTTCGAGGTTTGAATAAAAAACATTGGTTTGTGATGATTTGAATTTGTGGTTGGAAAATGTTTAGTAGTAATGTCTATGGAATTTACATTTTTGTGGTGGTCATAAATTTGTGAGTCTCTCCATACCTCGAAAACAATGAAAATTAAACCACCACAAAAATTAGTGATTTCACAGTATACTGTTGCTCTCATAGTGTTTCTACTGAGCAGAAAAAATTCATACCCTACATATACATCCATAAAAATAATCAATTTTCAATGAAAAATTAAGAGTATACTTATGTATACTACAGAGAAGTAACATAAAAGTACATGTATTACAAATGGTTTACTTGTAAACTGCAAACATTTAAAAAAGACTTAGTAAAGCAGTAGGAAAAAACAAGTGATCAATAGGTCATATAGCTCACCTAATGCCAAACTATTTGTCCAGAGTACCTAGGATACATGAATTAAACATCTTCAAAATAATTTAAAAATTTAACTCCAGTTACAACCTTTTAGAAAACAATTATACAGGGATGCAAGTCAAGAATATCTTATTCATTTGTTTTTAAATTCTAATTCTCTTAATCACTGGAGTAATACAGTGACTGGTCATGTAGGCATGTTCAATTATTGTCTCCTTAAACAATGTTTTTTTCATAAAAAAGATACATTTACTATGGCGTTAGATATGATAAAGCTTTGGCACTGTCAACCAGTCAAAAAATTAGGAGACTGAATAAATTGCATGCAGGGGTGGATCCAGGTACCGAGTAGACATTTTTACATTTTCAAGACTATAAACTATGATTTACGCTAACTTTAAATTGCATGTCCGCCACTGGCATGTACTGGTAGTTTTTAACAATTTGTTGAAATTACAGACATCTTTGACCTGGAAAATTTATCTGAGTCAGGTGAGCTAAAATGTTCAATTCCATTCAAATATTAGTTAAAGGCTAAAAATAACATCTTTTGATACATGTACAGTGTACTTGTATTACTCAGCAAACACATGAAGATATATCACTTCTGTATTCCCAATTGTTCCCATAAAAACCAGCACAGAGAAATCCCCCTGGTCCTTTCAGCTTAAAATCTTTTCCTGTGATGACATAATCTGGCAATAAGTTGGAAAACTGAAATATATGAACATTGCTCATCATGAACTTTTGTATAATTATTTGTATGTACTAACAGTAAAACTATAAAATATTCTGCATTCATATGATCAAATATTGTTTCATGCCATAGAAATTTAAGTTGCTTAATTACGGTGACCCATGTAATAATATCCAAACTGAATTGACATCAAACTCTGCATTATGGGTCACCCCATATACACATAGTTCAGCTGGGTGACTATAATTAAAGGCTTAAAACCTTAAGTTGACTTTCCATTGTTCTGAATAACTTACTGGTGAGCGGGTCATGGGAGGAATGGTGGGTGTAGCTAGGGATACCACGTCCATCAGACCCTCTGCAGAATTCCCCAATATTAACAAAGCTAGCCTGCCCTTCCCATGAGGTGCCAGTGTCAGGAGCCCCATTCTCTTCTCTTGGAATTGACAGCTCTCAAGACCAAAGGATTGTTCTACAATACAAAATTGTCGTACTGTCTAGCTTTGTTAAGAATACTTTCTGGAATCAGGCCATTGAAAAGAAGATATAATACATGTATATGATATATGTAAAAAAAATATAACAAAGAAGCAAGTGATTCACACCATTGTATACGTATTACATTTACATGTTCTAAATACTATACCTTTTACTTTTATAGGTATCTCATCAAGAAAACTGATAGTTAGCAGGTTTTCCTCTTCTGAGCCAAGGATTATTAAGTTTGAGTCCTCTGAAATTAAAAATAATATCAAACTTGTGCTATGTTTATAAACAGTGTTGCTATATGCCAGAGGTTCTCTTGGGCCATAACCAATAATACATGTATATTCATATTAAAGGTACTTGGACACAGATTTGAAGTTATTATTTCCTCTATTTTTTTACAACTTATATATTTAATAGCATTTCACACAAAAATTAATTAAAAATCTTATTTCATATAAAAGATATTAAAATTTCAAATTTTTTGGCGGATTTTGAATGACACATTTTGCACTTTCATGAAAATTTAATCATTTGGTTAATTTTAGGAAAAGTGGCAATCTCGTTGTGTATAAATGAAAAATATTAATACTATAATCTAGAAAATTCAGAGTAGATATGTTCAAAAGCAAAACAAACACACAATATATTGTCAGTCCATGCAGTTGTGGTAAGCAGACTGTGAAAATATGACAAAAATCACCAGGTCTTCTAAATATAAACAATAACAGAACTCGAGCCCTGTTTACAAAAACTGTGTACATAACACGAGTGTGCTCGATTTGCTAAACTCTGTAAGCAACCCTTACTTAGGAATGACGATACTTGTGAGGGAGTTTTGCTTTCTAACATTTGTAATGAATCGGAATAAAACTATTTTTCTGGATAGAAGTTTTAATATTTCTCATTAATACACCACAAGATTGCTACTTTTCCTAAGGATTAAGAATAAGGTTAAAATTTGTGAAAGTGCAAGGATGTGTCAATCAAACCCGCCAAAAAATTTCAAGTTTTAATAACTTTCAAATGAAATAAGATTTCTAATTAATTTTTGTGTGAAATGCTATTAAAATATATGTGTCGTAATATTATAGAAGAAATATTGACTTCAAATCTGTGTCCAAGTACCTTTAAGCAGTTACCAAGTAATCAAATGTGTCACACAATTCACTTTCCAGACAATTCCAGTTTATCTCTGCTCTGACAAAATCACTCATCAGCTACAGCAACTGCCATATCTAAGTTACAGACACACTTACCCAGAGTCCCAGGGTCCACATCAAACACTTACCAACTGTCTCTGGGTCCAGCTCTAACACTTACCCACAGTTCCTGGGTCCAATCAAACACTTACCCAAAGTCCCTGGGTCCACCTCTAACACTTACCTACAGTTCCTGGGTCCACATCTATGTCCTTGATGATCTGGACAGTGGTGTCAGAGGTCAATAAGAATAAATTAGCAATATACACAGCAGCTGATTGAAGTCTAGCTGAGATCTCAGGTAATCCTAGTGTTCCTATTTAACACAGGTAAGACAACTTGGTTATTGCTACAAATATGATTGTTTTTCAACTGAGCAATTACTTGTGCATTGACATTCATATGCATTCTGTTCTTACCTATGACAATGACAAATTTTTGCTCTGCAACTCTTCTAGCTGGTCCATAAGTAGAACTGTTTCTTCCAAGGAGATTCTTTTCATCACAAACTTTCCAGTTTCCTTGAGAAAGTATAAATTAAAAAGTCCAGTTCCCTTGAGAAAATATATATAAATTAAAAATATCAAATCCAAAGCAACAAACTTCTTCCATGGAAAATAAGCTATTAATGGTAATTAATTAAAGATAATATAAAATACATATACATGTAATTTTAAATAATAAGGTACCTTTGATTTGACATAAGGTAACCCTGGAATGTTTTCCTTTCATTAAACCAATTTTATTACCATCCACCTACAACAAAATCAAACAATCAGATAAACTTACAAAATAATAAAATTATTATTTTCATGTCCATAGTTTCATGGAATGATAATTAATAATTATAAGTCCATGAGGTTCTTTTGCTTGAATATATCTCTTCATTCAGAATAATAAAGATTAAATCCTTCTTCTTTATATGACAATTAAGCAACTTTATCCTAGTATGATTTTATTAAATGAAATGAAATATAAAAAAGCACCTACTTTTAACACTTTCTGTTTAAAATTTGTTTTCCTGTTTGGTGGTTCTTGAATGCTAAATCTTGCAACATTGACAGTTTCCAAGTCAAAGAGGTCCTTAGAAATGCTTCCCTGAAATTAAAGGATACTTGATTCAAAAGTTGAACAACTTTGGAACAATTCATGTAAACTCTATTTTTAATCTTTTTAAAAAACCAGCCATTGAGAATAAGTATTTTAATTAAAATTATTTTCTATGCTGATACTCAGTGGTTGCTGCTGATATGCGTTATTTAATCTTAAAGAATATATTCTTTTTTTTTTTTGAGTAAAACATCTTATAAGAACTGCTAAAAATAAATAATAAAGAATTTCTTGTGAATTTGAAACATATTGTGAGAGAATACAGATGTACTTTTTTTCCACAGGGAATTGGAATCTCAACGGAAAATTATGCTGATTTCTTTGATTGTCACTATTTGCCTTACATCTATATTAAGTATGCTTGGACAAATTTCCGTGGAAAATATTGACCACGTACATAGCGTAAATTAATACCACACTGTAAAAAGTACTTCTACAGTAACTAATTACATTTGTACCAGGAGTGGAGACAGATGCGGCAGACCAGACTGGATTTGAACCCGGGTACCCTGAATCTCCAGTCAGGTGCTCTACCATCTGAGCTATCTGGCCACTGGCAAAGGAACACGACTGACCGCCACACATATATAACAAAGTCTGCCTTTTTTTATTGTGTTTAACTGTACCAGTGTAGTTTATTATTTGAACAGAACATTATTTTCTGTGCTGATACAAATAATAGTTGCTTTTTGATGTGTTGATTTTAAATTTTTTATTTGAGAAATGATTTTTCTCTTTTGGTTTATAAAAAGTTTTTTTAGTGGGTATAAAGTACACATACTAGCAAATTTTGCTAATAAAAGAATTGAAGGAAAAAAGGACTATTACAAACTTTCACCAAGTTTTAACAACAAATTATTTGCTAGTTCACTAGTGAGGGACATCGGTTAATTTTCATAATGATAGGGATGTGCACCCCATATACCGGTATATCACCATTTTTTGGCAGGGTTGATAAGACCTAAATACCAGTCTTTAGGTACATAATATAAAGTCCAGATATTATTCAATAATTTGTTCAATCTTTCAAATTACAATTACAGAAACTATAAAAAATGTTGTAAAAAGTGTTGACTTTCTCCAAACATAATTGATTTTATATACATAAAAATTTCTAGAAAGTAAAATCTCTCTCTCCTTTTAAAAATATCTGATATTACTGACACTGTGACTGATATATCGCGATCCGATACCCATCCCTAATAATCGATCATCTGGCATTAGTGAAATTTACCGATTATAATCGGATGCATAGTTTTGTATATAAAAACCACAATTACCTTTAAATTGAATATATAATTTATTGTTTTCTTTGTTGTTTTGCTTATTTCACACTTTCTATATACATGCAAGTAATAACAGAATTCTTAGTTAACAAAGCTAATAATCTGATTTTTTTTACCCGTTGAACATCACGAACAATTTAAGAAGCTAATTAAATATAAAATGCATTTGTTTAAAATGAAAATTGAAGTTCTATTTGTTTCAAATTTATAATACACTGTAGTGTAATTTCATTGGACTTACACTTATACTAGCCTACTGATGACCCGCTTTCTTATTAAGTATAGATTTAACAAGAATTATGTATCTTTATCAAATTTCACAAAGTTTTACCAACAAATTATTTCCAAGAAGTATAAACACCCTTGTATGTATTGTTTCTTATTGTCTTACTTTGTATCCCACCACCAGTGCTCTTTGCCCTTGACCTCCACATAAGTTATGTTGGCCTTTATTTCTTTCATTAGGCGATACATTCTGCGCACAAAAAACGGATGGACTGTTCTGTCATCTGCACCAATTCTTGCCAAAATGGGGATATCCTGCATCAAAATAGAGAATTAAATAATTCTTATAATTCAAACTGAAAGCAAGCAATTACAGTGCATGTCCTACATAAATTTTTTTTAACTAGAAGTCTGACACTGTAACTATTGATTTGCACTCATGGAAGAAGAGAAACGCTACAGCATGGGTTTAACTCCTTTGTTTACAGAATTATGTATCTTAAAGTTTCTTAACTTGTATCAATTTTTTACCAACAAGAGATGTTTGTAAAACACTTATGACCACTTCCCCCAAATAATTGGAATTTTTCTAAGTCCAAGGGACATAACTCTGTCAAAAATGGCTCAATCACAACCAAAACTGACCTTAACCTAGATATTCTTATGATAAATCTGTATACCAAATTTTATTTCAATAAGTGCAACCTCTGCGAAGAAAATGAACGGAAACTGTAAATTATTGAAATATTTCACAGTCCAAGGGTCATAACTCTGTCCAGTAGTACTTTTATCTCACTTACTTTGATGTTGGTGATGTGTCTGTCTACATCATTTTCTGCTATACAAGCCTCCAGTATAAACTTTATGGCAGGATCCACATGACTTGCTGAGATGTCATGTCTATAAAATTCAACAATGTCATATCATTCAATAAGAAATTAATTGACACTTTAAGGAAGATTATCCTCTTTTCATTAATTTTTTTTTGTAATCAAGACAATACTTTTTTGCACAAAAGACACAAAGTTACCGGGTAGATTAAGTAAAATTCACAATACCATGCAGTCTATAAATTCTGAAAGTAATTATAGTAAAGATGAAAATTCTATGAAAAAATTAGTATTTTTCATATTAACAATGAAATCTTTCATTGGATACCTAAAGAAAAGATTGCTGTCTCCATACTCTTCCTTCTTTATCCAGCCTGCCAGGGTGACCAGTCCAAGGCTGCGGTCAGGGTAATGAGTAGCCAGGTGCCAGGCTCCGTGTCCACCCATAGAGTGACCTGAGACAAAAAAGTTATGTATTACATGTACTTAGGCTAGATATTGCACAAATATTATCAAAGCAGGGGTCATATGCACTCACCAAAAAAAAATGACTTACCAGCATAGACAACTCTATTTGGGTCAATTTTCTGTGATACCCAGTTCTGTCCCTTCACAAGGTCCTCCAAAGAAGAAAGTGCAGAGAGGGCAGTAAGGGCACCTGGCCCTTCCCAGTTATGTGCTCCATGTCTATAATTAAGGAAAACAATATTGATTTTAACTGAATTTACAAATACAAGTATACAGTTATATATTTCATGAAAGCCAAAAAAACCTATTAATTTTCAACTGTATTATAATTTTTGTTGCAATTTCTCTAAATTAGAACATTGATGTCATTTATCTTAAAATATCCCAAATTTATAACTGATTCCAATAATAACATTAATAGTCTTTATTGAGCATCAAAAGATTAAAAGTTACAAAAATCAATCCTACCTGGTTGGAGCCAGCAGCCAAGCTTCGTCAACCCCAAAGATGTATTCCCCATCTTCCATCCTTTTGTAGCTGTCTGCCTGATTTTGGGGAGGGACGGTTGTCCCATGCAGTGTAAGCAAAACAGGACAAAGCTCAGAATCACACTGTTTGATGGGCTCCACAGCAGCGGCTTGCTGTATAGAGCCATCATGGTCCAAAAACGTAAACAGAAATGATTGGCCAGATTTCCTACATCTTAGCTGTAGTGGTAATGAATACACTCCTTCGGAAGTAATGATTTTTAATGTCAAATGAAATTGTTCACAATCTTTTGAGCTGATTTTGTTTTCTGTGTTAAACTTTACTGGAATGTGAGAAGTCTGTCCTGGTGCTAAATTGAAAGGACTCTCCAGAGCCAGTTCAACTTGTGCGCTGCTGATTTTGGACACCTTGACCCACTTGGAATGATGATAATTAGATATTGGAATTGATATATATTTACTAAATAAGTACCCATTTACTATATCGGGTAAGAACTGTGGCTCCAAAACTCTTACTGGGCTTGAATCTACTTGAAATGTGCACTTCTTGTTTGCAGTCACCTTTGTTCTTAAATGTATGTACACGGTATGGACACCCCGGGATAGATGAACACCGAACCAGAACTTTTCTCTGTGATATACATCACTAGCTACAGGTATGTCATCAATATAAACAGTATGTATACCTAAACATTGAATTAGTACATTCTGGTCCCTTTCATTTATATAAAGTTCCCCTAATATCCACCCTTGCCATTCCGTTATTCCTACTGATCCAAGAGAGTTAATCAATTCATTCCATTGAACTGTAGGAGAAATCTGAATTCCATTTTCATGAGAGTTTTGCTTGAAAGTTTTCCATTCTATAAAAGTGTCTTTGACAAGCTCAGAATAAAATCTTTCACCTTTTCTGTACCTGTATTTTGAAACATTCCTTATTCCACCATACGCTTCCAATGGATCTCCGTCCCACTCTATTTTTCCTATTACAAAAGGGCCAATGAAACTCCAGTCATCAATGTATGTGTTTATAGGCCCTTTCAGTTTAGATGCCAACTTAAAGCAAAAGGATGCTTGTGTTGTTTTTGAATCTCTTTCATATAAATCCCCCAATATTGTCCATTTTTTCCAATCTTTTGGATTTTCTAGCATTGCATCAATATAACATGGAAGGACTTTTGTTGCCTACAATTTAAGATAAACCACATTTCAAAAATTATTTTCAAATCTTTACTAAAAAAAATGTTTAACTTTTTCTTTAAAAAAAAAAACAACAAAACAATGCTTTTCTTGTTGACATTTTAAAATCAAGAGATGGACTCAAATATACTATGAATTGTATATTAATTTTCATAAGGAGAAGCTCTTAAATAGCTATAAATATGATCTTACTAAGGCTCTTGTTCAAATGTGCCAAAGAAATCATGCATGTTCAAATATTAGTTTCAAATTTTAAGAATTAATGAATTTCGCCCCCAATGAAAATCAAGGATTACTTTGATAAGCAATGAATTTAATGTTAAAGTAAATGACTCTTCAGAATAAACTCAAACCTTGTCTGTAAGACGTTAATTGTCCAAAGTCCTTGATGTAATTTTCTTTAGAGAGCATGTTATTTTCTCTGTTTCAAGTTTTTTCTTCTCCTTTTCAAGAAATTCTCTGCCACTCTGGTGGTAAATACAAAAATATATATAAACATGCTTAAGAATATGTATTTTGCATGTCAACATTATAAACTTGCATGGTAGCGTAAACAAATAGCATATCTGCACAATTATCACACATTAAGATTTTGATCAAAATAATTCGTATGCCAACATAATTATGATGCATTCTTCATGTATTTTTTTTTTTTAAAGAGTTGCTACTTGCATGTTACTCAACACTATTTTGCATTTTGACATATGTTTTTTGCATGTCAACATATTTTACTTTTTATGTTAGAGGGAAGAATTTTGAAATGCATTGTTGAACAGACAAGAGACTTTTTGGGGGGAAACTCACACACGAGGAAATCAAATTTGTTCGATTTTTTTACCTTGTCATTTTTTGCTGCAAGACACAATCCTATGAAGATAATGATGCATGCTGAATAGCTTGCCATGTGTGTTTATCAGTTGTCAACAACCGTTGAATCAACGTGTACTTTCACTATCAAGCAGACGCCTTTTCGGCGTAGCAGATGTTGGATAAGTCGTACTCTTTATAGCTTTTCTAATAATGTGTTGTTTGTTTTATCTTAGAATTGAGAATTATCTAAATGTTTTATGAATCGAAATAAATAATGCATTACTTTTCAAAAATTCGAATGACAAAATAACTCATAATTTTTTTTTATTTCAAAAGAAAGTGATCACGAAATTTTTAAGAACGTCTTTAATATTTATTTTTCCTTGTCTTAGTTTAAGAAACGTTTGAAACAAGGGATTTTGCATGTGAAACATTTTTTAACTAATGACACTGAATATCATACGATCGGCTTCCAAACAAACATCTAAACTTTGGAATATTGGACTTGGACGTGTGTTTGTGTCCAAATCATCCATTATGTCAGGACAGTCCAGGAATTCCTGGATAAAGAAAGGTGATTGTTTACTGCGACATTCAAACGAAGTTGTTTTCTGTCATTTTCATGTCTCTTTTTTCCCTCAATTTGCAAAAATTGCAGACAACACCCATCTTTTTCAGTCTATTCTGCCAAGAATTATTATGAATGTCTAAGTAAAAACGTACTTTTTAATTCAGGGAGGTAAAATATTACTACAGTTGTTTAGAAAAGGATTTATACATGAATTGTGACTTAGATCAGTAATCCTTATCCTGTGTCAAAACAAGAAATTAACTGACAATGATGGTTAACTAAGTCTGTTTCCTTTATTTTATCTTTAAGATGACCCAAAACTTGTGTCTGGGAAGCAAAAAGATATTTTTGAGGACATCCTCGAAGACCGTCGTCACTCCAGTGATGCCAAATGGGCATGGCACGCTCGAGATGTTCCTCTTTATAAAGAAAACAAACCAAGATCACCTGAAGAGATCAAGAAACATGTACTACACAGTGATAGAGTCAAGTATGCCATAGAACAGGCAAGTTTCAATCATCAGAAACATTGTCATACATGTATTTGATTGTCATAGGTGTTTAAGTGCCTGTGATGACAAAGTACCTGTACTGTAAACATATTACATTTGGCTGTGTATTCTTTTTAGCGGCTTTGGCGGAATGCAGCAACCGCTAAATCAAGTACAACGCTAAATGTCTTACACATATACACATAAATAAGAATATGAAGAAATGCACTAAATCAAATCTACGCTAACTTATTCAAAAGTCCATTTCTGCCAAATATTGTACATGCTAAATATAATACATTTACAGTATTTCTTTATTAAATGGTGATCAGGATCACATCCTATGTTGTGATGGCATCAATAAAAAAATTGATTAACTTTACAGAAATTCTGGTTAAATAAATTATGTGAAAATTTTTGTTTTGTGTCTTGAATAGCATTTATTTACTGGGTAAGATTCAAACCTAATACAGTATGATCTGTTGTGACATTTACAGGTATATTCACTTTATTGATTTTAAAGTGAATAAAAATTTTCTGTCACAATTTAACTTTAACATAACTATGAATATACTGTTTTTACAGGTTTGTGAAGAGAGTGGCTTGCCAATGGAAGAGATTCACAAACAGACTCTGGAGATCCTAAACGAAATGGCCCACAACCTCAGCATAAATGCTATTCGGGGTTTTGCAGTGTTTCTGGTCAAAGTTATGAAGGCCCTTTTCAGAAGAATTTATGTCAACGAGGAAGGTGTACAAAAGGTCCTGCCTCTTGATATCTTTAAGATTAATCCTTTAATGTTCACAGGATCATTAATTATGTGAAGAAATGTTACTTATGACTGAACATTGAAAGCATTATTCTCATAAGATATTACTACAGATATGTTTATTTATCATCCTGGTTTGACTCTGTACATATTTATAACAATGTTATTTCCTGTTCTTACTTTATCTTCATCCTTCACAACATAGTTAACAAATAAAGACTTAGCTCTTTGCTAGATTTAGATTTTGTGAACTGCAATACAAACTATAACAATGTGCATGGTGTTTTGCAAATTATACAAATTCTTCCTTTTTTCCAGGTTCACAGCATGATTAAGGAGTACCCAGTGTTAGTGATGCCCACACACAGAAGTTACTTTGATTTTCTGCTGGTCTCATTTGTTTTCTTCGCCTACGAGTTGCCCCTCCCAGTTATTGCTGCTGCCATGGGTATAAAATTTTAATGAAACTGAACATTAACACACACACACACACACGCATTTTAAAAAGGATATGTCTGCTTTTAGATATTTGTTCAAAGAATAGATTAAGTGAGTTACAATGAGAAAATCTATGTTACACATATTATGAATTTTCTGTTGCAATTAGCTTAATAAGAAACCATTTAACTTATATTTCTGGCTCAAATATTGAAAAATGCAGAACACTAAATAGCTGTTGTTTTTTCTTCTATCCAGACTTCAGCAGTATGAAATTCTTTGGTTGGCTGTTGAGGAATTGTGGTGCCTTCTACATTCGGAGGAGCTTTGGAGATGACCAGCTTTACTGGGCTGTGTTCACAGAGTACGTACAAACACAGATCTGTCATGGTGACCATCCTATTGAATTCTACGTGGAGGGAACCCGAAGTCGAACACTCAAATCCTACTCTCCAAAATTTGGTATATTTTCATAACTATCTTTGAACAAGTATTTCCATGTACAAACTGTAGTTCATTGGTTGAATGAAAGCATGAACTATATAGATGTACATTCTTCCTCCATCAAGGTTTATTTTAAGGAGATTGATTTCTAGGTATGTTGTCGGCATCACTTGAGCCCTACTTTAAGGCCCACATCCCAGATATCATGGTGTTTCCTGTCAGTATTAGTTATGACAAGGTTTTGGAGGAGACATTGTATGCCTATGAACTGCTGGGAGTCCCTAAACCTAAAGAATCCACAGGGGTAAGATTGTTATTGTTTAACTAAGTAGAAATGTTGAAGAATATACATGTATTGCAAAAGATTGGTTGACCTTTGTGTTCAGTAGTAATGATATTTTTTCTAATCAATTGATTCCATGTAGCTTTGTTTTTTTTATAAAAATTCCCATTAATATATTTGAACTCCCTTCTTAAAATAAGTTAAAAAATTTGTCTACATAGAGTGATGTATAGATACTGCTTTTTTCATGCAGGCATTATTAAAGGCAAGGAACATTTTGAATGAGGATTTTGGAAATGTTCACATGTACTTTGGAGAACCAATTTCAATAAGGCAGTACACAACAGGAAAGGTGGATAGGAGTGTTCACAGTTTAGCTCCTAGGTATGTAAGAATTTTCTATTTGCTACATCTTTGATAAGTATACAAATAACAAAGAAAAATCACCTACTGAACAGCCTCATTATAATTTTAAACAGTTTTGAGGCAGTTTGTTTGATATGAAAGGATATGAACCCACTGTAATACTCTTGCCTCTTGTTTATTTAGACATTGCCATGCTTTTAATTTTACTTGTATATCAAAACCAGTTTGGTATTAAAGGCTTGCAGAATATGTTCATTAGTATCTGGTTATTTTATTTAATTCTAGATACATAGCTAGTTTGTCTAAAGAAGAAACAAACCTCCTCCAAACCCTTGGATACGATGTTGTCATGAAGCACCTGTCTAACATGGTTATCTCCCCTTGGTCTCTGATTGCTGCTGTATTGGTTCAGAATAAAGAGGGCATTACAGTCAAACAGCTGACTAAAGAAGTGGAGTGGATCAAGAGACAGGCCTTTAATTTAGGGGCAAATATTGACTGGCCAGGTAATTGGGTGTATGTAGGAGGGGGGGGGGGTGTTGCAGAAGTTACAGAATATTGTTCATGAAATATTTCTTTAAAATAAGCTTGTGGTAAATGATTCTGGAGTAAACCAATGAAGTACCATTATTTGCAAAAACAAATACGTTATTGATTGACTGAGGAGTATAATTGCTATTATCCACACAAATAATATTATATGTATAGATCGGATATTAAGTATGTTTTCAAACAACTCTAGATATCTCTACAGAGGTTGTCATTGGATAAAAATGAATATATATTGACATTTGCAGGTAATGAGACAGCTGATGACATCATCAGAAGTGCACTTGATCTTCATAAAAACTTTGTACGAGTGAGCGAAGACGACGTAATAGAACTGGTTTCTGTGGTAGCACCTCACCAGAAGGGGACTCAGGATGAGTTGATGCAGTCCGCGGCTCAGCATCTTGTCCTCACTCTGTACAGGAATCAACTCATGCATGTCTTTGTTAGGATTGCAATGGTCACCATCAGTATTAATGCCTGTCCAAATGACACCCTGTCATTAGGTTAGTAAAGAAGTTTTCTTTTTATATATGCAGGGTTTTCAAAATATTTACATAATGGTAGATTTCTTAAAAATGTGGTTTACTTATCATCCACTGAGAATGGAAAAATATTGCATAAACAATTTACCGGTAAAAAAAATGATTTGTTGAGAATTCTAGATTCTGAGCATGAGCCACATCAGTTTTGAAAATGTTTGCTATTGTAAGACTTGAGTTAAATTACTCAGACAAAAGGTTTTCATTTACATGACTCATACATGTACATAGTAATGTTTGTAATTGTACAGTATAAATGCAGTGAGTCTGGTTCAAATAACCAGTAAAACACTCATTTGTACTACTACAAATATAAGTTACACTGTTTTTATTTCAGAGGAACTTTTTACCAAATACTCCTTCTTAGAGCAGCTCCTGAATAGAGATTTTATTTTTAGACCTGGTAGTACTAAACAGGTAGGTTTTCATTTGTAGTCATTTGGGAATTCTATAATGACAAAAATTTTTTTTTGAGTTGCAAAAGTCCAAGCTTATAGTCCCATGTTTTGATTAGGTACAACAGTTCCCAATCAGTTTTCATATTCATTGTTTTGTAGGACTTCGAAAATGCTGTGTTGACCTTGACTCATAATTGCGGCGTCATAATAAAAGATCACCTAGTCCAGATAAAGAGATCCCAGAATAAATACACCACTTTTTTCAGTCAGATGTTTGAGCCATTTCTTCTTGGATACTGGGTAAGTGCTGACTGATTAATATTTACACATTGCAACAAGGAAAAAAATATCTGAATGAAAATCAGGTGCATTTACAACATGCACCATTATATGAGAATTAAATTGTACTCACTTTTGAAATAATATGCATCTTTAAGTGATTAGCACATGCAGAATAGGCATATTTCAAATTCCTATACATTTGATTGCATTTCTTCATATTTACAGGTATAAGCTTTAAAGATTGTTAATTTTGGTCTTTTCAGATTCTCTGTCGATGCATATTATCAACACAAATAGATGTTCATAATAAACCAATAGCCAAGCCACCCAAAACAATATCCCGGGAGGCCCAGACGCTGGGGGCGCGATTACTAAGGGAGCGGTGTGTCCGGAATCTAGAAGTTCTCTCTTTGGACTTACTGGGAAATGGGCTTCATGCTCTAGTTCACATGGGAGCAGTCAGGAAAGAGAAAAGGTCAGATGTTTATATTATGTTGGACTCTTAATACGAAAACAAACTGATCATTTTCTTTGTATTGACTAATGGGTTAATTTTTTAATTTTTAATCAAGGCTCACTATTCCTCTGTTTACTATGATATTTTGCTTTTAAAAACCATACAATTTTTAAGCATAACTTCTTGGGCAAAATTTGCTAAAATTGTTTTTTAGTTTGACAATTTTTTCAAAGGAATAATGGTTATTTTATAAATCTTGTGAGGATGTCTATGAATTTCAGGGAATTTATGCTTTATGAATCATCTTGATATTACAGACTGTAATTGATTCAGAATTCTCATGTTTTATGATTTACATGTTTTTACAGAGATGGACAAACATACATGTTCCCAAACACAATTGTTTTGACCAGTGTGTGTTCTCAGCTAGGTATGTCTTTGTTTCTCCTTGTGAGTTTAAAAAAATTGATAATGATGATAAAAGCATAAAGCTTCGGGCATTCAATGGAGTGAGAATTAGAATTGAGATTACTCTGAAAAACATGAAACAAGAAGCAAAAACTGATTGGTCTTAGTGCATATTTTCAAGAAAAATGATGAAAGTAGCATTTACAGGAATACATTTTTTTGTATTTACAGAACAGTTTTTTGAAGTTCCACAGATTCCAACAACTAGTATCAATGTAGAGTCCAAAACAGTTGTCATCACTGCCAAACTGTGATTGGAATATTCAATACTGTCAAAATGTGGTAGAAATATCCACTTTTGACAAACTGTGACAGAAATACATATATCTAGTACTGTCAAACTCCAACAGAAATACTACTGTCAAACTGACAGAAATTGAAGTACATGTACACTGAAAATCTGTGATAAAAATATTTGTCTTTGACGAACTGTCTGAGACTGCCTTCATCCATAGCAGAGAATATCAGTCATAAAATGCTATTAATTATGATTATTGTTAATGATCCTGCTGATTGTTTGCCATTTCATCTTTTGAAAATGTAATTGTTTCTTGCTCAATGTATAACATTGTCATATGTTGAGGATTAAAGTGTATGTATGTTGTAAACATATCCATGCTGTCATAGTCATACTGTATAAAGAATGATAGACTGGGTCCCTTGACCCATCTAAAGGGCTCTAAGATTATAATTCATTTAAGATACATGTACCTGACATAATGAAGTAATGAAGGAGTCAGTGTGCTTTCTGGTTTGTGCATTAATTTTTAAAGTTCCGTAATTTTAAAAGTGAGATAGCACCTTCCCCTTACAAGCACTACAAAGATACTCTGTTAATACTATTTGTACTGTATGTAGATACATGTATTTAATTTGCTAGCACCAAAGGGTTATCGGCAATATATTAGATATTTTGTTGCATCAGGAAAAAGGGCAGTTCAAGAAATTGTAAAATATCAATATTTTTAGTTTTTTTATGGAGATACAATATGTATATGAATTTATTTTTGTTGCACTGTCCTGTTCATATACCTCTCAAAGTCAATTTTTTTTTATATGATAGCTGAATTTGTGTGCATGAAAATCTGTAGCATCATTCATAATTGGAATCTACTAAACCAAGTAATCATGCATCTTCTATTTGAGTTATAGCAATGCAAAGCAGTCAAAGTTTTTCTATCTATATTTTCAACAACACACTGTATCTCTGTTTCTAATACAATGTCTTGGTCAAGTTTGGCATGATTAAATTTAACATGTTTTGCAGCTAAAGTGCACATTGTAGGGAAGACATTTGATTTTTTAGAAATTGGATTTTATTTTTGTTTTCATTAAAAAGCATTTATTGTAATATGAAGTCAATGCGATGAAAATAAGATCTTAAATCTGCTAACATTACATCTTACCCTAAGGGGTGATGTGCATGAGCAGATCAATGTGTTAATTTATATTTACTGGTAGATAAGTGTTTAAAATAAGGCAAAGAAAATATAATGTAAAATAATTTAATAATTTTGTAAGTTAAAAAAATAATAGTTACAATAAGTGCCAACAAAATATTTTAGAAGGTACATGTACTATTATATAATAAATATTTTTCCATCACAATCATATGGCATTATAATGTGACATAGATAAAATGTTCTACAAATGTGAATATTCTCCCAATGACAAGTATATTTTTGTATGTGAAATCCAAAAGCTCTGTCAATTTAATTGAAAGGTGCAATACAGGACTTTTTTTTTTTACATTGTCTAAGGGTAAAAAAGCATACATGTATATTAAAATCATTTTATTCCTTTAAAGTAACTGTTCTGCCAAATATTGTCATTTTTTAAAAAGAAAGTTTATTTATTGCCTTATTATTATTTTTTTTTTATTAAATGATATATCATGTATACAGTTTTGTCTTAAATTGATGACAAATAAATATTTCAACTTTTCTTGACTTTGTTGAATGTGTAAACATCAAAGTATATGCATAACAATTTGGGACTCATTTTATAGTAATAACTTGACAATTTTCTTTGGTTTCTCTCAATTTTACAACTCACAAAAAATGAACCAAATATTGAAGACAACAAATATCAGCCACGAAAAAATATAGTCAGAGTTTTAATAGGCCTAAGTCATGTGGACACTTGTGGTTAAAAAAAGAGTTAAAACAGGGGGATCTGAATATAAATAAAATCATATCTTTTATAGTTATACAGGTATAATAAATGGTGTACATATATGAAAGTCCCTTCAGCCAAATGTGTTTATACTGTATGTCATAATGTAAGAATTTTAAATTTACTATAAATACTATAATAATAATAATACTGTTTGGTCATCAGTGACCTGTTAATTCTTTATAGTATTCACTGTCCTCTGTCTGTGTGTAGATCTCGTGAGTTACTATATTAATTGATGGTGTGGGGGTCGGGATGTATCTCGTCTCTGTCACTGTGTAAACTATACCCTCCTTGAATGTCTTTAATATGTACAACAATCCACATAAAATAAGAAGAAAACCTGCAATAAAAATATATCAGTTATATGAAATTTTTTGTATCAATACAAACAGCAGTGATCAACTTCAACATTAATTTATAAAAAAAAATATATTCACTATTTTGTTCTGAGGCACACATATGCCATGAAATACCTGAAACACCTCTTCTCCACCCCCTAACCCCCCACCCCCCATACTACCACCACCCACTTTGCAGCCAAGTGCTCTGGTTCAGAAGTGTCATGTTGTAAATTTTGAATTTACCTGGTGGAAGTAAATACAAAATTTACAACATGACACCAGATTCACGGGAGCGGCTCAGATGAATTGATTTTCACGGAAATAAAACTCACCACTAATTATCCCTAAAATGATAAACTCACCACTAATTATCCCTAGAATGATCCTCATTCCCTCCAGGAAGACGGGGATGGAGATGAGGAGGTAGAGGATCCCCTTCTTCCAGTTGTCCATCCACATGACGATCTGCCAGCAGGCACAACAGCACCCCTCCTGTCTATCAGTAAAATAGGTCATATTAATTATGGGACCTTAAACTGACATGTTCAAATACAGTGTAACTTGTCTAATCCGAATTATGTGTATTCCAAAATCTTGCCTAATACGATGTTACCTTTAACTAAGTCTCTTTAATTCAATAATAAATTCAATTATTTAGAATTTTATCAAATCTGGGATGTTGTTTGAGCTGGATAATTTCTTCAGAACCAGAGGTGTTCGGATTAGACAAGTTTCACTGTATCATCTATCTAAAAACATTGTGTTATTTTGATACGAACTTCGAATTCTTGTCGTTTCTTGTTGTTTTTTTTTCCAATCTTAATTATACTGTAATTTGAATATTTTGTAATTTACAATCAAATGTGAATCAACATCATGGAAACGTCCATTCAGCGTTGGTTGCATATGTTTGAATAAAACTTGATAGCAGCTTTTAATTTATTTGGACTTACTTGCAGCAGACAGATTTATTGATAATCCATGCTAGTTCAAAAAATGTCACAACCGTAGATGCTCCACTACAAATATTGAAAAAAAATCTCAATTAAAGTTTTGCAGGCAATATGATGAACTGATCTAGATATTGTGAAATCAATAATTAATCAGATTGGCCTCTATATGAAACAATAAGTGCCTATGCCACGAACCCATGTTTTTTTCTTCTACCCACGAAATTTTGACCTCATGAAAATAGTAATTTTATAGTATGTCTAATATTTACATTTTCAGAACAATTTCGAGTTGAACTTCTTGAGTAGATATAATTTTTCTTTTAGAAATGCGTGATATAATCTATGTCAGGAGTATAATGTTCTTTATAAAAGAACTTACTAATATGCCACGAATGTCTACTATTTGCCAGTGTCAAAATTAATTCAACGTTTTTTTTAAGATAAAATGTAGCAGGTATATAGACAATTGGAAAAATACAAATTAATTGATTTCCTACATTTAAAAGACGGATTTGTCCACTTTTCGATTCCTACCTAGTTTACCTCTTTGATAATTAACTTACATTTTATGTTCATAATGTATAGAAAAGGAATGGTGTAGGTGTATATATACGAGATTTAGTTTCCATTTCATTAACTCTGAGACTAAGTCTAATTCCACATGTAATGTAGCAACTATCAATGCATGGGCGTCGGAAGCAAATTGAAAGGGAGGGAGGGGGACTAACCCAACAAAAAGGGTAAACCCCAATTTTCAATGCCTATATTATGTGAATGTTTGCACCCCCGGTTCTGACACCTATGCAATTACTATATATAATCCACTTAGCAATAAAATGTTGCGTGTAAAAAAATTGGATTTACATGTATATCATTGATGATGAACCTTAATAACATTACACAGAATAATATGCCTTTCTGTTTATTATAAATGCTAGTTACAATTCAGTTTCAATTAAATTCATGGGGGGGGGGGGTTGGTTGGTTGGTTGAGTCTGTCTACTTGCAACTTACTACTGATAAGAAGAGCTTTCCCTGCCTGGTAATTTTTTTCAACAATTTGGACCTCCCAAAAATCTTATTTCCCCTTTCTTAATGGATTTATCAATGTTTTTGCACTGGATATGTTATATATTGTTTGTTGAATATGCAGTGTGTTTATTGATTGACCAGGCTTCATTGATTACGTGCCTCTCGTACATATAAGATGATAAACGTTCTCACGTGCGTTTTAACACCCCTTTCCCCCGTCCACTTTCATCGATTTGCGCAACGTCAAAGATATGGTCTAGGATGTATTTCGTACATTATTTCAGTAAACCTTTGAATGAATTGTGTGTGAAATATTCTCATCCTTATTAAACATTGTCTGCTTGCTTCAGCTTATAGTTCAGACCGGGACAATAATAATTGGAATACCGGTATATTCACTTACACAAAAATATGTATTTTTGCTAAGTTTACCTACATCAAATAAAATCCAACATATTGAGTGTGTGTTTCTTTGTCCTGTACAACGTATACAGCTGCTGCCCACATTACTACAATTATATAATAAACATTTTCACTACATTTCTGCACTGAGTATTAGTAAAAGGCTTAGTTAATGAATCCTGTTTTTCAAAACGAATTTAATTGAACATTGAACTTTCACATTACGAATTAAACGACCAAAACACAAACAAAATTAAAGACACTGTTAGAAAGGAATTGCAAAATATAATTCTTTGTTGAATTAAACTTAATACAATAAAGTCTGAAAAAAAATAGTGGACCATGTTATGTATCTAATAGTTAAAGATGCACGTTAACGTTAGATCCGCGCCCCCACTTACCGGCCAGTGTCGCCAGCGTTGACAATCTTGCAATGATTGTGATGTGGCGTAGAAAGGGCGGGGTTTTCGTGGGGGATGCTGTCAAAATGCGGTCCTTTTCTCCCGCAGTCGTCGTCATTTTATGCCATATTGCTGTACTATCGCTGAATCATTATCTGTAACAATTCATAAATGATTCACTGGATATGCACCAATGATGGCGTGGTAATGATTACTATATTTAATTTTGGTTCAATGAACGAAAAGATCAACACTGATCCCCATATGTAGACATAGTCTGCAATGTTGATACAGCTTTTTTGCTGCATTTCTGAAACGTTGGTTTGGGCTGTTTACGATTTTACAACCCTTTTGATACTGAACGCAACTTGTTTTACATTCTAGCAAATACACACAAATTACCAACACATACATTGAAAATGGCCATGTCCCCGCTTTTATTTTTCAAAAAAGAGAATTTTTTGGGTCTTCATAGTGTAATTTGTATTCATTACAAACTTACCTTATATTTACTTGTATATTTACCAGCCCATAATCAAGGTATGTTGAAATGACACCAAAAATAAAATCTTTGACAGACGTAGTAAAATTTAAATATCTTTCCCTTTAAATTGAACAAAAAGTTTATTTTTATAAAAAGTTATTCTCAAGTTTCCAAAAGCGATACACAGAGAGGTTATGAAACAAGCCTTCTACGCCCGATCAATTTCTTTTCGTTTCAAATACATCTACCAAAATAAATACTAGTACTAACCTAAAGTCCCATCTGATTTAGTCCAATGTTCAACGTTTTTTTTTCTCTCTAAAATTTATGAGTTATCATTTCAGCAAATACGTTCAATTAACTATCTGTACCAGAATAGATCGATTTTTCGTATTTTGTCCTCTTGCGAATTCTTTGTTCAGGCTGAAGCATAAAAACTGAAGAAAAAAAATGACACAACTCGATATGATGACAGCTGTTACATGTTGCTGTACATTACACTAGCACTGGGACATTATAAACACTTAGGAGTGCCTGAAACCGTGAAGTTCATACCCTTTGTGCAATTTGCAGAAAAATGAATCTTTCGATTTTATATTAATTAGTAACTGACAAGTAATATCCTCAAGGCGCATGGAAAATATAATGAAACATATCAAAAAATTCTGTAAGGGACAACTATATGATTCCAAAGGAGGTGGCAATTTTTTCCTAGTCCGATTATTGATTTTAAGGGCGAGCGAATAATTTCTAAAACGAGACAACCTATTGACAAACAAGTTGATGAAACAAGAATACGAACAGATTCTTTTAATTTTTAAAGTCAAAATTTCGCAAGTTATATTATTGATACAATGACCTTTACAGCAAAAACAATCTCTCAGTTAGTCAAATTCTGTTGAACATTTTCATACGAATTGTCAGGTCATTGATCACAAACTGAATTTCTTTATGAGTTTTTTTTTTTCGTTTTTATTTCGATTTTGACAAGGACGTACATACAATTTTATTATTATACCTTTTAGGTACCGGTATAACGTTTTTTTAAATTTACTGAAAATTTCAGTAAAACTAATAGGGACTATAACTCATGTGGTTCGGATTTATTATTTCTCTCTTCTCCCCCCCCCCCTTTCTGCTGTATGCACTGTACTTCACCAACTGCAATATAATGCTCGATCGTGAGTAAAGTGTACGCTGTGGGCCTGAGCTATCTATTAATTTAATATAGTGATAAATCTCTAACATATAACTTTCAATATTGACAGTTTAATCTGAAGGAAAGGAAAGAAATTTGAATGATAAGAGAGATCTGCACAGCTCATATAATTTTTTTTATTTCTTTCAATATTAAGCTCTGCACATCCCCCACAAAATCAGTACACAAGAAAATTGTATTAATTAGTCGAGTTTCCATCCAGCAAATGAAGTTCTCGTATACCAACGAATGCTTTCTATGAAGGTAGTACAAGCCATGAGTGATCGGATATAAACATCGTCATGTGCATTTAATGCTACAACTATAGTCCCCGAATCGGAATCATAATCTGCACCAACGTCATCAGTTTCTCCAAAAGTGCTACTCAAAATATCGTCGTTAACGTAAATTCCGTATTCACATCTTCCATGGTCACCAGTGTAGATAGTCCATGTAAAAACATAAATCCCTGCAACAGGAGCTGTGAACGTCCCACTGTGCCCATTATATCCCCCACCGAAATTTGATTTGATGACGTCAAAAATGATCATATGGTGATTGCTTGGATTTTGCTCTGATTTTGACATGTAGGCATAGAACGCTACTGGATTATTACCGGTAGTACCAACGTTAACTAGTCTCTTCCCATTGCTTATAGAAGATGGTTCTAAAAGTAAAAAGTATAAATTTTTTTTGTTTCACAAAATATAAATGACATGTTAGATGTTATATCTGCATACATGACCTGTCGGAGAAATTGAACCCATGGCCAACCATTTTCCTTTTATTAAAAATCAAATGTATGTATTACATAGGCGTCGGAACCGGGGGGGGGGGGTGTTACCTTTTTTGTTGGTTTAGCCCCCCCCCTTTTCAATTTGCTACCGACGCCTATGTATTATATATAATAAATGTATTTACCGATTTCATTTTGATCAGATGCAGATTTTTTCATTTTCTCCACATCATAT